TAATTTTTACTTATGGAGAATTAAAGTTATTGATCGTTAAAGTTTTGCATTGGCAAGCGTGATAAAAGAAACAGGTCAAGTAAAAAAAAAACAGAGGAAGTATATGAGAAGGTCCTTAAAATGAGAAGGATGGGAAATATTTTATGTGCATAATTTTTGTACTGAATGTGCATATTTTTCGAACTAAATATGCAAAAAAAAATTGACAGAAATTCAATGTGCATAAATTTTGAACATAATGTGCACATTTTCTGATTTTCCAGAAAATTCAAAATTTTATTAGTTCGAAAATCAATTTTGCATATTTAGTGAAAAAAATATGCACATTTCTTCCTTCTTATTTTAAGAAAGTTCTCATTGGATCCCAACCCTATATATATAGAACAAAGAGGGTATGTTACTCCCTAAATATGATCCAACTAGGTTATTATTTACAAGATGATTCACATGCATGCATGTATAGTTAATATTCCCTCCGTTTCTAAATGCTCTTTTTTTCTAAAAAAAAAAAAAAAAAAAAAAGAAGAGAAATCATCGTCAGAACAAGAACATCATTTAGAAATGGAGGGAGTATAATAAAGTTGGACATTCAAACTTAATACGTCGAGGGTTGAGGGAAAGTGAGCGAAGAAATAAAAGCAAAGTACGTACTTTGTGCTATCTATTTCTCTTTCCATACATTTATGCCAAAAGGATTGTTTTGTAAGTGAGTAATAAAATGGGATAAATTATGAATCTCTCCTATTTCAATCCATTTTCTTTTTCCTTTTATACATAAATATTTATCTCTCCTTCTTAACCTACCCCCTCTCCTCAAATTCTCTCGGCCAAACACACTATTTATATTACTTCAATTCGCATCGATATTTCCTAAACTAAAATAAACCTAATCATGTGTAAAATTATTTTCTATTTTGATTATACTCAATTCGATAAATGACATAGAATGATGTAATAAACCTAAAAGTACAGTTCATACATAATAATAATAAAGTACTTAACCTAATTTAGTAGTACAAATCAAATAGAATGAAGTACATGCTAAACCTAATAATTGGTTGTCATGTCAATTATACTCTATCATCCATCAATAAGACAATAAACAAAAAGTAAGACTATAGATGAATGTTCAAGAAACAGTGCTTTAATAATGATGGATCAAAACCTACTATGAAGATAAGATGATTTAATCTATGGCTTACATGCGCAAACATGGCCCTAGATATTTGATAGTTTTAATCATTATCACTTAATTTGATAGATATTTTTGTCCTCAAATAGTTTGTCTAACAATCTAACATGTTCCACACATGATATATATAAATACACGTACATACATTTTAAATCTGGTAAATATACACTATATTGATTCAGCTTTTCATATATGGGTCAGTCTTTTCAACTATACATTGGCTAACGTTTAACTAGGGATAGGAAAAAAGATAAGGATCGAAAATTCTCACTCTCAAGCATAAGTAGGTGTTAAGCTCGAACATGTGATTTCAAAGCCATCAATTTAAGATTTGTTAATACTCGCATAATCATACATACATACAAAGGACACACAATTATATAAAATCACCATCAATCAGATAAAAAGCGTTGTGTTGGTTATCATGACTACTCCACGCATGCATGCACGTTACATTATCATATATATGGAATGCCATGTGGGTCTCTCTAATTGGCACATTGTCTCCTCATTATGCATAATGTATACATGCTGGATGATTTAAATATCACAAATAATATAAGATGGTGAATTACTGGAAGATTTTAGAGGATAGAAAAAAGATAGATAAAAAAAAAATGGAAGTACTTTTCTAATTATAGTATACGTACATATGGCAATAGTTAGACCACAGTAAGTGCTATCTATCTGCAAATTATTATGAGAATCACTAACTGTTTTAAGATGACTGATTACCCAAGTCTTTGATTGGGTGAATGGGTGGTGTCCAACTATTCCAGCTAGCAATCCTAGGGTTACGCCCACAAGACCACAATATGTCGATATGGTCCATGCAAGGTAATAAGTTGCCCTTGTATAGTTGGGATATCGGGATCGGGTAACTTTGTTAAATTATGCTGATTAGTGTCAATGTTGTCACGATCATCTAAAAATTGATTTAGATATGAATATACATACTTGATACTTCTTCATAGTTAGTACAACATTTTTAGTAGTGAAATAAATTAAACTTGTTTTTTGTAGTGCTTGGTTTGTGTTCACTATGATAAAGATCTTATTCATGGTAAGACTAGCTAGTCTAACCCAAAATAATTAGATTAAAGACAATGTACCTCATTATCCTACTTCTTGTATTTAAAATTGAATTAATTGTTAATGATTTCAATTGATGAAATAGGTATTAGCAATAGATACAAGTTTGACTGAATCATTCATAGTTGAACCATATCAAATGACTAATTACTTGATATGATGAGTACAATTGGAAGTCTTAAACTGAATGGTCCAATTTGAATGATGTGCTTGACTCTTCAAAGAAAACTTATTTCAATTCAACCAGTGTTGATCTCAAACTATGATTAGATAGCTAGATTTTAGAAATTAAAGCGTATGTCCCTCCATACATGGTTTCGTTATAAATTTTTGGTGAAGGTTTCATTATAAGAGTCCCTTAACCTTTAAGTAGAATTTAAATCGTTCGAATTACATTATAAAAAAAATTAAAATACTTTATTCATGTCGCACATCAGTCATCGGCTTGCGTTGTGAACTTGTAATCACTCTAAATAAAAAGTCTCAAAATTAACAATTATTCAAATATTAGAAAAAAACCTTAACTCTCATAGGAGATTAAGATCGATTATAGTTGTTTTGGAACTAGGTAGGGTAGTACTATAGATCTATACATATATATGGCTCTCGATCAGCTTGGCAAAGTTGTGCCTAATGATGTAATTATCATTGATCGTTATTAGTTGTTATTACTTTCGCATAATACATATTAGGCGGCTAGCTAATAACTTGCTTATAACTCTTACGTACAAATCTGTCAATGTTTTGTACTTAGTAAATAGTAATCACCAATTCAAATGCATAGACTTTCCATTAATAGTCTGGTCTTCGTTAATAGCTGTTGCCTGCTGCCTAAGTCACAATCTTGACTAAGTACCACGTACCATCACCATGTTTTTTTTAGATAATTATCACAAGATATTATTTCGAGATATTTGTGTCCTCATAGAGACCAACTATATGTTGTACTGTACTTCCTCCCGTCCGTTTCAATTTACATATTACATATATATGTAAGGACTACGAACACTTTGAATTTGACACTACTATTTGTGATTATATGATTTCAGAGAAGAAACGTGAGATCATGTTAGATATACGTTTCATCAACATGTTTTTTCGAAATTTCAACTTTCTATATTTCATAAAATATATAATATAATAAGTAGAGATAACTAAAGCTTAAAATTATACATTGACAATTATAAAATGTAACCATTACATTAAAACGACGGAGGGAGTAACACGTACCTGATCATCTTGAAGTCAAGATTACAAGTTTGACTTTTAGACGTGCAGGCTTTGTCATGGATTATTATATAAACATCAACATAGCAGTTATAGTGGTGTACTCAGCGATCTGCCATTAAATGCCGCCAACAATTTCCAATATTGTCAACGAATCTTGGTAATTGTCACTATCATATCATATCTTCTTAATGTTATAAGCTCCGTATAAGTCATACTATATGCATGTGCAACTGTATTAGTTAGTTCGATGTACTAAATTTTCTTGTTCTTAGCTTGAAATTGCATGCTAAAAAAAGTATACATATATATTGCTTGATTAGAAAACTATGTTGAAGTTGTATTAATTTATTCTTTATTTAGATGCAGCGCATTCATAATGAACCTAAATTAGGTGAATCACCTATCTTTTAGAGATTTGATTTGATCAAACTATATGAACCATTAAATTGATACTTCTTTTGCACACTCATTGTACGATTGGCTTTGAGAGCAGCTATACGATGTTAGAGCTTGACTTGCACATGGAATAAACGATTAAAGATAACTCGAGAAAATTTGCAACAATATATATTTTTTAACTAGATGATTATTTTGTAATCCTCTCCGAATGTAATAATTAATGTAAAACACTAATAATATTGTATCAGAAATTTCATGTTTGCTTGGATGTTGGCCCTTTTTAGTATAACATTTAGTAAGGGCTAATTTAGGACATGAGTAAAATGAATAGACAATCCCTATTATCACACGTTAATTATTGGGATAGCCAGAAATAATATTAATTGGGCTCATTAGCACATGATTTAAATGAATAGACTATCCTTGTTTGGATTGCCACATGAGGCACGGGAAAGTAGCTAGGGTGAATGTGGATGTTGGTCTCTTTAATCCTTATTTCCATCCTTGCCTGAGACATACTTTCAAATGTGCAGATTGTGACTATCTAATTATGCTAATCACAAACCGTAATCGACATGGAAAACAAAATAAATAACAAAATGACTTGAGTATTCCGTGAGAAAATGAGAACCGAGTGAAAAATTGCAAATTTGTAATAGGCCTTTTAATGTCGTGTATGAAGAGACGTGATGACTTACAACTTTACAAGGTAATCTCAATATCATTCTTGAACACATGAGAGTCTCATATCACCCAGGGTAAACGATCCCTTGATTAGACCTTTCCTGTGCTCCTATGACGTTAAATATTAAAAATATAAATTTTGAAGATAAATCGAGATGAATCAACACAACAATATTTTCATAATTTATAGTAGTATATAATGGTCATACTAATGTACATTGATGGTAACAATTACGAGTTTATGACAAATGTTTAAATGGAACCCTAAAATTGTAGAATTATCTAATTACATGAATGATTGGCTAATTATTCCTATCTCATGCAAATTGGACTGGCCCACTTCTAAGAGGCCCAACATTGTAGCTCTAACTAAGGTTTACCTATTGCCCAAGAAATCAGGCCCAAATTCTTGTTCTTCTTGTTCCCCAAACTTTCTGAAAATTCTGTACTCTGCTAAGAGAGAGGAAGTAGAGAGATAAAATTATGGAGTTTGTACTAGAACATGGCAAGAAATCTCACTCCGAATGCTCCACTTTAATACTGGTAAGCTCAATTGAACTTTCCTATTCCATTTTTCACATTTATTTCTTGATTACTTCATCTATTTAATTAGTAGTTAGTATTAGGTTAACCAATTTTGCCGAATTTGAAATTGTTGATTTTCCCCAATTTCTTACGTTTATTATTTGTGTTTGTTGGTAATTTCTGGGTTGAATTGTATTAGCCAGCTTTATCAATAGGAAATGTGGGACAATTAGCAGTAGATTTGTTGATATCATCAACTGGTACTGAGAAAATCGGGTATTTGGATGATCCGAATATCTTTCCTTGCGTTGGTAATGACGCTTTTGGCCCTCTTCCTCATGGAGACCTTGCTCTCCCCCTTGAAGGTCTTTCTCTTTCTCTCTCCTCCTAAATTCTTGCATTTCTTTCATACAAAATAATTGTACTTCGTTTGTTTTATGGGTTTTGAATTGTTATGGATTTCTAATATTGACTCAATAAGTTAGAGTTGGGGTAAAGTTGCGTAAATCTAATACCGATACTATATCATGGGCAGGGCCGTTTCAATAAAATTAAGGGTAATGTTGAAATCCATGTTGTAGATGCTAGACTGTCTATGTGATGAAATTCTAGTTTGTTATACTCGATCGAATTTGGAACTTTCTAATGATGATATTCTTGTTTGCAGTGTATGATTCAGTTTCTTGTAACTTGACTTATGTCCAACAAAGATCTCCTGTAGTTAAGGTAAAAATATGAATCTTTTACATGTTATACCTTGATTCTGAATGTTATAGTGTGCTTGTGTTGTTAGGGAAGTGGTTGAGCTTCAATGTGATGATCTTAAAAGGTTCAAACATGTAATAATCTAATTAATTAGGCTGATTAGTATTTTAAAGGAAAATCAGTAAGTTTGATTAATTGTATACTGAGTGTGTGCAAGTGAAGTAGTTAATGCAAGAATCTTTATTCCGGTTATGTACAATAAATTAATGTCAGTAATATTCCAGCATTCATGGATTGGGGGAGGGGAGCTTGTTCTTGCTCTCAACCTTACTCATTCTTGCCCAACTTAGGGTCACCTGTCATTTTGTAATGTCGAAGGAATTAATTTTACAAGGTATCTTTGGCTTTCTATTTTCCAATTACTTTTGGGTGTCATGAGATCAAATAATTTCTACTTTCTACCAATACAGTCATCCTTGACTCCTACATTGGCAATTGTCTAATTTTGTGTAGGATTTCTTTGTGGTTGGTAATCTTATGTTCTTAAAGGAAATTTCTGTTATTCTGATAAATTTTGTCTTGTAGGGAATGATGGTTCAATTTGCCCAAAATTTGGCTGATTTTGCCATTGCTGCTGGAATGAAGCATGTTATTGTGCTTTCAAGCTTGGACTTTGGGCGGTGGAAAAAGGTCGATATGTCAAGGTACATTAGTCTTTCTTTTTAGGTCTTTAACTTGCAATCAAAGAGGATATATGCTCAGCTATCATGAATTGCAATCAAAATTCCAAACAACTTTCATCAACCATGTAGCTTTCTCTGCTTAGTTTTTTTAACAAGTGTCTGAAGCACTCTGAATAATTCTGAATAGTTCAGCTGGCCATTTTACCTTTTGTTATTGATATTAATTTTGTGGAATGCGGGAGGGGCAGCATTTAACTTGATTTATTGTGTTGATTCTTCAGTGGAATGCCTATACATTACCTCTCAAGCACCAATGCAGATGGAAGTGACAATGATTATGAAAAGCTTGGATGGAAACGACTGCAAGAGTACAGTCCCTCTCAAGGGCGATGGCAGTATCTTAGTACAGTTGCTGAAGGCAATATTGTTGAGGAAAGTTCTGTTCCTTTTAATGATGATCTAGAAAAAGATGAAGATTATTATGCCAGTTTGCCTTTTGCTGCACTATTTTCTTGCTTCAAGGTAAAGGTTATGCAAGACGTTTATATAGCAAGGCTAGCTTTTAGTGAACAGTTTTTTGTAGATGTTCGCAATTTGATGCTGCTCCATAGCTTATATCTATTGTGTGTTTTCCTTTGGAACTGTGTATTACACACAAAATCTGTGATGTTGCAAATATAAACTAGAATGTGCTTTTATTTTATAGGAGATACTAGAATATTTTCTTACTGTGCCGTGGAACCCAATTGTTACTGATCTACAAGTTGCCTCTTTTTATCTGGTCAGGCGAGAGGATTGAAAGTGACTTGCTTGCTCTGTTACTGTTCTGAAGGAGATAACATATGCGACTCCTTTAATCTTGCTGAGGCTGCATGCAAAATTTCAGGACTGCGCCTTAGTGATTGCCACGGTAAGATGCTTCACATTACTTTGTAGTAATTTCTTGATTGCTTTCTATGAAGTACCAGAGTAGTTAGCGATCATGTTTAGTGTTAGTGGTAAGCTACTAATGTCAAGTGGTAAGTTGGTAATTGGAGCATATGGCTTTTGTTCTTCCGGTACATCCTAATCCTTTCTACTCTGCCCTTTTTCATCTTAGTTTTGCATAGATACTTTGCATACTCCTAGATATTTTTTTTCTCTACGACCATTTCCAAGTGTTAGCGCCAATCAAATGTTCAGCTTAGAGAATTATCTCCTTTGGAGTGAGGAGCTGAAGCATTCATATCTAGTTGTAGATATTATCCTATCTTGACCAACTACTTTAACCGGCAAGCCCTATAGTCCTTCTCTTTCCTGAACTAAGATTGCATTTGGCTAGCTTTGTTATTGCACAATTCGACTAAGGTATATGCAAAGTCTGCTATTGTGTTGGTAATGAAATATCTATCCGCTGCTTTTTTTGTGTTGCGCAGCAGAAGACAGTTTAAAGTTGCAAATATTTTTGTAGGAAGCTGTATTTGTTCTGTTTAAGTTTGCCCCCTTCCGGTTGAGGATAGGAATGGAACTCTTTGTATCAGGTCCCTAGTTGAAGCTTTATATAATGTCAGAATAAAGTCTTGTTCCACATTACTTCTCACCTGAATTCTTCTGCCAAATTACTATCTCAGAATATGAACATAATTTTTTGTATTAGGTTCCTTGATGATGCTGGGATATAATGTCAGAATAAAGTTCTGTCCAGACCTCTCAGTTCTTTTTCTAATTCGTCGGCCAAATTACAAATCAAGAGTTCGACTGATACTTTAAACAAATGATAGCCATATGACTAAGATCTGTCACTAAGAGTGGCAAATGCTATACAGTCCCTTGTCTATCTGAGGTATTGAGAATTTGTGGGAAACTCACCTCATTCTACATTCTTCTATTCAAGAAAAGTGTGGTTAAGTTGTTGTTGGACATGCTCTGATTAATCCATCTTTGCTCTCTCTCCCCCGTCGCTGGTTTAGCCCTACATGACATTGCCGTTCACACATCACAGTTTTAGCAGTTGTTCACAGTACCTTGCTGTCGCTAATTTACACAAACTTTTTACTCTTCACATATCTTCTCTCTCTCTCTCTCTCTCTCTCTCTCTCTCTCTCTCTCTCTCTCTCTCTGAGTTACACATGGTGGTTCTGTTCAACTTAACTGTAGCTAAATCTGGCCATGGCTGTGTTGAACTGTTGAACATGGCACTTTTTTGGTTTTTCTTGCTGAGTGTGGCAGAACAGTGAAGGAATATTTATTGTGCTGCCGCTGCCCTCTCTGTCATTCACGCTTTCCTGTAATTTTTCCTATGGTACTAGCTGATGGACAGCCGATGGTGATGATGGTTAGATAAGTGCACATTTTTAGGTATCAATGATGATGAGTGTGACAGGCTAGTGGGTGGCAGCACTGGTAGAGCTGCCTATGTGGCTGTGTGATGCTGCTGGTGACATAGCAGTGGGTTTTGCTGATGTCGATGGTCTATGGCCTGGAAATCATGAATTTTGGTACTACTCAAGGAATTCTAATCCATGGAGTAGGGTCTGCATTTGGGGGAGAGTGGGGTTGGGTTATTAGTAACAGAACTGAAAGATAATTTATTCAATCAAAAGCGAAATAATAGACTGGGGTTTTCGTTGAGTTTTCATTCCTCTGAACAACAAGAACTGAATGCCTTTGTGATATGTACATCTATGTACTTCTCTGATTCTCTATCAAATGTTAACACCATGACATCAATGTAATATTCACCTTGACTATTAGAACTTGTAACATATCCACTTGCACTATCTTTCAAAAAAACCACTAATATTAGTAACTCATTATTACTACTATGTACTATCCATATGTGGTAAAATGTTGCTGCCAGTGGTTCAAAACCAATCTCTTTGCTACTTCTGACCAGTTAAGATTATGATTCATTTTGGCCTGCCCAATGCTGCTACTCAATGTGGCTTGGAGTCTTTGTCGAACCACGTGCTTATTGATTTGTAAACCTTATTCTCTTTTTGTTGTATACAGCGGGTGAAGATAGAGAGTGGATCACCCCACTTTCATGGAAGAGCGTGTATGGACCACCTCCAGACATGGAGATGTTCTAGGCTGATTGAAGTTGGAAAGCGTAGCCCTCCTTGGACATCTGAGAAGGTATACTACCTTACGGCCTTCGAAACAAGTTTCTCACAAGTCGTAGCGAAATACATGTTGAACCCTATGTTCATTAGTTTGCAAATCCAAGTACAAGAAAACATGATCCAGCTGCAAAGGAGTTGAATTTACAACAAAGCTTCTGTGGCTGAGGTTGTTTCGTTAGGTACTCTTCCTTAATCACCATGTGAATTGGAATTGTATGGTACAGTCCTTATATACAGTTTACAGTTCTGCCTCTGTTCTATTATGTATCGGTTTTGATTGTTAACATAGTAGGCATATTTCTTTGTTATTTTTTGAAACCCGGCATAGTTCTTTGTTTCTTGTTAATCCATTAGTTTACCTTCTGGGTTGCAGAGTTGCTTTCGTTTGGTTTATTCAGGTTTCTTTTATGCTTTGCTTAGAGTCCTGATCATGCATTGTTTGTGGCATTATGTGAATACTGGACTTAATATTAACAAACAATAGCAATGGTTGCGGAGACTAATAAAATAACATTGTTGGGGTAATGCAGCATTGTGTATAAGGTCCTTGAATTAAAATAAAAAGAGTGGAAAAGTAAAAAAACAATATATAAATGTCAAATAAATTCTTCAAATAGAGGACTTTCTTTTTTTATGTTGACTTATCTTTTTTTAATATTGACCCTACTGTCAATAATACCAACTTGTTCTTACTTCTTAGTACATGCAACCCACAATTCAATCAAGGCCTTAATCACTAGTTCAGAACGTTCTGTGTTAAAAAAGTTATGCGTAATTTAATATGTGTACGGTCATCCCTAACATATGCTATATAATAGATGTGCAAATGCTACCATTGTATTAACTTGCCCCTTCTCTAACAATGTCATCTCCATCTGTCTCCTCTTCTCTCCTCTCATCATCACCATCTTCGGATCTTCCTCTATGTGAGATCCCTGGAAGTTATGGTCTGCCCTTCTTTGGAGCCATCAAAGATCGGTGGGACTTTTTTTACCTCCAAGGCCGAGATCAGTTTTTCAGGTCTCGCATGGAGAATTACAAGTCCACAATTTTTCGAGCTAACATGCCTCCTGGTCCTTGGATATCCTCTGACCCACAGGTCATTGTTCTTCTGGATGCCAACAGCTTTTTAGTTCTCTTTGATAATTCCAAGGTTGAAAAACGAGATGTTTTTACTGGAACTTACATGCCTTCTACCTCCTACACCGGGGGTTATCGTGTATGCCCCTATTTGGATCCAAGTGAGCCTGATCATGGATCTCTCAAGGCCCTGTTGTTCTCTTTCCTTGCCTCTAAGCATGAAGAGTTCATCCCACTCTTTCAGAGCTGTATGAAAGGCCTGTTCTATGGTCTTGAGGATCAGCTGAGAGATACAGGCCGGGCCAAGTTTGAGCAGCTCAATGATGTACTATCTCTTGAGTTTGTTTTCAGGCTGTTTTGTGATGGCAAGAGCCCTTCAGACACCAAATTAGAGTCCAATGGCCCTTTTATGCTCAAGAAGTGGCTACTTGGCCAAATAGCACCTCTGGGTTCATTAGGATTACCCAAGTTATTATTTCCAATCGATGATTTTATAATGCATTCAGTTAGACTACCTTTTCTCTTGGTGAAAGGTGATTATAGAAAGCTGTATGATGCATTTTACTCCTCAGCGATATCATTCTTGAACAAAGCAGAAAGTTTTGGTTTAAGTAGAGAGGAGGCATGCCATAACTTAGTTTTCGTAGCTGGATTTAATTCATTTGGTGGGTTTACAATATGGTTTCCATCATTGATGAAATGGGTTGCATCTGCTGGGGAGAGCCTGCATCGTGAGCTGGCTGAGGAGATCAGAACCACTGTGAAGTCTGAGGGTGGGGTCACTCTGAATGCCATCAACAAGATGGCCTTGACCAAGTCAGTGGTTTACGAGGCTCTCAGGATTGAACCTCCTGTACCATACCAGTATGGGCGGGCTAAGGATGATTTAGTGGTTCAAAGCCATGACGCTTCATTTAAGATCAAGAAAGGGGAAATGATCTTTGGGTTCCAGCCGTTTGCTACAAAAGATCCAAAGATCTTTGATGATCCTGAGAAGTTTTTAGGGAAGAGATTCCTAGGGGAAAAAGGAGAAAGGCTGCTGAAGTACGTGATATGGTCAAATGGAAGAGGGATTGATGATCCGACAGTAGATGATAAGCAGTGTGCCGGTAAGAATCTGGTGGAGCTTTTGTCTAAAGTTTTCCTGGTGGAATTCTTCTTGCAGTATGATACATTTTCTGTTGATGATTCTAAAACCATTCTGACTTTCTTGTCCTTGAAGAAAGCCACCAGCCATTGATAATCGAGAAAAACAATAATGAAATCCTATAATCATTTTACTTTTTCAATCATTTTTTTGTGTCTGTTTTTGTTTTTGCTTTTGCTTTTTTTTATTTGAAGTTATGCATGGATTAGTTTACTACTTTTTTTTTTTCTTTTTTTTTTTTTGCATAAAAAAGTCTATGAATTTGCTAGCAGAGCAAGTAAATAATCATGAAATGCAATTGTGCTTTTTTTTCAAATAGGTTATCTTACATGTTTCCGAAATTCCGAGGGCTGCTAAGTTTGTAATGTTGATTTGCTTATGAATAATTATTAATAGAGCTTTAATTTGTTAGTTAATAATCCCTCTCTTAACTGACACAGTCAAATTTTGCACACATGTCTATAATACAATAATTTAACCTTATTTACGCAAGTAAATATTAATGAAAATTTAAAAATAAAAATAAATAAATAAATAAATAAACTACTAGAAAAAAGGTCATTTCCATATTTAAGGAATTCTTTTGTTTTCTATCATAACCTAAGTGTTATTATAAATACTCCTAGGTTATTTCCTAGCCGTTATAATCATTAATTGAGTAATTATTCAGAAATTCGAGAGTCTTTTATGCATTTCTCATATATGAGTTATGAGAGATAAAATATTAAAAATTCGATAGACAATCAATCTGTTTTCTGTGACTGATCTAAAATCTATTTAGAATATGTAATTTGTATTACCCAAGATCAGTAAAACTATACTCTAACCTGCCCTGGATGTAGCCAACACATTGTTGGTGAACCATGTAATTTGTGTCTGTTTTTGTTGTTAATTTTACATTCAATACTTGTTATTTCTTGCATCCGTTATAACATAGGTGTTGCACAAAATTTTAAGAAAATTATAGGGTGGGGGATCAAAAGGTAAATTTCATAGTATAAAGTATTGTAAGTGGGAATATATTTAATCGTTATTATGAGAGAAAAATAATGAAAAAAATAATTAAAAAAAACAGTATAAGTGGAGATGATAGGAGATAGACAATAAGAAAATAGTAGTGTGTCCTTACTTTTTTTTTGAAGGCAATAGTAGTGGGTCCTTACTAAATAAAGTACTGTTGCAATTATTATAAAACAGGTGAAAAAAAAGTGTTGCTATTAATACAAAACGGAGGAGGGAGTAATATATTGAAAATTCTAATGTAGTGTTATGACTTTTGACCATCACAATTTTTTTAAAATGGATGGCTGAGTTTATTTGTTTTTGATTTATTTTTAATTAGTAATTTTAATTAAAAAAATCATTTTTTTAATTATTATATATTTTCAAAAATATTAAAAAATAATTTCGGGAAGATAAAAATATATTTAAAATTATTTAAAAAATAATTTTTAATTAAAATTACTTAAAAATAAATCAAGAAACAAAAAATCTCAACCGTCCATTTTAAAAAATTGTGATAGTCAAAAGAATCATCTGTAATATGTATATAATGCATGTTCGCGTGGGTTTAAAACTTAAAATAGAAGACTTAAGAAGCAATTAGTCTTCACCTCTTCCATTTTCATAATCATACAAATTAAGAACCCTTTAATTGCATCAGAACATACAGTCATATGGATGAAATGGGTAGGCACGCACAGCCACACGTACGTGGTGATAACATTTATTAGAAAAAAAAGAAGCTGATCATAGAAAGCAGAAAACGATACGGCCGGAGTAATTCTAATTTGGGTGTACAAAACATGTGAATGACTTGGTACCAAGATTTATCATAAAATTAACCTTTGCATACTGGAGTGTTAATGGTCCAATTTTTTTTTTTTTTTTTTTAAACACAGAAATTGCTCGGTTAAAATATAGGGTCTTTTTGGCTCTTTATGGATATAATTTGAAGTAAAAATTGGTAATAAAGGACTATGTACACCTCGGTTTGTGAGCAAGCAATGCCTTAATTTTGCATTATATTTTTGAGTCGCGAAATTTTCTCGATTAATGTTATATAGGGGAATTTTGAGCCCTTAACAATCAAATTTGAAGTTAAAGTTGGCAAAAAACCGAGCAATTTCAATTCAATTGTGCTAGGAATTGCCTTGATTAGTCTATACTTCATTTTCTAAGCCGCGTGAATTTTCAAGTCAAAAGTGAAAAAAAAATATAATAATTTTTCGCGTCTTGGAAAAAAAGTACACAAATAAAGGCAATTACCAAACACGCAAATTATAGTGTGTATATATATATATGCTATGTTACATGGACTTGGGTACCCATGTGCGACACGGGTATAGCGTCCAACTCGGCTATTTTGTGAAAAAAAATCAATTGTTTTGAACCAAAAGTGAAGTTTTTAAGTGTCATACCCATGTCTGAGTGTCGAGAGTCCGACATGGCTACTTGAGGTGAAATGAAGAGTCCATGTAACATAGTATATATGACTCAGAACTCTACGACTCAGATCTCAGAAGATCCCAGCTGTGAAGGAGTTGAATTGACAACAAAATACAAAGCTTTTGCGGCTGAGGTTGTTTCTTTAGGTACTCTTCCTATATCACCATTGAACTGGAATTGTATGGTACAGTATTAGTCCTTAATTACTGTTCTGCCTCTGTTCTATTATGTATTCCTTTTGATTTCATTTGGTTTATTTAGGTTTCTATTATGCTTTGCTTATATAATCCTGATCATGCATTGGTTGTGGCATTTTGTGAATATGGGACTTCAACATGGTTGTAGCATTATATGACTTTAACCCCCTGAAAAGTACTGAAGCGGTTAGAAACATTTTCAATAATGCGTGGTAAACATAGTATTATGGTAATTACTCAATACTCATTAGTCATTACCAATGTATGCTATATAATAGATGTGCTAATCCTACGTACCATTGTATTAAATTACCCCATCCCTCACAATGTCATCTTCATTTGTCTCTTCTGTGCTCTCCTCATCACCATCCTCGGATCTTCCTCGATGTAAGATCCCTGGAAATCACGGTCTGCCCTTCTTTGGAGCCATTAAAGATCGGTGGGACTTTTTTTACCTCCAAGGACGAGACCAATTTTTCAGGTCTCGCATGGAGAATTACAAGTCCACAGTTTTTCGAACAAACATGCCTCCTGGTCCTTGGATATCCCCTGATCCATGCGTTATTGTTCTTCTGGATGCCAAAAGCTTTTTAGTTCTCTTTGATAGTTCCAAGGTTGAAAAACGTAATCTTTTTACTGGAACTTACATGTCGTCCACCTCCTACACTGGGGGTTATCGTGTATGCTCCTATTTGGACCCAAGTGAGCCCGAGCATGGGTCTCTTAAGGCCCTGCTGCTCTCTTTCCTTGCCTCTAAGCATGAGGAGTTCATCCCTCTCTTTCAGAGCTGTATGAAAGGCCTGTTCTCTGGTCTTGAGGATCAGCTGAGAGACACAGGCCGGGCCGGGTTTGAGCAGCTCAATGATGTACTATCTCTTGAATTTGTTTTCAAGATGTTTTGTGATGGCAAGAGCCCTTCAGACACCAAATTAAAGTCCAGTGGGCCGACCATGCTCAAGAAGTGGCTACTTGGCCATATGCACTATTTGAGTAGAAGCTTAGGCGGGGTTGAGATCCTGCATCTCGCAGGCGGCGATATACCCGAGTATGTTCACCCAGGAATTAGGGGTGAGTTGCCAGACGCCTAGGCCATATCCCCTAAGTATGGCCTTTATTGTGTTGTGCAGAGGGAAGCGGAGCCCGGCCAGGAAGGCTGCCTCATAGCACCCAAACCAGCTGTCTGCATTGGGTTGGTCATCCTCCCATACAACCGTTCCAAACTCTGCCTGTATTGACAGTTTATAACCCCCTCCTAGCGGCCGCTTGGTGACAAAGTCCGTCAGGGAGGACCGCATAAGGGCCCTATCCTTAGTAGACACGGCAATCATGAGAGGGTCGTTTCTACTTTGCCAAGTAGGCCTCTCCGCCTCCTCGCTATCTTCAGACGAGGTCAGGTAGCTAGTGCTACTGCTTTCAATGCGACCGGCATCAGAGCCGGATGGGGAGTTGGGATCCTCGTTGACGGATCCTGGCAGCTCAGCCTCCTGAGCAGGGGAAGTCCCCTCGTTGTAGGAGCCTAAAATGCTATCGCTTGGGGTGTCGGGGATGCCCCCGGGTGAGTCTCTAGCCACCTCGTCCGGGGCTCGTGTCTCAGGCGACAACTCGTCTGAGTTCCCGCCTCTATAATTAGGGTCCATAGCTGTACCCCTAATCCTGGCCATCGTGTCCTGCACAAACACGGAGTCGGTCGATATAGACGTTGAAAAAGAGAAATTTCAAAGATCAGAGGCGGCAGATCCAGTTCTAGACTCAGCCGTACTAATTGACCGGCTGAGTTCACAACTATGTTCCGGGTATGGGTATAAAGGGTCCATCTACTTATGGGACTAATAAATAAAAGCACAAGTAAAAGACGCAAACGGAAATTCATGGAAAAGCTAGAGGGAATAGAGACGGTACCTAAAGAAAGGGAGAATTTGTTGAAACCTCAAGAAATTTCTTGGGGATGCTTGCGAAGACACAGACGGTCTGAAAACCGGCTGAGTTCCCTTGAGTACCCTCACGAAAATCCTTTGCTAGCTCGCAATAATGCAGGCGGTCTGAAAACCGGCTGCTCTCAACTATCAAATTTCCGTCTGCTCTCAACTCTTAAATGCCGGATGCTCTCAAATTCAAGAAATTTCGCGAAGTTTGTAAATGAGAGCTCGAGGGCGCCTTCTCTTATTTATAGGATTTGTCCCAGAAGGCGAAGAGTCACGACCCTTCCCCTTCTGCTTTTCCCTCCTCTTCCTTCAGTTAGAATCTGAAGAGATTTCAAAAAAAAAAAAAACGTCAGCACTCTTCACAGGCGCCACGTGGCACCTTGCCACGTCAGCACCTGTGAGGGGCAAATGTTTGGGGTAAAAAATACCTCAGACACGTGGCCCAATGGCCAAGTGACACGTGGCACCCAGCCATTGGTCAGCAGGGCTCCAATCCCGTGCTGACACGTGTCCAATGAACCCTAAATAGGGAACAAAGACTCCCCACTATAAATAGTGGAAGGACCCTCATTAATGGGGCATTCATAAATACACACACCAATCCCGAGCAATATTAATTGCAGAATTCTCCCATTACGTGAGAAGTAATTTCACTATTAACGCACACTTTTCCTCCTGTACGTTACTGACTTGATCGTCGGAGGCGGAGCTCCAACCAACCGGAGACTTCGTGATTTTGCAGGTACAAGCGGTGAAGGGCATTCTCAAAATTGTAACTCTCCCGTAGGACACATCAAAAAACCCCAAACAGAAACTGTACACGACTTGGCTCAAACATGACCATATTGAGAGTAGGGTCTGGATAGTTAAACGTAGAGTCTCTACCTTTAAATATTCCTACTCTCAACACGTAAGGCTCTACATTTGACTATACAGGCCTTACTCTCAACATGTATGTGAGGCTCTACATTTGACTATACAGTCCCTACTCTCAACATGTGAGACTCTACCTTTTTTAAAACTTTATTCACTTTAGATATCATTTCAAACTAAAAAAGCTCTATCTTTAGACACTACATTTTACTTGCGCTCTACGTTTTAACTATTCAGACCCTACTTTCAATATGAAAGACTCTACCTTTAACAATATAGACCCTACTCTCAAAACGTGAATCTACCTTTATAATATTCAGACCCTAATATCAATAAGTGAGAATCTACCTTTAACAATTCAAACCCTACTCCCAATTTGTGAGGCTCTACCTTTAACTATTCAAACCAGACGGTATCCGGATGTGTCTGAAACAATGGAGTTGTTTGAATGCAAAGCAGCCGGTGTCTGAGCTTTTTCTCTCAAGAAGTTTTTGAAAAATTTGTAAAGTGTTGAAATAAGAGGAGGAAGCCTCCCATTTATAGGGAGGGGCAGAAGGCGAACCATCACCACCCCCTCCAATTCAAATTCGAAATTCGATTAAAAAAAATGGAGGGAAGGAGACGAACCGTCACCTTCCCAGGATGTGACACTTGTAAGGGGCAAATGTTTGGGGTAAAAATACTTATGCCACGTGGCCCAATGGCAATCTGACACGTGTCAGCCTCAGAGAGACCCAATGGGATCTAATCCTCTGCTGACACGTGGCACCGTAACCCTAATAGGGGAACTGATCCCTTTCCACTATAAATAGAGGAAAGACCTCATTTATTGCACATTCAGAAATACTCATAAATACAAACACTAAACCCGAACAATATTAATTAAAAATCCATTAACTTTACGTTCTAACTTGATCGTCGGAGACGGAACTCCACCTAATTAGAGTTTCGTGGTTTTGCAGGTACAGACGGTCGGCACGCATTCCTGGAATTGTAACTCTCCCGAGTGACTCCAAAAACCCCAAAACAGTTTCCAATCGTGCAATTACTCCTAGTAATCTTAGAAAATTCTTAGATGCACCCTGCTCTGGGTGGTTGAGTTATACCAAGTGTATTATTTTTGCTCATTTAATATTTTTTGTTTGTTATTTTTTTTTTTTTTTTTTTTTTTTGGAAATTATCATATTAATATTAACAGAAAATAAATTTGGGTGCACCTAGCTTTAAATGTAAAGTGTATAATAGAGGTTCCAATTAATTTCGCGCCGTTAGGATCATCTAACTGTATAATAAAGGTTCAATCATTCCGCGTTGGCTAACCAGTTGTTGTCCAGCCATAACCTCTCCTTCCTACTCCGTAGAACATGTTGAATTTTTACAACGTTGAAGCGAAGGGGGGGGGGGTTTAGGGCTAAATAATTTACAAAGGAAGAAATGCAACGAATCAACAAGGTGCAAGTCGATCATGCTCTAGGTCCTCCAAATTAAAGTTTGTGACATTATCATTAAATTAACCATCAACTTAAAACATCGACTAGAAGGTGAAAAATGTTACGACAAAATTGAACAAAATCTGTCACAACTCAAGCGGAACAGATATTCTCCATTAGATAACATCTAATGGTACAAGGACCACTTGCGGATTAACTCAACCAAAATTGCATATCAAAACCCTTGAAGGTGGAGAGGAAGGACAAGGGAAAGTCCCACCTCGACAGGTCTAGCTTCGACATACTTCGTATTACAAATTCTTATATGACTAGCTAGAGAACCATTTCGTTAATAATTATTCATAAGCAAATCAAAATTACAAACTTAGTAGACCTCGGAAACATAATATTTGATAAAAGCAAATTACATTTCATGATTATTTACTTGCTCTGCTAGCAAATTCATAGACTTTTTTATGCAAAATGTAGTAAACTAATCCGTGCATAACTTCAAATAAAAAAGTAAAACAAAACCAAACAAAAAAATGATTTCAAGGGTTCTAACCCAAAAATTATTTTAATCATCATTATCACTCAAGGTTTTCGGTACGCGTTTTCAGTTTTTTTCCTACCACTTTCATCATTCTTTCATACAGTGGTAATATTGATTTGTGAGATTGATGGAAGATTTGCTCTAAAAGATTGACGGAAGTAATGAATTGCACTATGACGATATTTTCAAGACCTTAAATTTTGGGGGCTCTAAGCTACCTACCGGATGCAATTTCCGGGCTTCTAAGCTACTTATCGGATGATGTTTCCTGGGCTCTAAGCTACCCACCGGTTGGTGTTACCGGTAGTAACGGCAAATACCTTTGTCAATTTTCGAGCAATAACATATGTAGTAGCAAAAGGTAATGAATTACAGTAATTAAATGGCATTTTTTTCCGAACTAGACATGTATATAGAAATTAAGCAACCTAATTATGAAACAATAACTACATTTTGTTAAATTAATCGATCAAGCAACCAAACATGTTTAAGAGACGAACTCAATGTAGAAGTGGTTTGGAGGATTGCATTAGGGGAAGAGTGAAGCATCAATTAGTGAAACAGGAATTGATTTAGAATAGGATATTTTGTCTTTTTATTTACATATTTTTAATCTTTTTCTGCATTTATGTTGTACTGCATTAAGTACTCGTGTTTGTTTTATTTTATTTTATTTTTTGTTGTTAATTCTCATTTAATGGCAAATATTTCTCTCTTCCATGCTCATGCACCATAATTTATCAACAAATAATAACCCAAAAAAAAAAGTGAGTTCAAACACAATTCTCAAAAAGTGAATGGAAAGAGAAATTCTTATGATTTAATGTCTCAAAAGTTAATATTGACATTAATAAGTTGTAATTTAAGAAGTTGGGAGCAAATTTATTTGTATAAAATTGAAATCGATGTACGTAATGTTATTATACTTGATTTTTGTTTATTTCATGCAAATTTATAAATAGATATCTTTGTTATTATTAACTTGATATTTTTTTATTACACTTAAATTATTTCTAATGAACTGAAAGTACTTTTACCTTATTTTTACCGATTTTTTATTTTTATTAAAATATATTATAAATGGAACTCATTTTAAAGAACTTTTTAAAAGAATTTTATGATAGAAATAAAACTGAGGTATAAGATATTTATTATTATTGATTTCGTATATATGAAATATTAAAAGTATATCGATAATAAAACACTATACAACAATTTTATTTTAAAAAAATCTATCCAAAATTCGCTTACTTAGGATTATATGTGTCACAATAAAATCTATTTGTCGCCTACGTGGCTCGTCACTTGGCGAAAAACTGATATGTCAACCGGCTTTATATATTAGTGATATAATATGATTAACTGACATAAATAGTGATGCATTTAATAAAAAACGGAGGAAGTATTTCTTTATACGGGTAAAAATTTGGTTAGTCAGGCACTCAAGCGTATAATGTTGGTGGTGCCTTGGCATTACAAACTCCAAAGTTTTCTCTCTCGTATACTCCCAGCTTATTGCTCTTCTTGTTCCCCAAATTTCTTGAAAAAAACTATGGAGTTTGTAGAAGAAGAAGGCAAGAAATCTCACTCTCACTGCTCCACTTTAATACTGGTAAGCTCAATTAAACTTAATTACTCTACATTTTTCTTGATTATTTGGTCATTTTAATTAGTACTCCGTAGTAGTAGGTTAACCAATTATGCTAAATTTGATTTCGTTTCTTTTGGTGATTTCTGGGTTGAATTGTATTGCCCAGCTTTATCAATAGTAATTGTGAGACAATTAGAAGTAGATTTGTTGATATCATCAACTGGTACATAGAAATCGGGTATTTGAATAATCCGAATATCCCTCCTTGCGTTGGTAATGGGTTTAAATTGTTATTATTGAATTAGCAAAAATTAGGCCCTTTTAGAAGTTTTATGGTAATGTTGTAATCGATGTTATAGATACTAGAATGTCAATGTGATGATATACTAGCTTGTTTAAACAAAATGAACTGAATGCCCTCGTAATATATACTTCCTCCTCTGACTCTGTATTAGATATACTACCATAATCATAAATCCTAAAGATATATTCTCTAAATAATATCTTAACATCAATAAATCTAAATATATTATCTCCTAATGATATCTACGGAAAATATATCACACATATATTTTCCGATATCTTATATCTCTAACATCCTCTGACTCTGTATTAGCTCCATCACATTAATGATCAATGTATGGTTCACCTTGACTATTAGAACCTAAAACATATCTACTTGCTGTATTTTTCTAAAATAAACCACTAATATTCGTAACTCATTATTACCACTATCCATATGTGGTAAAAATTTAGCTGCAAGTGTTTCAAAACTGATCTTGTTGCTACTTTTGACCGGTAAAGATTATGACTTATCGAACCACGTGCTCAATGTTTTGTAAACCTTACTCTCTATTTGTTGTATACAACTGGTGAAGATAGCGGATGGATCACCACATTTTCATGGAAGAGCGTGTATGGACCACCTGCAGATATGTGATTGAAGTTGGAAAATATAGGACATCAAATACATGTTGAACTCTATGTTTATTAGTTTACAAATCCAAGTACATGAAAACATTGATCAGAACTCAGAAGATCCCAGCTGTGAAGGAGTTGAATTGACAACAATATACGAAGCTTCTGCAGCTGATCGAGTTTGTTTCTTTAGGTACTCTTCCTTAATCACCATTCAACTGGAATTGTATGGTACAGTATCAGTCCTTAATTACAGTTCTGCCTCTGTTCAATTATGTATTGCTTTTGATAATGAACATAGTATGCATACTTTTTTTTGTTTCTTCTTATTCCATTAATATACTGTGGGTTGCAGAGTTGATCTCATTTGGTTTATTTAGGTTTCTATTATGATTTGCTTATAAAATCCTGATCATGCATTGATTGTGGCATTATGTGAATACTTGACTTTTAACATTGTTGGGGCATTGCCTTCTGGTACATGTGACTAATCAATGCATCATTGTAATATGATTATATGGGGACCATTTCTAAACATCTTAGACCACGCCGTACTTTGTTACTCTTGCTCCCCAATTAACTTCCTATAAGGCCCTTTAACTAAAATAAAAAGATTGGAAAAATATAAATAACAGTATATAAATGTTTGTTGAATTCTTCAAACTACGTCGTTTTTAATATTTAATTTTAGGTTTTAAATGAGGGCGCCCCCATTACTCACTGTGATTGTGGTACAATTTATTTACGAAACTGTCACTATGAGAAACAAAAACGTTTCTCACAATGAGTAACAGAGATTTATCGGTTTTAAATACTGTCAATATCAACTAGCTCTTACTACATGTGACGTTTCAAAGAAGGCCTTGAACTACAAGAATTTTGTGTGTTAGATAAATATGCGTAGTTGACATGTTTGCTACTATGAGAGCTACCTTTGCTTTTCCTAGCACCTTATTCGTTCATTTTCACCCCTTGGCTTTAATACTTTTCAACTTGATAAAATTTATGTACTTGATTTTTTTGTGGTAAAGGTGACAAGTAGTTGGCCAATTTGGAATTACTATCCAGCGAATTAGGTAGAACCCTAAACCCCCTGAAAAGAACTGAAGCGGTTAGAAAGATTGTCAATAATGCGTGGTAAACATATATTATGGTCATTACCAATGTATGCTATATAATAGATGTTCTAATCTTACCATTGTATTAAATTGCCCTTCCCTCACAATGTCATCTCCATTTGTCTCCTCTTCTGTCCTCTCATCATCACCATCCTCAGATCTTCCTCTATGTGATATCCCTGGAAGTTATGGTCTGCCCTTCTTTGGAGCAATTAAAGATCGGTGGGACTTTTTTTACCTCCAAGGACGAGACCAATTTTTCAGGTCTCGCATGGAGAATTACAAGTCCACAGTTTTTCGAGCAAACATGCCTCCCGGTCCTTGGATATCCCCTGACCCACGCGTTATTGTTCTTCTGGATGCCAAAAGCTTTTTAGTTCTCTTTGATAATTCCAAGGTTGAAAAACGTGATCTTTTTACTGGAACTTACATGCCATCCACCTCCTACACCGGGGGTTATCGTGTATGCCCCTATTTGGACCCAAGTGAGCCTGAGCATGGATCTCTTAAGGCCCTGCTATTCTCTTTCCTTGCCTCCAAGCATGAGGAGTTCATCCCTCTCTTTCAGAGCTGTATGAAAGGCCTGTTCTCTGGTCTTGAGGATCAGCTGAGAGACACAGGCCGGGCCGGGTTTGAGCAGCTCAATGATGTAATATCTCTTGAATTTGTTTTCAAGCTGTTTTGTGATGGCAAGAGCCCTTCAGACACCAAATTAGAGTCCAATGGGGCTATTATGCTCAAGAAGTGGCTACTTGGCCAAATAGGACCTGTGGGTTCTTTGGGATTGCCCAAGTTATTATATCCAATCGATGATTTCATAATGCATTCTGTTGGAATACCTTTTCTCTTGGTGAAAGGTGACTATAGAAAGTTGTATGATTCATTTTACTCCTCAGCAATATCATTCTTAAACAAAGCAGAAAGTTTTGGTTTAAGTAGAGAGGAGGCATGTCATAACTTAGTTTTCATTGCTGGATTCAATTCATTCGGAGGGTTTACAACATGGTTTCCGTCAATGATGAAATGGGTTGCATCAGCAGGGGAGAGCCTACATCGCGAGCTAGCTAAGGAGATCAGGACCATTGTGAAGTCTGAGGGTGGGGTCACTCTGAATGCCATCAACAAGATGGCATTGACCAAGTCTGTGGTTTACGAGGGTCTAAGGATTGACCCTCCTGTACCATACCAGTACGGGCGGGCTAAGGATGATTTGGTGATCCAAAGCCATGACGCTTCATTTAAGATTAAGAAAGGGGAGATGATCTTTGGGTTCCAGCCGTTCGCTACAAAAGATCCAAAGATCTTTGACGATCCTGAGAAGTTTGTAGCAAATAGATTCGTAGGGGAAGAAGGAGAAAGGCTGGCTAAGTACGTGTTATGGTCGAATGGAAAAGGGACTGATAATCCGATGGTAGATGATAAGCAGTGTCCTGGTAAGAATCTGGTGGAGCTTATGTCTAAAGTGTTCCTGGTGGAATTCTTCTTACAGTATGATACATTTTCTGTTGATGCCTCTAAAACCACCCTAACGTTCTTGTCCTTGAAGAAAGCCACCAGCACTTGATGTTCAAGAAACAATGATGTCTTATCATCGTTTATTTTGTTCAATCTTCTTTTTTTTTTTTTTTTTTGTTTTTTTTTTTTTTTTTTAATGTACTTTATGTGAAGTTATACATGGATAGTTTACTACCATTTGTCTTAAAAAAAATCTATGAATTTGCTAGCACAAGTAATAATTATGAAATAAAATGGTGCTTTTTTCTGATTTGATAATTTTTCCAGGGCCGCATCAAGTTTGTGATTGTGATTTGCATATGAATAATTATGAAATGATACTCTTTTCATTTAAGTGTACAATTTTCAAATAATACTTCGTTATATGGAGTATGTCGTAGACTCGTTGAGGTAGGGCTTTCCCTAGTCCTTCCTCTCCACTTCCAAGGGTTTGGTATGCCAAATATAACTCCACGGTCTTCAGAGTTAACATGCCTCCCGGTCCTTGGGTCTCTCATGACTCACGAGTTATTGTTCTTCTAGATGGCAACAGTTTCCCTGTCCTCTTTGATACTTCTAAGGTTGAAAAACGCGATGTGTTGACAGGAACCTACATGCCTTCCACCTCCTTCTCTGGAGGTTATCATGTGTGCGCCTACTTGGACCCAAGTGAGCCTGCGCATGGCTCTCTTAAGTCCTTATTACTTTCTTTCCTCAACTCAAAGCATGAGGGGAGCGTCCCACTCTATCAAAGTAGTCTAAAGGCATGTTCGATGAGCTAGAGGATCAATTGAGGGGCAAAGGTCGGGCTGAGTTTGGACTGCTAAACGATGTTGTATCGCTTGAGTTTGTTTTTAGGTTGTTTTGTGATGGCAAGAGCCCTTCGGATACCAAGCTGCAGTCCAAGGGACCTAGCATGTTCAAGAAGTGGTTAATTTGCCAATTAGCACCTTTGAAAACATTGGGCTCAACCAAGTTGTTAATCCCTATTGATGATTTCATATTACATTCTATTAGGTTACCATTTTTCTTGGTGAAAGGTGATTACAAAAAGTTGTATGATGCATTTTACTCCTTGGCGACATCATACTTAGACAAAGCAGAAAGTTTTGGTATAATTAGAGAAGAGGCATGCCATAACCTGGTTTTCATAGCTGGATTTAATGCATTTGGGGGGTTTTAAAGATGGTTTCCATTATTCATCAAATGGGTTGCATCTGGAGGGGAGACCCTACACTGCGAGTTGGCTAAGGAGATCAGAGCCGCTGTAAGATGCGAGGGTCGAGTCACTTTGAATGCCATCAACAAGATGGCCTTGACCAAGTCAGTGGTCTATGAGGCTCTAAGGATTGAACCTCCGGTGCCATACCAATATGGTTTGGCTAAGGATGATTTGATAATTCATAGCCATGATGCTTTGTTCAAGATTAAGAAAGGGGAGATGATCTTTGGATATCAACCCTTTGCTACAAAAGATCCAAAGATATTTAATGATCCGGATAAATTTATAGGATTTGTTGGAGAGAAAAGAGAACAATTGTTGAAGTACGTGTTATGGTCGAATGGGAGGGGAATTGATGATCCGACAATGATAATAAGCAATGCCCTGGTAAGAATTTGGTGGAGCTCTTGCCTAGAGTTTTCTTGGCGGAATTCTTCTTACGCTATGACACATTTTCAGTTGAAATTGGCAGCTTGTTATCAGAGACCACCGTGACCTTTTTTTCCTTGAAGAACGCCACAACAAGCACTTGATATTGGGGAGAATCGACTTTTTAAGGATTGATAATCAATGTGAAGTTATGTGTGATTTTCATATTACCATTTTATGCAAATTAAGGGCATAAGGCAAAGGCAAAGGCAATAATTGTAGATCAACATGTTTGAATTCGAGTATAAGACTTGCTAAGAGAGCAAGTGAAGAAGTAATGTATTCATAATTATATACTTCATACATACATCTTGAAGTGATGTTCTTCTAAATTGAATAAGGGCATAGTGCTATAAATAGAACTTCTTTAGATCTTTTGAAATCGGAAGGAAAGCTATAAGATATAACCACTTGAAATATCTCTCCCTCTAAAGAAAAATGTATTTATATTTAGCAAGTATATGTATTTATAGCTATAACGTACATATATTGTGAATAATATTCTATCTAAATTGGATGCCTTATCACTCTTATTTGTTCCCTAGTTTTCGGTCGTTAAAAAACCATAATTTGATGCTACTTAGTACTTACTACACACTGAAATGTGTTTGGGAATGGATTCAAGCCTATACAATGGACAAACTCTAATAATAATTTTTTTAAAATAAATAAATAAATAAAATCAGCCCAACTCGAAATTTAGGCCCAAAAACAACTGTCCAAACCCAGGCAATTTTGGGCCGGACTCGCTGCTTACGATCTACTCAAGTTATTGCTATTAAAAAAGTAAGAGAAAATATAGTGAAATTGTACATTTGGACTCTTTAAGCCATTTGAGTGTTTTTGTTGATTCAGAGTAAATTTTTTTTTTAGAAAAAAAGGGTGAAAAAGACACATCCATATAGTGATATAGGGAGTAAGAACTAAGTTGTTGGGTTTTATTCAAGGATAAAAATTTTGGAAGAAATGAGGCTTTTATTAAGAGTTAAGAGAATGTTTTTTTTTTTTTGAAGTATGGGCAATAAGAACTAACTTGAGCATCGGCGAGGCTCCATCACGAGGAATCATACATAGTATATCTCCTCCCATAATCAAAAAGCGAATTGGGTGGCTTGCTTGTTGCCAGGAGAGCTTGATGTTTTACATGAGCTCTTTGTTCCTCAGAAAAATTATTATGTCGCTCATTTTCTCAAGTTATTTCTTGTTGGAGCATTACTTTACTTGACTCGTGCATTAGATATGCTTCTTCTGTTAGTCGGTTACTTAAAAAATATTTACACCATTTATATTTTGAAGGTCAACTTAAAACTTGACTATAAATTTCATTATTAAATTAAGAAGGCACGTGAGATCATGTGAAAACTTCTTAATATTATGTACGAGTATTAAAGCATAAATTTTGTTACAATGTACAATTATAGATATTTATAGTCAAGTACTCAAGTTAATGTGTTGTAGATTCGTTAACTATGAAAAAGCAAATGGTGTAATTTATCAAAGCATGAATTGAAGTATGTAGACATGTAGTTACAGGCAGTGACGGATCCAGAAAAAACATTTAACGGGGTCAAAATACATTTGATAAATTTTAGTGGGGCCAAGTGAGTAATTTTATGAGAAAAAAAAAAAAACCAATTTTTTAATTAAAAACTTTATTTTAGGGAGAATTTCTTTTCTTTTTTTCATGTTCAAGTGGAGTCACTTATACATGCATCTGTCACATACAAGCACATGCTCTGTATTACTAAAATGAAAAAAGTATGGTCATTGTTTTAGAAGAATTACACCTAGACACAACAGAAACACGACATGATCCGATACAACAACACACAGAAAATTAGTTCTAGCTTGATCACACAATCATGGCACGATACAATATAACACAGAGGCATATTGCCTTGGGTTGAGACTGGGCCTCCTTTCTAAAAACTTCAATCAGCACGACACCTAGTGAGTAGGCTTAGCCACAGTGGCTTATCCAAGATTCCAAGTAATCCTCTGTCTCATAATAATCGCAACACTTTGATTTTTTGCACTTTATATGTTTATTTTGACTCTACTTTTTATCAATATATAAAAAACATATATTGCCATATAAAATATATTTGAATTATTCTTTATATAATTTCATTATATCAATTTTTTATATTTCTTCTCGTAAAAAAAAACTTTTTATATTTCTTAATAATACTACCTCCGTTTTTTTTTAGTTGACACATTTTGACTTTAGCATTATTCACACTCTCCTTTGACCGTGTTTTGTACTTTATATGTAATGAAAAATATAGTCACGTGGAATCTTGTTAGATTCGTCACGATATATATTTTCAAAATATCAACTTTTCATAATTTTTGCTTATCAATAATTAAAGATATGAATGGTTGAATTTGTTCATTGACTAAAGAAACGTGTCAACCAAAACGGAGGTAGTATAAGGCACGCGGGTCCAGCACGGCCCACTTCCATCTGCAGTACAAAAATCTTCTTAAAGTGATAAACAGCTAAAATAAAATATCAATATCAACTTCGAGATTCATTGATAAAGATCGATTGCAGAGTGGATGAGTCATATTCTTAGATACGTGCCCGCAATCCCACAAGGCAGAGGACACGTGTCACAATCAAATTGGTAAGAAAGACAATGAAAGTGCTAGAAATGAATGAATGTATCACATTGCCAGCAACTCTATTGTCTGTCATTACACCACTTAGCTTGGTATTACTATCACTTCTGTCATTGTATATATATTAATAATCTTTCCTTTCTTAATTCTTATCTATTTGTCTAATTAATTATTTGCCATCAAATATTCAAACCTAGCAATGCTAAATGTCACCATATTAATCAACATACTCGATCACGTTACCATGTCAATCATACAATTATATTGTAATTTGTAAGTCAATTTGTCCAAAAAGCCATCCAATTCTTGTGAGACCCAACGATCGAACAAGATTTCCTGAGATTTTGAAATACTTATCTTAAAATTATGCAAATTTTTCTCACAATATCATCTTAACTTTTTTGAACAGTTTTACTCATGAATTTATCTTTAGTCTCACACCTTATTTCGTCCTCATCTCATTAAAAAATTAACTTTGACTTTAATGGTCATACTGATTATAATTATTGAAACAAAGTTATTACTTGTATTTGATAATCATCAAATGTGCAATCATCACCAATTATTAATTGGAAATACGACAAGTAATTGTAAATTTTTTGGCTAACTAGTGCTAAGTTTCGAGTTAAGGTGAAGAAAAATAAGTTTGGATAACTCAAACTACTCAAAATAGAATTAATCCAACACACAATCAAAGTTCACAAATATATATACTCCGTAATTCTCAACCGAATAATCTAACGGTCTAACCAATTGTTCCGAATTAAACTCGACCGATCTATTTGACATGTCACATGTCTTCTAGCGAGCAGGTCGGCAGGCTATTCTTATTAGTTATTACTGCCGAAAATAGGATTGTTCAATCATACAAGTAGAATGCTACAAAATAGATATCTTTTACTACAAGGGTAGTTGGATAATTGGATCATTCATGATTGTGTCCCAGTCCAATTAGATCCATTATTTTTTGTAATAAAAAAAAGTGATAAAAAGTTACATTAAATATTGTCTTCATGCAGATAAATAGCTTACTATAAAAATTATTTTGGGTAAAATTACATCTGTCTAATGTCTATATCTACCCATTCTTCTCTTTTGACTTAACAGCAGCATAATTTTTCCCTCTTCACTACAAACACGTCGGCAATAATTTAAATCCCTTTTTTTTTTTGTACAAAATCTCAAAATTCTAGTAAAAAATTTAATTTCCCAATTAATTGTTCTATTGAATTTATTCTTTTTCCCATTTTATTTGGAATTTCAGGAAAAATGAAGCAAATGGATTATTTGAAGATGAAGACAGAGGATGAATTCCCTAGTAATCAACTGAGTTCAGATTTGAAGGAAGTGCATAATGCTGCTAAAAAGCTTGCTTCTGATGTTATCAGGCTTGGTGGTTTGGGTTTTGGCACCTCTTTTCTTCAATGGATTGCTTCCTTTTCTGCCATGTATAACTCTTTCTTTCTCTCTCTAGAATTGATGCAATTTTTGATGCAAAACTGTTGTATTGAATTATGAGTTTGTTTGAATTGATGAATTTTCATCTGGGTTTTTTTTCATCTGATGATTTGAAGTAATCATTTTTGCTCATCTGATTGATCTATTTTTTTTTTTTTTTGGGAATAAAACAGTTTCTTGGATTGTTGATTGATTTTAGTGAAAATTATACTCTTAGTTTTGGGGTAAATTAATATTGGGTAATCATCCATTAATTTGAACCCATGATCACATTTTTTTGGGTGCACGGATGGATGGTAAAACGTCAAATTTCATGCTTGTGAAATTTTATCATGGCGAAGTTGTTGAAATTTTCCCTCTTAGCTTAGTTCCTTTCAAGTAAATAACCAGTAATTTGATGTTTTACCATCAGAATAGCATATTAGCATTTGAGGGAATAATTAGCTGCATATACTTGTTTGTCTAGTATTTGAGCAATTTATCAACTTTTGCATAGCTGTATTTGAAAGAAAAATGTGAGGCAATTTAGAATTGGACTTCATTACAGCATTGCTCTTAAGAGGTTAAGGCTTGTATATGAGATTATGAGGTGAAGTTAGAGTAAGCTAAGTTCAGATTTATTTTGTGGCATAATCATCCGTGCTCAATGACAACACAAGAGTGATAGATGCGCTAAATGCGTTCCACTAAATAGATTTTAATAGCTCTCTGGGTTTTTAAATCAGTCTTGTGGGTTGAATTGATTACTATAATCGTGTGTCTCTATTGCAAGCAAGTGCTGGTCTTTCTGCATAAACTTGTTTGTCTAGTATTTGTGAATTGCAATCAAACTAATGGTCGAATTGAAATTTTATTGTCTGCAACTTGTTTTACTATCCTATATGCGGTTTTTGTCATTCAAGCGCCCATTTGTTGATAATTTTTCCTCTATTTCTTGTTGCAGTTATTTGTTGGTTTTGGACCGCACGAACTGGAAGACTGAGATCCTAACCGGCCTCTTAGTGCCTTACATTTTCTTCAGTCTCCCTGGGATTTTGTTCAACCTTCTGAGGTAGTTTGATGGACAGTAGCCTGGGTATTAAAAGGCTGTCTCTATCTTTTGATCTCTTTTTCACCAATTTGATTGACAATGCAGGGGAGAGGTTGGAATGTGGATTGCTTTCGTGACTATCATATTGCGTGTTTTCTTTCCACAACGCTTCCCTGGTATGCATTTACTTGACTGTGTTAGTTTGACATCAGATTTTCCTATTTGTTTTGTTAAAAAGATAACTATTAAGGAGTATCTTCTTTGTTTTTTTTAATGGGTCTACTTTCCACATTGCTTCATGACGTGATGGCTGGTATCTGCTGACTACTCAAACATTTAATACTTCATTATCTGTCTTTTTAATGATACCATTGTCTGATTTTGGGGTCTCTTCTCCTTTGAGTTAGTTGTCGATCATATCTATATACTTTCACTCTGACTCTTCTGTAGCCTTCAAGCTAAGAATTTATAGTATCGAATTCATGGATGGCAAACTTTTGGCCTTTGTAAAGTCCACAGAAAATCTCAACAAAAACTTTGGAAAGGTTCCTCAAATGGCAGCTACCAAATCATAACAAAGTCCTTACAAGCCATGCTCGTTAGACCTTTATTAAACTTTGTTGGAAAGTCTCAGCATTGTTAGAAAGAATTTCACTCTTATGTTTACACTACCTCCTTGAGACCTGGTGGCCTCAGAGAGTCTACATTGCTTATTTGGATAATAAATTAGTTTCGGGGACATGACTAATATTTAAAATTTTCCTTTCCTCCACATCTCCTTGTTGACATTCACTTGTGTTAGATTTGAGAATATTCTCCTCATTGCATTCGGCTACATGTAAACAGGATCTGAAGTTTATGTTGCTGTATTCTGCGTTTTTATTTTCCTACTTGTTTGGCATCTGCTTTCACCTTTTTTGCTAGAGCCATTACAGGACTGATAGTTTTTGAAGAGAAATATAGCGTTCTTCTAGGAAGCAAAATGGACATAGATCAGGATGCAATATACTCAAGTAGTGGAAAACTGCCAAATCCAAGTAGTAAATAGAGGTGGTACATAGGAACTTGATGGTTACTGACTGAAGATGTTTGCTCCCTCATTAAAAAATAGTTTGGCGGTGCTGCTTGTACCATCAGTGTCCTGTTTGTTATTTAGCTTTACTGAAATTGAGCTGATTGAAGCATTAACTATGAGTTCTACTTTGCTTATGTGGATATTCAAGATGATCCCTAGCTTATAACACCTTCACATCTTTGTTGCTGCAGATTGGCTGGAGCTGCCAGGTTCTGTCATTATCATCATAGTGGTAGCTCCGAGTTTGTTAGCATCCTATGTCCGTGGTGGTTGGATTGGCGCAGCAATTTGTTTGGCGATTGGATGTTACTTGCTGCAAGAACACATTCGAGCATCAGGAGGGTTTAGGAACTCCTTCACAAGGGCTAACGGGGTATCAAACACCGTAGGCATAATCCTTTTGCTGGTCTATCCAATTTGGTTCCTGATAGTCAACATTCTCTAATCTGCTTGAATTCTTCTGTGGCTTGTACATTTGTTGACTGTTTTTACATGTACAAGGCTTAGTATCCTATCATTGTTTGTTATTGCATTTAAATTTTTGTGCTGAACATGCTTTGATTTCATTTGTTTGTACCTAAGTTATTAAGAGTCAAATTAAATTTATGTGGATTCTTAAGCTTTTGTCACATCAGTCTATTGCTTTCTTCTTTTGTCAAGTAATAAACCAACCTACCTAGCATGAAACGATTGCAGATAATTGTGAACAGATTTTGATCGTTTGACTAAAAATGACATGCAAAATTCCTAAACAAACATTTATTAGTAAAACAAAACTATTTAGGCTATGTTTTTATCCATTTTATTTTAAGAAGCTATTACTATTCTTAAAAAGTACTTGTAAGACAAAATCAAACTAGAGTTGAAAAGTTCAAATTAGAGTTTATCATAACTCTATAGACAAAAAATCTTGCGTTGACCTGGTCCACAATAATATTATTGTGAACCCGAGGTTTATACGCACGCAATCAATGTTATATAAAACATAGTGGCCCTAATTTTAACATGGTAACCTTATTTTTAACATAGTAACCTTTATTAAAAGTTGTGCGACATTTAACATTATTGTGAACTTGAAATACGACGTTATGTTAAATATAGTGACCCTAATTTTAACTTAGTAACCTTTACTATTTATATTGACAAGTATATAAAAAAATTCATTAAAACAAATAAAATAACTTCTTATAGCCTTTTATAATATCACAATGACTTTTATTTCAACATAATAATATCTTTAGATCCATATGCTTGCTTCCAAATATTTTTAATAATTCTGTAATAATTAAGATTAAATAATTGAAAAATACAAATCAAGATTTATCAAATAAGAACTTCGTTAGTGATGATAATATAGGGTTAAGATATGATTTGGTGAATAATATCTTTAGAATATTTGGTATCATCTTTAACGAACTTATAAAGTTATAAGTTGTTAGGATTGTTTCCTAATATCTGAGACAGGTTATCTCTTGAATCAGTTTAGACCCAACTTTAGAAAATTCATACTGGAGGGAAGTATCAAAATTCGAAACAGAACATTATCAAAATGAAAATACTAAATCTTAAGAAGGCCCATTAGCTCAGTTGGTTAGAGCGTGGTGCTAATAACGCCAAGGTCGCAGGTTCGACCCCTGCATGGGCCATTTATTTTTAGTTTTTCGTTTTTAGGGATGTTCAACACATTATGTAATTAATATAATATATCTTTAATATTAACATCATGGCCCATTAGCTCAGCTGGTTAGAGCGTGGTGCTAATAACGCCAAGGTCGTAGGTTCGATCCCTGCATGGGCCATTTATTTTTGCTAATTTTTAAAAACTCTTCAGGATCTAAACTAAAAAAAACCTAAAACGGGCAAAAAGCATAAAGCATTCAGAAATTCTGATGTCTGATTTTGTTAGCGGAGCACTAAACAACAGTATGGTATGAATGTATGAACGAACAAAAAATTATATCAAGTTATCAACTACTGCACAAAGGTAGTGTACATCAGAATCATTCAGATGTGCAATGACAAAATTACATCAACTACTGCACAAAGGTTTTGGTTTTACTAAAATGGCTTTGAAGATTTGAAAGGCCTACGACATTACTAAGATGCTCTTGATTTTACTAAGATAGCTCTGAAGATGTTAAACGCCTACGACATTACTATAGCTTTGGGCCTAACGCCTACGACATTACTATAGCTTTGGGCCTAACGCCTAATTCAAGTTGTTAGCTTTAACACAACAACATTGTACAGAGTACAAGTCATTAGCTTTTGCCACAACAACATTGTACAAGTCAATAGCTTTAGCCACAATACTGGTGTCATTAGCCTGATTTCTAAATATAGATGTTAAATACTGCACTCGCTACTCTAGCCTTACAGTTCTTGCTCAAAGGTTTAAACACGGACATCATTGCCTCATCAGCCTTCCTCAATCTACAAGGCTTCATTCAACTCAAACAATGAGATTAAACGACTAGAGCTCGAATTGCTAGCATAAACCCCTCAAGATCAATACAGGAGCAGAAACAACACTGAAGTAATCAGTAACATAGACTGTAAACCTGGACTAATCATAAGCTCTCTCTAAATTGTATGCTATCAAAAGAAAGCTGCTTTTCATACATCACCCATGATGCAAAGCTACACAAGGTTTCTCCAAAGACAAACTAGCAAGAAATCCAAGCTGAAGAAACAACGCAAATTAGAAGTAAAGTTGATTTCACTCACAATTTTGGTTACAGATTAGAATCTAGTTACTACTCTAAACCATACAAATCTACACAGCAATTCCAAATCAAAAACCTAACTAATCCGACAACTTCACAACTACCATTTGATAGCATCCTAGTACAAAATGAAATCCCCAAACATACAACTCTCTCAATCTCCCCTGATACTATACTATGCAATTCAAGCACCAAAAAAAAAACTCTCCAATTCTCACCGGAGATTAGACTACAATCAAATGGGAACTAGCATCTAGGAGGCGAGGCGTCTCCCTCACTGTTCCTGTCATCATCGTCGTCATCATCATTGTTGTCAACAAAGTGATCAGACCATCCTCTAACAAAAGTTTCAACAATGCTTTGGTGATACTCAAGCATCATCCGAGTTCGATTCATCTCAATGTCCATCCTCGCCTTCTCCGAGTCTCTCACCATCTCCATCTTAGTCATCTCAGTCCTAACATACCCTTCTCCCAACATTCGTATCGCCTCCACCATCGCCATCGCCACATTATCCCCTGCCTCTCGTCTCCCCTCTTTCTTCCCCAACGCACTCCTCTTCTTCTTTATCATCTTCATTACCCCCAATCCATTCCCAGACGAAAACCCACCTCCACCATTGCTCCCATAACTCCCCGAATACCTCGGTCCAACATCAAATTGATTAGGAGGCGACCCAAATTCATTACACCTTGACTGAATTGACGAATTAAATCCAAACCTAGGGTTAGGGTTAGGGTTAGAAATTTCCTGAAATCCTCCATAATTCTTTCTCAAATTCAAATTGGAATTGGAATTCCCAGCAATTCGAATCTTCAACCCATTTCTCCCATAATTCTTCACTCCCTTTCCGAAAGACCCACCAACCCCATAATCCTCATCATTTACATCATCATCATCATTACCACCATCTTCTTCCTCTTCTTCATCAACACCATTAAATCCACCATTCCCAGCAGAAGAAGCAGGACCAGAATTACCCTTTTCCATGGAATCCATTTTAGAGAAGTAAATCCAAGAAGAAGAAAAGCGATGATGAGGAATAGACTTAGCTCGCTGAAGCTCAGAACGATAACGTTTCCTGAGCTTCTCCATTTTATGGCGACATTGAACGGAGGTTTTGGGGGGAGAAACATGAGGGCAAAGACGGTGAATAGTGTCGGCAACATCTTGCCAGTGAGCAGCACGGAGGTTACCACGGCGGAGAGAGTACCATTTATCACGATAAGCGTCGATGAGAGCGGAGGTTTCATCAGGGGTCCAGCACGGCGGAGGAAGGCGGCGGGAAGGAGGTGGGGGTGGTGGTGGGGGTGCGGGGAGGAGGAGGGGGATGCCAAGAGGAGGGTCGAGGTAGTCGGAGAAAGGAGGTGGTTGGTGCGGCGGAGAGGAGGAAGCCATGGAGGAGAGAGAAAGTTGGGGAGAGAGAAAGAGGGGGGGTAGGGTTGATTATAAGGGGAAGGTGGGAGGATCCGGATGAGGGTGGGGCGGGTTAAAAACGCCCGCCTAGGACGGAGGAAGAAGAGGTGGGGGTGGGTGTTGAGATTCAGGGTTGAGGTGGTGGGGCCCACCTCATCTCACCCAACCCCTCAGAAGTTGTGTTTTTTACATCATGTTTGGTTTGGTTGGGTTGTGGTGTGAGTAATTTGAGTATGAGTGAGGATTAAGGAAGAGAGAGTTTTATTAAGTGGTTGTTCATTGTTTAACTTATTTTTACTTATTTCATAATAAGTTCAGAACATATTAGATCAGAAGAAAAAAAAAAACAATATCAAATCTGATTAGATAAAGTAAGTTCAGATCAGATCATTGTTTTATGTGCGGGTTTTTATCGCTAAATTTCTTTAATTTCATAATTTAAAAAAATTCTAAAATTTACATATTAATAAAAATATACATTATTACGAATCTAACAAGACCCAACTTAATAATTTTTTTCAAAAATTATCGTATAAATGTCAAAGTTTGGCCAAATCAGACAATCAAATCATACCAGATCAGATAAGCAAAAATAAGGTAAATTAAACAAGACCTAAGAGTGTTAGGCCTGGTTTTTTGAATGAATTGTGCTGAGCTAAATTGCACTAAATCTAATGGAGTTTGCTTGACAAAAAAAAAAGAAAAAGGATGGATTTAAATTGAATTTAATAAAGCTAAACTGAACTACACTAATATTATAACAATTTGAAAACAATTAGCACTGAGATAAACTTAACTAAAATGAATGCAATGAACAGAAATGAAATTTAACTAAAATGAATTGAACTTAAGAAAGCCAAATTAAATTGAATTGAACTTAAGAAAGCCAAATTAAATTGAATTGAACTTAATTGAGCTGAAATAAATTGAAATTATGTAAAAGATGTCCACAAAGCTAGGATGCACGGACACTTCGTCCAACAGCCGTGTCCATGTCCGACACCGTGTCCGACACCGACACTCGTTCGACACATGACGGACACACATAAAAACTACATCCGGTTTTATAATATATTTAGACACTTTGAGATGAATTGTATCCTACTATGATACGATCCGGTTTGCATTTTGATATGTCATCTCATCTTTTTAACCTTTTTAATTAGAAAGTTAGGGTAAAGTATGAGAGAAACAGGTAACAGTTATAATACAAGCGCCTTCAAAACACATTTCATAGCACATTATTGTATGTGAATTAGGAAAATATTATTTAGCTAAGGTAAAAAACTTGTTTTAAGGTTAATTATTTAGTGTTTTGTTGAATAGGTTGTCAAAATCTTGTTTTTTTTGACGTATTATTTGTCTTGTTATTTGCCGTACCCGTGTCCCCTATTTTAGGATTGCCGTTTTATCGTGTCCGTATCGTACTCGTGTCCGTATTGGTGCAACCTAGCCACAAAGTACAAGAGTCTTAATGTCCACAATCACTACTATTAGGGAGATTAAAACTGTGTTGATTGGCAGGAAATGTACTGAAATTTACAATGTCCACTAAAACTCCACACATTTTCCATCTTCCCTTTTAAATAGTTGTGAATTGTAATGTACGGTTTTGTACGTGAAAGCCTTGAAGCCTTCTCAATTTCTGTGGTGCTTTTATAAACTCATTACAGTCGCTATGTTTACATGACTGGCTTGTTTCGAAACAATCTAATCTGATTAAGTTCAACATTATACATACCTATGTATTATTGTACAGGATCACAGGCCTCGTGGCTTTGTCTAATCCTTAATTTTAGGGGAAAATGTACATCAGAAGCCTCCATTGGGTCTTCATGCAAGTCTCAGCAGCCAAAAGAAAGGAATTGAAAAACTAACAAGGCTCGATTTGGAATCCCAAATTGTCAAGAGTATCTCAATAATACTTCAAGATACAATTTTGTGATTAACAAAAATCTAAAGAATGAGATGCAAGGTTACAGCCTCCTAAAAGTTTCACTTGATTCAACTATATCTCTAGAGATGGCCTAGAGCCGATGTATCAGGGTGAGTTAACTCCAAAATCCTACGCATTTTGCTCAATGGCTGCCCCTGGCCCGTATATCAATCGGCAGCGGTCAGTAAATGAACTGACCAATCGAGATACAACCTCCTTAAAGAACATTGATGCCACCTATACAGGAAAGACATCATCATTGTTAGGAGGCAAGCAGTATGTATCCAACACAATCAAATATAGGTGTGTCAATACTAAGGAAAATTGCAGTCTCCTATACTAACTAAAATGAAAGGATTGTATTCAACTTCTTGTTGGAGCTAAAGGGGTCCAAAACAAGTTATACATGCAGGATCAAACGATGAATATTACCTGCCGGTAAAGCGGTGAACGGAACTTGAAATCGACCAAGAAGTAAACATTACAGGTGCCTGGAGTTGGACCTGGCCTGAATTCCCATATGTTGATCAAGTGTTCAAAAAGGTTGCTTTCAGATGCAGTGGTCTGACAGTACCATTAACAAAAGCAGAGATATCAGTACATATCAATCAATGGGTCAAAGAAATCATTTTACAATTACTTTCATCTGAAACCAAAAGATTCTAAACATAAAAAGGCATAGCTCACTCATCAAGCCATCAAGGGATACAGATAGATTTATAGATGAATGGATAGATTGATAAATTATCACTCAAGCAGGAACAATGCTTTACTACCATGGCAGGAATGACTCAGCAAGGGCTATTTATCTGTACTTATCCCCCATGATAATTAAGGGTCAAATAATTTTTCTCCCTCTGTAAATATTGCTCTTGAAGGTCTTACAAAATTTTTTATCCAAATAGTGCGGCTGATCCCTTCTTTTTACAAATATTTACAGCTTTGGGGAAGGAAAAAGGGGTGGGGTTCACACAATAGTTGCGTAAGAATTAATTATTAGTATATCACTACAACCCTTCTCCCCATCTATGCTCTCCTTTAGATCCACATTATTTACTAACTCATTCCTCTGCACATCTGAAATTCTGATCCTTACTTCAAAACGAATCAGCATCTTTAAGATTCAGCTATCACTGGCAAGGATACTAACACTGCTTTTGGATTATGAGAGAAGTCATAACAAAGATTCATACAAGTTAAAGCATTGAAGTGTTCCAAAGACCTAATCTTTATGGCCTTTATGCTCAACTTTTTTTTCATGCATCATCATATTGTATCTAATAAATAATAAACTCAATTCACTTAGGATTCTATTGCAATGCAGGAATAGGAGCGCAAATACAGACCCATTGTTAAAAGTTTAGTATAATTGCATTTTTAAAGTACATCCTCAATCATATCAAAATCACACTAGAACAGAAAACCTAAGAATATCATAAATTTCATAAAATCTTTACAAAAAAGGATGAGCATGTTCAGTCAGCTAGTGTATGAAAATCTGAATTAGGTGCAATGAAAAATGTACCTTAATGTACTTCGGCTTGTCCAAAATCACATGTGAAACATAACTCTCAACTAGAAATTTAAAACCAATTTCTAATTCAGCATCAAATGATCCATCAGGGTGATGTCGAATTATTTCTGATCTTTGGCACCAAGGTAAGAAACCTTCATACATATCTACAGCTGCAACGACAGCAAACAGTTGCTCAGGGGAGTACCTGTTTATAAAGATAATCTTTGTTCATTTCATGCTTCAGTCCACAAAACATCATAGATATGCAAAGAAATGATGCAAGTTAACTATGATGAGAAAGGCTTTATTTTATAATGGTTTGCAAGAATCACAACTAATCTTCACTCAGCATTTTTCCCTGATAGACAGGCTTTTTGCAAATAACCTTCTTCTGATTGCATTATTTTTCTTACAAAACATTCAGCAATGTATATCATGTTTGCTTCACAACACACTAAATTTATAGCCAAGTACGAGTAACATCCCTACTCTATATTTTCTTGATGATTGTTTCTCAGCTTAAATTTGTTCTTCTCATCTAATATCATCACATACTTGTACAACTCAACCCCATTATTCATCAAATCTATTCAACACAACAAAGATCCAATATATTCTACATAATGCAATACAGTTAACATTAACTCAAAACATAAACTTAATTCCTGGGAAATAATGGTATCATTGCGAAAAATAACCTAATGTATCATTCAATCTAGATTAAGTAAAATTAAAAGCAATAATAAGTAAAGAAAAACTCACCCAAGAACAAGTTTTTCCTCATGAACCTTAGAAAGAGTTCCTTCTTCACCATCTCCAACCCCTAAAAACCATCTTTTCTGCAAATTATAATTAGAATTTAACAATTCATTCGAACGATGAATCAAATCTCTAGAACAAAACCGATCAACTCCAGCAATGCTGCTCAAACATCGAACTGAAACATAATTTCCAATCTCGCCGAGATCAATTGTACGATTCTGATGTCGAATGAATGGTTTAATGTCGTTTTGTCGCAATATTCTGCTCCTCCCAGCTGTTCTCAATGCTGAGAAGAAATTCGGCATCTTGATTAAATCAACAAGGAATGGGGAAAAATCTTGAGAATTAATCGATTTAGTAAGTTGGAATTGCAGAAATTAATCTTCAAATTGAATTAGGGATAATCAATGATTTGATATGATCAAGTGTTTTGTGTATTCAATTGTTGGGTAAAAAATAGATAGAAAGTTGGTAGAAGATTGAGCAAACCCTAACGAGTTTGCTTGAAGCTGGGATGAAATCACACGTTTTTGCTTCCGATATTTCGTTTCTTTATTTATTAAAAAAAAAAAAAATACTCAGTATTTGAAACCCAAAATGTAGAAGTTGGTGACGTAAAGGTAATCTTCTTAATTTTCACAATTCTCATGTGAATAAATTTCTATTAGTGGAATTTTCTTTTTCGATGTGTGTGGATCTTTCAATCAAAATAGAAAAAAAAAAAAAAAAAAAAAAAAAAAAAAAAAAAGGAAAAATACATTAATAATCCCAATTATGACCGATTGATAACACGTTTATATATTCATTTTATATGTTATATTTGCGGGTTTTTATCATGTTTTCTACATACTTTTAATCTTTTAGAGCTATTATTCTTTATATTTCGATATTGCTCTCCTTGGTTTGTTTTATTTTGATTTTTGTAGGAATTGGGCTAGATTTGCTAGAGGTTTGCTTTGATCGTGATTCGACTTGTTAAAGGGAGAAATTTACATACAATAATGGACATGGCAGCCACCTCCACGGCTTTCCTGTGGGCGTACAACTCTCTCCACGGCCATCCTGTGGCCAACTCGTTTTCATATGGCAAAGAGCAGCTATGGCAGCCTTCTCCACGGCCTGCCTATGGTCGAACGCGGCTCTCCACAGCCTACCCGTGGTGGCTCCTAATTACTGCGTTTTAGGCCCTTAATTATGTTAATTTAGAGTCTTAAGCCCACTAAAATTCCTAGGATATATATAGACTAATAACAAGATAGAAAGGGGATTTGGGATCATTATCATTATTCCAGTTTATACGTTTGTTTTCTTCTTGTTCTTCCAACTTTGTTCCATTGAAGATTAATTCAAGTTCTCTATTTATCCAAGTATTTCTTCTTCTCTTTACTTCTTATTATTATTGTCATTATGTTTTCTTTCGTTAACTATTTCGTTTATTTAATCAACATGTGTGAGTAGTTTTATAATCTAGGGTTAGGTTGAACCCTAATATGGATTAATACGTTGTTTGGTTCTCAATCCTATATCTAATTAATTTATAATTCCTCTTTATTAGGGTTGGTTTTATTATCAATGATTAACTAGAAATAGTATTATTGAATGTGATTAGGTTTACAATGAAAGTTGATTCTTAATCGATTTTAGAACCCTAATTAAAAGTAAGAATCTTTATGCATGAAAATAGCTAATTATTCTTGCTAGGACTATTGGGATGCTGTTTTTAATGTCTTTAATATGTATGACTCCATGAAAATAGGTATGATTGCATATTAGGGAAGCTATTAGTTGATCGAAAGAAACTCTTAGTATTTGTTGTAGGGAGCACCCGTCCTGTGGAATATCTATTGATTTGATTGTGGGAAAGGGATTATTTTGACGTATTGATCTATATTAGTGGGGATTCCTAATTCTAGGTGTTTTTAGTTTATATTAATCTTCGTGTTAATTTATTTTCTTAATATTCCGTAGTTAGTAGTCAATACTCTTCATCATTGAATTTGTTACTTGCTTAGTAATAACTTGAGTCTAAATAGTTATAGGTGAACCATAGTCTCTGTGGGATCGACCCTGACTTACCCTACTACATAGTTAGGAGGATTAGTTAGGTTATTTTTGCTAGGTGTGCGACCGCCTATCACCGATTTAATCCTAATTATTGGGTATGTTTGCCGAGAGTAGTCCCAGCAGGTCACTAACTTATTGATGACAGTCATAAGCCTACGTGACCATCTACGTGGCTTTTTTTTAAAAAAAAAAAACTTTATTTTTTATTTACCTTACTTCTTTGCTGTAATTAAAAAGGAACTCCTCCAATTTTTTTTTCCCGTTACACTCTTCTCTCTCCTTTCTTGTTTAGTCTCCTCCCCTGTTCCTTTCGTTCTTGATTTCTGGAAAAAAAAATCTTTTTTTGAATTCCTTCAATTTTGCGATGGTTGGTGGAAGGATTCAAGGAGGTGGCTCTTCTGCTCCGTCTTCAAGCTCCAGGGGTGGGATGTATTCAACCACGAAATGCAATTATGGATTGGATGCGGTTGTGCGAATAGTGGAGCAGGGCCCTAATGTTGGTTCAAAATTCTTTGGTTGTCCAAAATGGCCTGTAAGTTAATTGATTGTTTGTTTAACTAATGTTCTGGGTAGGCCTTATTTGGCTTATTTATTTGGTTAATTTTGAAATTGAATTGAAATTAGGGTTTATTTCAATTGTACAGGATACTGAATGCAATTTTTTGAAGTGGATTGATTATAACAACGGTGACGACTTGAGATTTCAAATTTTGAATGGGAAACAATAATTGCTGAATTGGAGATGCAAAAGAGTATGTTAGAAGACAAAGTGAAGAGATTGCAAGGAAAGAAGGGACCACTTTGTGGATGAAGTACAAGAGATGAAAGCAGAAATTAGCCAATTAAGGATTGAGCTCATGAAGTCTTCAAGGGATGAATCCAATTTGACAATGGCTCTGTTTTTTTCATGGGTGTTTTTTGGCATTGTGGTTTTCATGATGAAGAAGGGTAGTAAGTTGGAAATGAATTAAGTGGTGTGAAGTTGTAATCCAAGTATCTTAGGATTAAGTAGTAATTACGTTTTGCTATCAGTACTTGTTGTTTTGGTATGTAACCTATGACGTTTTATGCAGTGAAATAAAAAATCTTCTTGCTAACACGTTGAGTCAATACATGTATCATATGATTTGAACTTAGTACATTGCAACAATGATTAATCTTAACATAATTGTTTCAACAAAATAGCCAAAATATATATTGCAACCCAAGTAGCCAAATCCAAAATATCCAGCAAATTAACAAGCTGGTGCTACTGTATAGTAGTTTTCAAAATAAACAGAGTTGCATAATAGATTCATAGACAACCTAAGGTCATAATTGTTTTATACATGCACATAGTCTTGAAGTACTACTGAGTTGGGTTGTGGAGGGTTGATTGCTGACTTGATTGACCACCAATGATGTAATTCAAAGTTTGGTCACCTAATGATCTCTTGCTCTTCATGGTGGTTGTTGTCCCTGCTTGCTCTCTTGCAGATTTTCCCCCCACCTGTTCAAATTATATAGATATGATTAGTGAATAGATATGATTAGTCAATGATGACAATGTTGATTTAATAATCATAGAGTTGGGTTTTATTTCTTACATTGTTAAGTATAGACCCATCATTACCAATGATAACTCCAACCCCCCTTGGCTCATGAAAGTTGGCTCTTCTCTGCCCTACCACCTCTAAATCTCCCACCCCTTGTTTTTCCTTGCCCTGCTGCTGCAGTTGCAGGTTGTGCTAAACCTGAAGCACCTTCAGACTGTCTTGCATCTGAAGTAGTAGCTGCAGATTTTTGACCTCCTCTTGCACCTTTTCCACCTCTAATTGCTCTGGAACCTCTCCCAAGTAGCGTGGGTTGGGCAGAGATGTTATGGTGTGCAGCAGGTGCACTTTCAATTGCTGACAGAGGGGTTTGGACTGGGTTGCCATCTTTCCTAGGCCTTCCCCTAGGCTTTTTCTAGGGTGGTTCAGTGGAGGTGTCTGCATAATCCTTATTTGGGCATCTCCCACTACTAGAAAACAGCTTGATTCCGACGAAAATAATCCGTCGGAATCAGTCGAAATTCCTTCGAAAATTGGTCTTCCGTCGGAATGTTTAGTCGCAAAACCCTTCGTAGGAAATTCGACCATTTCCGTCGGAAGGCTAGTTTTCGACGGATTTTTTTCTGTCGGCGCTTTTTTGACTTTAATTGAGATTCCGTCGGAATATACCTCTTCAGACGGAAATTTCCGTCGGAGTTGGAGAGGTTTTCAACTACGCCCCTTCTCTTTGCATCCGTCGGAATTTCTGATTTTTTCGACGGAAATACGTGTCCGTCAAAAACTGTCTGCGGAAATCGGAATTTCTAGTAATGTCCTCTTGTTATGGTATTTGGATTTGCTGACAAAACAAGACATTTCAATAGCAGTCTTAGTTAAAAAATCCTGGTTTCTTGGGGTTCTCAAAAGGGTCCTTAACCCTGTTCTTTCTTGGCCTCCCTGGTCCTATTTTAAGGGGAGGTGGGTCTAGTGAGCAGACAATTTTAGTCCAATATCTTTCACCCTCTAAGGGTGGAATTGATCCTGTCATATCTGTATACATTGAGTTAAACACATAGTACACACACAATAATCAAGTCACATTAATGAAGGGAATCAATTGCATGACTTATGTAAAATCTCAACTAGACACAAAACAGAGAATGGAAGGGAAAGAACAGTTACCTACATATGCTTTCAGATAATTCTCCCTAGTGTAACAAGGATCCACAAATTCTTCTGCTTCTTTGTTTAGAAAGAAGATGCAGGCACATGCATGCAAGCAGGGAATGCCTAGCATATCCCATTTCCTGCATGTACAACTTTTTGCATCCAAATCAACTACAACCTGATCAAGGTAGGGCTGAGCAAAACTATCTGATTATCCGAAAATCCAAAAATCCGATCTGAAAATTTAGGATATCCGATCCGAAAATTTCGAATATCGAATCGGATTCGGATATCGAAATTTCGGATTTCGGATATCCGAATATCCAAAATAATCCGAAAGTAGGAAACGTAAAAATACCTCCTATTAAAAAAAAAACCTAATTAAATAACAACCACCCATTTTTTTTTTTCTCTCTCCTCCCTTTTCTCCTCTACTGTCACGCCTCCTCCCTTTTCTCCTTTGCTCCCTGTCTTTTTCTCTCTCCTCCATTTTCTCCTCTGTCACTAGTACTACTCACGCATGCCTCCCTTTTCTCTCTCCTCCCTTTCTTTTCTCTCTCCTCTTAACTCCATATTACATTATTTTTTTCCTTCTCTATCCTCTTCATGTCCATACTCCATTCTTTCTTCTCTCAAGTCTCAACTTTTAACTCCACAACAACAACACCGAGCAACACTGGCGGTTGCCAACAGCGACCAACAGCAACACCGAGCAACACCTGCGGTTTTCAACAACGAGCAACAACAACACAGATTGTGGTCAACATTAACACCGAGTCACCGACACCAACGAGGCCGATTTCATATCTAATTTAATTTAGGTTAGAATTTGGATGTAGTTTTATTTTTTTTTCAAATTTCAGATTTTAATTATTTGTATTTTTGTATATAATTGTAATTTTAGATTATATTATATTCCCTTGCTCTGCTTCAATTGATTTGCTTGGAGTTTTCAATTGTGTGTATCTGGGTTCAGTTTCTAGAGTAGGCCGCTTTTTTGTTTTAATTTTTTGATAATTTTGATATATTTTTGGGAAATTGATCTTCATTAGTTTAGCCATTATTATTTTATTATTTTTTTTCTGAAAATTAATTGTTGGTTGGGAGTATACGAGAACATGAGAAAAAAATGGGAATAAAAAAATCAATTTTTCCATTTAAAAAACCTGTAATTAAAGTAGTCGGATATGGGATATCCGAACTATCCGATCCAAAAATTTCGGATATGCGGATTTTCGGATATCCGAAATTTTCGGATCAGATACGGATATCAAATATCCGTATTTTCGGATACGGATATCCGATCCGAAATCCTCTTTCGGATCGGATATCCGATCCGTGATCAGGCCTAGATCAAGGTAGTAAGCCACATTGAAGAGAATCTCTGTTTAAGGGAAGACCTCACAGTATGCAGCCTTATCTTTCTCCTTATTCAGCTTTGACTGAATTCTTGGGCAAAGAACAGGATTACATTTGCTCATTTCTTGCCTTTTCTTGACAAACCTTTGCATGAGATCAGATCTTATCTCCTCAAGCATGTACATAAGATGCTTGGTTCTGGCCTGAATTATGTAACCATTGAAGGTTTCAGCAATGTTAGAGGTGATGACATCTATTTTGATTGAAGTCTTCAGGAAAGCTCTACAAAAGAAGGGTGGATTGTAAAGCTTGAATGCCTCTGCTACATCACAGTTGATTTCACTCAACTCTTTCAAAGCATCTTCATAGTCTGCTTGTTGTAACACTTTGCAATTTTCTAAAATTGCAATTTGAACTCATTTCCTCTATAGGTCTTGTACTAGTGTGCAAAGACATGCCTGGCACAGTGCCTATGTTCTACTTTTGGCAGAACAGTTGACACAGCATTCAAGATAGCCTGTGACATTGAAAATAAAACATACCAACACATAAGATCAGGCATGCTCATCAAAATCATATAAAACCAAACAAAATATTGTTAAAACTTAAGTATTTGACATACTTGGTGCTCATCAGAAATGATGGCAGCTCCTTCTCCTTCACCCAAGTCTAGGCATGCTTGCAGATGCTTGAAGAACCATTCCCAGCTCAAGTTGTTTTCTCCCTCTACAGCATCCCATGCCACAGGGTACATTTGGTCATTTGCATCCCTCCCTACAACACAAAGAAGCTGGCCACCCAAGAAAGTCTTTCAGAAACATGCATCCACAGCCAAAACCTTCATGCACCCTTCCTTCCACCCTTTAGCTAGCCCCTCAAAACACATGAATAATCTCTGGAACCTGGTGGAGGAACCTTTTCCATGATTGTCACTAACTCAGTGTGACTTCCAGGGCTGGTCTTTTGCAATTAAGCCAAGTACCCTCCCACTTTCTGGTAATGCTCATGCATACTCCCATGTAATAGCCCGTGTGCTGCATACTTTACCTTGTATGCAAAAACTAGGGGTGTTCAGATCCGGGTACCCGGATTTTAGGGTACCCAAAAATCCGGATCTCCGGATCTTCGGGTAGTTGATAAGTCAGCCCGTGTCCCGTCCCGGATAATTCGGGTTCGGGACGGGACACGGGTATCCGAATTAAAATTAGTTGGAATCTAAAGCTGCTGTAAAATTAGTTTCAAAGTTTATATTTGATGTTTTTATAAAAAATTGACTCTATTGAAATTGAATGCAATGGATCCTAAGAAGCCAAACTATAAAGCAACAAAAATTGAATCTACTGAACATAATGCTAAACAAATTGCACAAAATTATAATCATAAACCCATAATCAAATTGTAAAACCCAAAATTCAAATTAAAAAGTAGAATCCCAAAAAAACAGAACATAATATTAGAAATTAACTTCTCAAAATTCAAAAAAGCATAATTTGACAAACAAATTAGTACCCAAAAATCGGAAAAAAGAAAAATCTAATAAAAACCTTGTCTTTCTTAAGATGGTGTTGAAAAGGAACTAGAGGAGGAACAAACTAATTAGCAAAAGACCCATCAATTGCAAACGCGTCTACTTCTTCTTCCACATTCTTCTCTTTGTTTTATTCTCCATAAATTAAAGATGACCCTGCTTCTTCTCTAATTATATTATCATCGATCGATGGCGAAAAATTTGTCGTATCACCAACGATGACTTAATGAACAACGGGAGGATTATTTAATGAATGGATGAAATATGAATCATATGGCTAACGAATTGTTGCTGTCAAATAAATATTCACCACCGCAAGTCACCGTATTATTCATCACCTCCGCACGCCACTGTATTCGTCATCACCACTAGAACAGCGTGAAAAGGAGGAAAGAGAAAGCAAAGAGGAGAGGAGAGAGAAGAGGAGAGCGTAAGAAGGAGAGAGAGAAAGAGAGAGAGAGAGAGTGACAAAGAGTAACAGGGGGAAGAGGAGAGAGAAAGAGGAGGATGAGGATCTAAAAAGAAAGAGAAGAAGATAGGGTGGGTAATGGGTATAGTACGTTTTTTAGTTTTAGTTTTTTTTTTTTTTGTTTTTTTTAACGGGTATCCAGGTACCCGATTTTAGCAAAGTTTGTCCCATGTCCCGGCCCACGAAACTGCTATTTTAGCGGGACGGGTACCCGACCCGAATATACAGAAAAATTTGTCAATTTCCCATCGGGTTTTTTGCGGGTCATCGGGTAATCGGGACGGGACAACCAGGTCGGTTTTTTTTTACAGCCCTAGAAAAAATCCTAGTCACTATAATCTTGTAAGCCCTCTTAAATTCGACAATCTCCTTGGCAGGCTAATGAGGTCTTGTTTTGAAAACATCGATAAACTGTTAAGCAACCCATCTGGCTTCAATTGCCTGTTTTTCTACATGTTTCTTTGACAAGTGTGCTTATTACACACTCTCTTCACCAACAGTTTAGCCTTTCCAGTATGCCAAGAGCATACACCCTAAAAGGACAACCCTTAATGTACCTTGCTCCAATTCTCTGACCCCTTCTCTTGTTGCTGTCATTGATCACAAGATTCTTCTCTTTAAATACTGCATACTTTGAAATTGCTTCTTTGAAGTCATCCCTTTTTGCAAACCTCAACCCTACTCTCCAATTAAACCGAGAAAAATCGATGTTTGGGCTAACTAACAAACCTGATCTATTTCTCCTGTTAGCCTCAAGACCTTCATCTTCAGTTGTTGGTGGAGTATTTTCTTCCTCATCACTCTTTTCATATTCTGACAAACTGTGAGTTTATTTTGCTTCCTCTTCTGGATTCACAATACACACCTTCCCTTGCACTACTTCTTTAGCTAACTGATCAGCTGCTTGTACAAGTTGTGTGGTACAAGCCTTCACTCTCTCTTTTGCCTGAGAGTACTCTTCATCACTAACCTCAGAGTCATACAGTTCCTTATCATAAAAAATGGCCTCATTATATTGATCATCTAACTCTGCATCTAAACCTTCCAATCCCCTTACAAAATCCTCTTCTTCCAAGTCATCATCATCTCCATCAGTTGACTAATCATCAGTATAAACTCCTTGAAAGAAACCACCTTCACTGAGATCCTTCCCCTTCTTACTACTCTCAACTAATACACCTTTCCCTTAATCTACTACAGGGTTATAAAGAGGGTCTTTACCATCACTTTCATCACTATTGTAACTATGCAGCAGCTCATCAATCCTCATAGGACTTTCAAGCCTGTTATCAAGCCACTTATAGTCATCTGGCACACTGGTGATTTTTGTTACAGTAGTAGTTTGTGCTTTAGGGGTTTTATGTGGAGTTGGGTGCTTTAAAAAAACTAGATCTGAAGATGTAGTAGTATGGGTAAGAAGGGGTGAGCTTGGGTCAGCTTTATGTTTGGTTGATGCGAAAGATTCTTTTTTGGCCAGCTCATGGTCAAGATTGGGTGGAAATTTTAGAATTAATGTTGAAGCAGTGGCTTTTTTGTCCTAGGACTTGACCTTACTTGAGTCAATACAGTGGGTGGGCCCCTTTTTGGTTTACTTTTCTTTTTGTTATGCTTGGATGAGAGCGGGGTAGACTGTGAAGCTTGTGTAAGTGGTTGGAAGTGTGTTTGAACAGGTGGGGGCTCTTTTGGTTCAAGTTCTGGTAATTATATATATATATAGCTCCACACACCTTATACTTAACACCCAAAGCTGCTACCTCCATAGCATCTTCATCACCCTCCAGTCTCCTCAATCCATTTTCCATACTAAGCCCAAGAACCAAGAGTAAAACACCTTTAACTTCTTTATCCCTACTAACCTCCTTGGTTAACTAAATAAGGTCAAAGAAACTCACTAAATCTAGATCAATTGCTTTAGTTCTGCCAACACCTCCCTCATGCACCAAACCACCATTATTTATGCCTTTGAACAACCCACTATGCCAAAATTTCAAATTTATCCTATCATTCATTTCAACCTAACAACTAAATGCAGAAAAAATAACAATTACTTATCTACAAATACACCTTGAACAGTAAAATCCAGAATCATTAAGCAATTAAGCGAGACTAAACCTAAAAATTCGAGAAACAAAATTCAATTTTTACAAATTAAATCGCAAAGCACAGACCTAATTAACAGAATTCATGCATAATTCTAGGATACTAATAGCTTTTAAAGGCTTAATTAACACGACAAAACGATAAAAATGCCAACTTTAAAGGATTTAGGGTTTACCTATTCAACACGATTTTGCTTCGTTTGTGCTTCAATGGCGTCTGCAGATCTTTCCTTCACCGTCGCTCCTTTTTTTCCAGAAATGGAAACTCGGTTGTTGAGTAAATTTCCCAATTTTGGAAACTCAATTATGGTTGAGATGAGTTAATGGAAGAGAGGAAGTGTTTATGGCGGGCTTTACTTTTTTGCAGAGAGTAGTTGAGTGAGTGAGAAAGAGAGTGACGTGGCTTTAATTTTGGGAGGGAAAGGAAATAAGACAAGTCAACCTAAGTTTTGTCCAGGTCGACAATGCTATATCATCATTAAAAAAAAGAAAAAATAAATAAAAATAACTTCTTTAATCGGTTCCCAGTCAACTGGGACTACTCTTGGCAAACATACCCAATAGTTAGGATTATTAGATAATAAACCTTAGTTGGGCTTATTAAAAGTAAATCGGCCATAGTTGGGATTATTAAAGTGTATTTTTCCAAAAAAAAAAAAAAAAATGCGAGATAAGCTTTATTATTGCATAAATATTTTATTGGAGATTTTACACAGGTTATTAGAGAAAGATTGAAATATAATCTTCGATTATATTTTTCAAACAATGTATCATGATGAAAAAAAGGAGTAAATTTTCAATTTGAACATAATTTGATCGTTGTACAATCTAATTCTAAATCATGAGATGGAACATTGTACAGTATGCCATCTTGTGAGGAAAAAAAATGCTCATACATTAAAAAATATGAGTATTTCACTAAGTTATCATAAGTTAAAGAGGAGAGGCATACACGCCAATTATGTAGCATTTCACATATTGGACACATCAAATATGATTTAGAGTCTTAGACAAATGGACAAATGAAGTGACAAACTCCATTGCAAGAATAATTAGCATGCTATAAACAATAATACAAGTACAACTATTTTTGAGATTTAAGATATTTCTATAGTTAGAAATAATTAAATAAGAAAATTGATGCTTTTGTTTGTAATGTTGAAGAGTATCACTCATGACCTCATGGGAGATCGGAGGGGATACTTTGGTACTTAACGTTATGTATTGGCATATTTCAAGGCCCTTGGAAGATTAATGCTCTTGTTAGTTTGTGATATAACATAAATGTGCTTTTCATTTTATTTATAGTAGTTTTATGCCTGATCAAAACTAGTTAAAGTTGGGTTTTTATATTTCCCTTTTTTACCATATACTGGCCTACTGGGTATGCATTGTATAATTGATTATGACAAATTATTTTGTACATGGATTCCCAATGGATGTATAAAAAATGGATCGGAAGAGCAATATTTTCATAATGTAAAACCTTTGAGTAAACTCGGTACTCTCATCATCAATTTTGGTGCCACAATAATATCACAATGACCACATTGAGACAATATGAGTGTGGTTCATATGATCACACAGAGTGATCTTCATTCATATAAATTAATTTATCCCTTTTATATCATGATTCATGGTATACTATTTAAGGATTATTTAATGATTAAAAACCCTACAAATCTACAATTAACAAGGACCAAACATATTTCTATGCAAATGGTAACCTAAACCATCTTGTATTGTTGTATACTTGTATTGATGGACACTTGATCTTCTTCTGATATATAAACTAGGTACAAGAGAATAATAGCACATTAACGACATATAGACTATATGATATATTAATATAGTAAATACAAAATATATAATATTTGGGTTTGAGGAAGTCCCATATCTTCGTATTGGAAATTGATTTTAACAATAAGCTTGATTTTAGCACTTCTCCGTGTGAGAAGAAACAAATCGTAGTCAAGCCAAAATTAACTTTTAGTAGGCTAAAAAAATCGATCCTTTCATATTCATTGCTCATTTCAAAACAAAGTTGTTTCCTCATCTCATACCTTCTTCCCTTTTGCTTCATTGTACATCTCATTGATGGTATCCTGCAATTTCCATACAAAGCCATACATCAGAAAGGCGATGCCATACTCAAATTGAACTCGGTGACAGGTAGTAATATAATCAAACCAAAATTAATTGTCACGTTGATAATGTAACTTAATATAGTACAATGACAGCTAAATTTGAATGAAAGGGTTCCTCTTAGCTTCAAATTCCCAGCCAAAAGCATGACTACAAAAGAGCTCTGTCTTTTGAATAAATTATCTTTCAAAACTATTTCCTTGCAATTTGAGCCTTTTCCAGGGATCATCAAGTCATGACATTACATTAATAAGATGTGCAATACATACCTTGTAGTATTTAAGCAACTGGGGCCTTTTCAATTTGAAGGTTGGAGTCATCAGATCCCTCTCAAGATCAAAAGGAATGGGCTCGAGGAAAGCTGCTTTTAGCATCTCAAAACCTCGAAGCTGATCAAAATTACAATATTGAGTAAGCAAAATCAAGGTGTTGCTAGTTAAATGCAGAAAGAATGCTAAGGTTGAAGTACATACTTTATTTTTCTGACCAGTGCTGTTGAGCTCTTCTAAGAAATATTTCCTAGCTTTGGTACTTTTGCAGAGTGTTTCGAAGTCCCCAGTCTCATTATTATTAGCTGCCCAGTTCTCGAGTGCCTTTTTCTCAGGAACAACAACAGCCACAAGAAATGACTCGAAACTATTGCCATACACCCAAATCTGAGAAGACAACAGCATATCAACAACCATTCACTTCGTTGGGTGTGATAATCAAAGCTACATGCACTATTTACGGGAAAACTTACAGATGTTATAAGGTTACACCGCGAGTATATGCTCTCAAGGTTCTCCACCGCTACATATTCACCTTGAGACAACTTAAAGATGTTTTTCTTCCTATCAATGACTTTCATAGATCCATCAGGCTGCCATTCGCCAATGTCACCTAAAAATTTTTAAAGATAATAATATTACACATTCCAGAGAACAAAAGTACTAATCAGAGCCTCAAAGTATGGAAACGATACCATTCACATTAACAAAATTCCGCTTTTACAGAAGGAATATACCTGTATGGAACCACCCATCTATAAGAACTTCTTGAGTTAAATCTTGCCTTTTGTGATAACCAGAAAACAATATATTCCCCCTCAAACAGATTTCACCACGCGGTGTGGTTGAAAGCGCATCATATTCCATCTCTGGAACAGACTCCAGTCTTGCGTCTATGGCAGGCGAGGGGATTCCCACAGTGCCTATCATTGAATACACATTGGCTATTGATGTGAAGCATCCTCCACAGCTTTCAGTGAGACCTATCAATGGAGTAAATGTTTTATAAATTGACAAAAGAGGAAAGCAAAACACCAGAACTACTAGCACAACAAATCTTGAAAGCAGGAATGAACTATATAGCCTAAACTGCAGAGCTGAAAGTTTAGGGCTTGGCACAAAGGGGTATTTTTTTTAGCTATAAAACTATGTCTTATGTCGTGGAGTTAACTTATCAGTTAGAAAATCAGATCAAACAAAGTTGGATGAGCCTTCTCACATGTACAAGGGAATCGCAATAATTGTCTGAATCTGAGAATCATAATTAATTTTACACCATATTTGAACATATATATGCAATTGTCCAAAGATCAGCTGAGATTTCATATTAACATCCACGATAGCTTAACCTAAAATACATCGCTTGAAAAAGCTTCATGACTCACCATATCCTTGAACCACCACACAGCAACAAGTAACCCTCAAAAATTCTTCAACATGCCGTGGCAAAGGTGCTCCTCCAGAAATCATAATGCGGACTCTTCCTCCAAAGCTTTGTTTGATCTAGTCCAGGTCAGAGTAATGGAACCAAATTAAAACTACTCATTACTATCAGGAACTCAAGAAGGACCGAAGGATAAATAATTGGTAATCAAGGAAAAGGAAAATCAGAAGGTATATTTGGACAGAATCCACCAACTTTATTGAAAACAAGCTTGTCCAAAAGAGGTGCGGCTTCATCTTGGCGCAATCCCTTCTCCAAATTCCGCAGTTTACTGTTTGACACTTACAGATCAGCTATATATAATGTTTGAGCAAATAGATTCAAGTTCACAGACTGAAAGAAAATCACAAGGGCCAAAACTTGAACATACTAGCTATAGGCATAGTCAAACAAGCTCTTCCTGAGAGCACCACTGGATGAAACTTTATCCACAATACCTTCAGACAGAAATTAAATGAGCCAATTTCTCATAATAAGAAAATCATTAAGGGGGGACAGCTAAGGGGTTTCATAAATGCATCAGTATCAGATATATATACCATTGTATAAACGTTCAAAAACCCTGGGAACCCCGCAGAACATTGTTGGCTTCAATTCATGGAGATCCTCAATCAGATATCTCACATCCTGTAAGCGAAATGCAGAATAAAGGTGTTGATTGAAGTTCTGAAGGAACAGAAATAAGTGTAAAGAGCACTTTAAGTTGTAGCATATGAACTTACTCCCTGCCAGAAACCAATTGAAGTGCCTTTGGCAATGCAATATGTTTCTACTATCTGATCAAATATATGCGCCAAGGGAAGGAATGAGAAGTATACATCTTCTGTACTTGCCTGTAACAAAGGATTTTCCAGTTTAATTTTACTAGTTCAACAGCAATGTAATTTAGAGAAATGATGGAAGTTAATCTACTGCAAGAATTCCATGTAACTTCTAATGTCTTCCAAATCAAAGTGATTGTTCTTTGGAAAAATTGTGTCACAAATCCAATACTCAGTTTTATGTGAAAAGTGAAGTAGGATAATCACTTTGAAATAGAAAGGGTATAATGTAGCACAACTTTCATGCCACTAACATAATTTCAGCAGAGAAACTTGATATTTATTTGCTGAACAGTGAATAATTTGAACCTATTACAATGTATATCCAACTAATGGAATCAAGTAGCAAAAACAGCAAGTGCCTTTTACCGATTTGTCTGTCTTCTCGAACAGGTAGTCTACTGAAAAGACCTCTGCTGTAAAAGCTGCATTGTTTAAAATTACCCCCTTTGGCTCTCCCGTTGTGCCACTTGTGTACATTACAGTGCAGACATCAGTCCTTTGTTTCAAAGGAAGTTCACAATCCATAGTCCCCTGGAACAACGAAAAACCTCAGAGATTAACCCACAAGCAGCGTTATCAAATAAGTATTCTGAGATAAGAGTTCTGCAGGCTATGTAAATTTAAATAGCTCCCATGATTCTGCAGGCAAGATTTTGGACTATAATTCATGACACTTACCAATTGAGAGAATTCATCCCAAGAGAAACAAGACACTCCAGCTTCCTCAGCTTCTTTTCTTTGTGAGCTGGAGATGTTCTCAAAGCTGACAATGGCTGAGGATCAAAATTGAATGTAATTCAGTAAATGAAAAGAAAACTAAGCAACCAAAATTTAAAAATGTGTTATAAAGATCTTCTCTGTTAACCTACTTTTTAAGTAGTTACACTCTGACAAGCATGCTAGTATCTGCATAAGCATCAAAATAGTAGCATCATTAATTCAGGATCAAAGATTGAACAGCTTTAGTTATTTATCCAAGAGAATGTACATCAGCCTTGACTCACAAAAACTAATTATTAGAATTGGCTGATTGAGTACGAGGCATAGAATCAACTTATCTATGCTATAGTCACAAAACCATGAAACACAAATATCTTATGATAGATTTCCATATAGTGTTAGACCAGCACATCAAACTTACAGTTTTCACATAGATCTCTAGCTTATGAAATCAGAACATTTTTGTGCAGCAACAAACAACTTACAGCTGGTATTTTTTTCTCTTGAACAAAAACTAAGGAGACTTCAGCATGGTTAATGATGAACTCCACTGCATTGGGGCCTGCATAACATATTACAGCATTATCAGTTAGTCATGAATGTTTGCTCTTGTAGGCTCGTGGCATATGCAACCTTAGACAGATTTTATTAGAAATAAAGGACAGATATTAAGATTCTGAAGGCGGCATACCAAGCGTGTCATACAATGGTACATAGGATATGGCTTGACCGTTACAAGCCTGAAAAATCAGCATATCTATTCTCAGTCACTAACCATGGCATTCGAATATGACAATTGCAAACAATAGCTTCAACCTATGCAGCCATATCCCATATGTTCCAAATAAACTCGCTACTTACAGCTTATACAAATTTACCTATTTGTGAATCATGTCATAAAAGAATAAGCCTAATAACTCATTATAATTACAACCTCTTATATGTTGAAGTATATACGCGGATATTGAGAGAGTTAAACCTAATAACTTGTCAAATTTGAACAAAAAACTAGTTGCTACTCTATTACTGTAACAAGTATGAAGTATGAAGTACAACATTGCCAAACATCAAAAACTACCTAAGTACCAACAATCCAATGATCGCGAAAACATACCTGCATAGAAATGATCCACTTGGGACAGTTTGACCCATAAATTCCACATTGACCACCCTAAAATCAAAAATTTGTGCCGGAAAATTTTCATTATCAGTTCAATTGCAGGACATACTAATACAGTATGTAAATAATCATTGCAGCCATTAGGACACATAATTCAGCTTTAATTCCACAAAATTGTTTCGTACTCCCTCCGTCGAAATTCAGTTGTCATATTGCCGATTCAAATTAAACTATTAACGTGACAATTAATTTAAGACAGTATACTTCAATCAAACCAAATACTCATCAATATTAAAAAGTTGCAAAGTAAAATTGAAACTCACAGGATTTACTCCACACTTCCTAATAGCAGACCCAATTTGAAGAGCTGAGTCATACACCTCTTTATAAGTAAGCCATTCATATGGACCCGCCTGTTAAAGTTACAGGTACAATTTAATTACACATGAAAGTTAATAATCATAACTTACACACTATAATTAAAGATAAACTAACCTTGCCATCAATAATTTTGCGAGAACCCAGTAAATGATTTGTGGGATATTTCTCCACAGATTTGCTGAAACCATTAAAACCCAGAAATTAACATCTTTAATGGATGTAGTTTTGAATGTCAATTTCATAATTTAAGTAAAATCAATGCATTAGCTTTTCAAATAACTGATCCATTAGCTCAGTTGGTTAGAGCGTGGTGCTAATAACGCCAAGGTCGCAGGTTCGACCCCTGCGTTGGGCCATCTATTTTTATCAACAACACCCATATTTCTAATATCCTCACTCATAATTATAACAAATAAAACCAAAACCAAATTTTAAAATTATGTATCTCAATCAACCACTATACAATTTTCATTCATATTATTATCAACTCCCAGCAATAAATATTTCCCTTCATATTTAATAATCACATCACGACTTTTACAAGTCACTACCTCTACATATTGCACAAACTACCTATATAAAAAAATTTAGAGTGATAATTTTTCCATCATATAAAACTTAGTTACTCCATACATACATTTTAATTGACATTCCTTAGATCTAATAACTTCAATACCACTACGTTCAAGAGCATGTAAGCATATAGTAAAGTTCATGAAGAAATGTAATATACCTAAAGAGATCCCAAGGAGACTCAATTCCATCAGGTACACCAGTGAGGGCATCCACCGCATAAATGTTACGATACACCGCCCCGGTCGATGGCCTATTCCCCGTTGCCGCCCTTTCTTCCTCTACCTTCTCGGTGTATACCGCCATTTTAACAATTTCCTCCTTTTTTGATAATGTACAAATTATCACAATGTTATAACTTTGATGAAAAATGAAATAATATAGACCTTAGGAAATTAGGATAAGAATAGAAGTGGGGAGTATGGAAGATTGAGAGTGAACAAGATTAAATTAGATGAATAAATTCAAAGAGAAAAATGGGAGGGAGGTAGTTGAGTAAAGTGATGGCAATAAATTAGTAGCACAAAAATATGGTTGGTGTTAATGTTGTGCAACTTTGCCATTAACTAGTACTGCTCCTTATCATGTTATTATTTGGGATGTCCCATTAATGCTGCTGCATTTTGTGAAGAAAAAAATGGGCCTTTGGTAAGAATTTTAGATGTACACATTATTGTGGAACAATGAAGATAAAGTAGATACTTGTATATAAAAGATTTTTTTTCTTCGTTTAATGGATTAGGAATTACGGTATAAAGTATTTTTTGTATTGGCCGAAAAGTAGGTCAACTTAATAAAGGGTACGGTTAATTAGCTGGTTATTTAAATGATTACTTAAATGTGTGTACATACAATTTAAATTGGTATGTTGATTGGATATCAAATGTGTGATACTTATGCATAATTATCATTGTAATGTATAGTTAATTTTAATTTGACTCAATGTGATTGAAAATGGTTGAATTATCATGTGAAAAGTATCACATACTTTAATTGATCACTAGGCCACTTGATTAAGTTATTGTATTTAGGGGGAATATTCAGCAATAAGCAAATTAAATTAGTTTATGGATTAGAGTTAAGTCAGATAAAGAAATCAAGTAGTAATATAGTTATAGAATTCCCACCTCTTGAGTCCTAATCCTAACAAAGAGGTCAGATTTTATCACATGATTTGATGGTTGTTGTTTCCTTGTACTGTTGTACATAAATAATCTGTTACCAACCTTTTGTTGGGAATTCGTTATTGGTAAACTGGGAGCACTGTTAAACCTTCATAATAATGTAAAGGAAATAACAAAGAAAAACGACGAATAACACACGAATAATTTAACATGGAAAATTTCATATATCTCTAAGAGACTTAAAATTAATTTTCCCTATGACTTAGATTAAATGTATAGCCATGACAACTATAACAAGACACTCAAGAATCAAGATATCTATTTAATCTCATAATCATAAATTTAAACCTTGCAGTGTTTTTACTCTCAATAATACAATAGCTTAGCTGCACAATAACATACACTCCCTCCGTTCCTGAAAGTTCGACTCACTTTGCATTTGCACGGTCTCCAATGAACATCTTTGACCATGAATATCTTCGGCTATGTATAATTGAAAATTATAAAAAGTTGATATTTGGAAAATTTATAATAAGTGGAATCTAATAAGATCTTATATGCTAATTTATTTTTATTGTATAAGTCATAAAATGTGATCAAAGTTATTTTATTTTGACCCATGAAGGGTAAGTGAGTCGAACTTTCAGAAATGGAAGTAGTACTTCATATGTACAGTTTTGTCGTCATATAAGCTTCTTGATTGGATTGGCGTAGGGTACGGTAATAGACTAAGAAAACAAGTTTTGAGCTGATTAAGAAGCATGTGTGTTGTGAGCTCGCATGGACATGCCATATCTTGCACACTAGCATGTGTGTCGATGTTAAACTCCTTAGATCTCCCTATTAACTACTACTTTGTCGAAGAACCACTTGCACGAACGTGCTCTAGGCTGCATATATAGAAGATGTGCCATATCTTGCACAAACGTGCATGGCTAATTCTTGCACTCCTTCCTTTACTTCGACACCTTTATTTTCATCTCTCTTTGTTGCTCCGTTCCTTCTCCACACACAAGCCACGGTCAAGCCTTGGAGCTCCACCATTAATTCTAACACTTTATAGACTCATTCATACATCTGCGCAACAAAATCAACTAGCACTCTGATCGTGCTTTTCAAAACCATTTAACTTCTCATGTTTTGAAGAAAAAACCATTTTAAAACTCAAACACATCTATTGTTCAGGTAATTGTAAAATGGACAAACATTTAAGTATTCGAAGTAAAATTAATTACGATGTTAAGTGAAACTAGGAAGCCTACCGTCTGCTCCATCCATGACTCAACAATACAACGTATTAGTAATGTTTTTGCAATGTGTAGCAAAAAATATTTGGCTTTCGGTGCTTTTTTTGTGTGGCTGGTCACACTGTGTGGCCGGAGTTACTTATTCAGGGGTTGCTTATTTAGGAGTTACTCAATCGGTTAAGGGTTACTTATTGTGGGGTTACTCAGTCAGTTAGCGCGTTTTCGCCGGGGTTACTTATTTAGGGGCTACTCAGTCGGTTAAGGGTTACTTATTTTGAGGTTACTCGGTCAGTTAGCGCTAGGGGTGAAACTAATACGGTTTAAAACTGAACCGTAAACCAAACCGAATTAGTAATGCAGTTTGGTTTTTTTTGTTAATATGGTTCGGTGTGGTTTGAGAAATAAAAAAAAAATTGAGGTTTTCGGTTTGGTTTCGGTTTCAAGATTTGAAAAACTGAAAACCAAACCGAAATATAGGCCCATATCTAAATTATAGCCCAAATCTGATTTTTCAACTCTATTATATAAGGCTTAAAACAAGTTCTGTTGAGTCAGGCCCAAAAAAGGTACAAATCAAAGCTCAAAACACTAGGCCTAAAAAAATTGTGGTGCGGTTTGGTTTTTGTTTTGAAAACCAAATTAAAAATGGTGTGGTTTGGTTCGGATTGAATAATAATATGGTGCATTGCGGTTTGAAAAATCCTAAACTGAATTAATATGATCTGGTTTGGGCTATAAACCACACCGCAAACCGAACTTTCACCCTTAGCTTAGCGCGTTTTCTATATGAGAGTAACCTCTAACCGATCGAATAACCCCTAAATAAGTAACATTTGACCGACCGAGTAACCCCTCAATAAGTAACCCCTGGCAGACCGAGTAACCCCTTAATAAGTAATCTCATAATAAGTAACCCCTAAATAAGTAACCCCAACCACACGGTATGACCAATCACATATAAAAATTTGTGTTTCTCCAAACATTATGCAGTTACCCCAAGTTAAAGTTTAAATGGGTGCAAATCAACATTGTTTCTCATATTTGACCCATTTTATTTTCATAGTTGGCTAGTCCAAAGCCGACCCTTTTTTTACTTGTTTGACACGTCCAATTAATGTTTAAAAATCCCCCCTCCTCCTTTCATTATCTCTTCTTTGTTTTCATTATACTTTTCTATAGTACAGTACATGAATACAGGATTTTCTCCAAATAATAAATGGGTAGTCTCAAAGTTTAAAGGGTAATATTAATATACTCCCTCCATTTTTTAAAGTTCGACTCACTCTCTATTTATACGGTCTTCAATGGACATCTTTGACCATTAATGACTTCGGTTATGTAGAAGTAAAAATTTTAAAAGTTGATATTTGAAAAATTTATCATTAGGGGAATCTAATAAGATTAAACTTGTTAATTTATTTTGATTGTATATATCATAAAATGTGGTCAAAGTTATTTTATTTTGACCATATGAATACTAAGTGAATCAAACTTTCAGAAACGGAGTTAATATTATACTTGTATAAGACTAGAAGAGGATGGTCGTTTTTCCTAATTAATGCTCAGCAGCTAGCCTCTTTGCTTTCATGCTTATATTGCCACCTACATTTTCGGTCTCGATTAAGTAATGTTACATTTTCTTCAAATACTTTAATTTTATAATTTGATCTAATTTAATTTTCACCAAAAAAATCTAAATCGGATTATTGATACTCCCTCTATTTTTAAATACTTGCTCCATTTTTCATTTCCGGCCGTTTTTAAATACTTGCTCTATTTCCTTATTTGAAAAACTTTTAGAATATTTAATTCAATTCTCCAAACTAGTGAACCTAACATAAATCATATTTTATTGATTTCATATTCTCTCTCCTCCAATTCTCTTGACGCCTTTTACATTTTACAATTTTTTTATTCTTTCATCTATCCCACTACCTCCATATTTTATTTCCTTTCGCCAATTTCTCCTAAAACTTCACGCTTAGAGAAATGAAGCAAGTATTTAAAAATGGAGGGAGTAGTAGTTTAGACCAGTCATTTACATTTCTTTATGTTTGCCACATATGATAATATTGGATTTGATAATAAATTTGTAGATAGTTTGAAATGAAGTCTCCAACTATTGGATTTGGACACTACCATACAACAAAGGTGGATTAAGCATAGAGGTGCCTTTTTAAGGACAAATATACTCCATATTACGCAAAATTTAAGATAATTATCATGTTACAAGTTCGGCTAAATTTGATCGTGTTTTATCTACTCCGTATATTCATACTTCAAAGTGTGAATATTCTTGAGAGCAATAAAATTTTTCCAACTGAAGTAAAATAAGACAATATTATCAGATAATTTATCATAAATCTATTTACGCTAAAATTTCATTGTGATTATTGATTAATGCATATGATGGAGATGGACTAGGTTAAAGAACATTCAATTTTCAAAACAAGTTTTATGCTCATCAAGGAACCTACCATATAGTACTTCCTGGCTCCCGAGTGTCCGCTCAGAGTCATAGGGACACGTCGGAGGCGCTTACGAGTAGAAGAGGGCCGGCTAGAGGCCTAGCACATCTCCTCAGTTCTCAGCATAAGGTAGACCATACAATCTCACTCATTCCCCTCCCTCCATATTTTCAACATTAGAAAGATAAATTCAACGCACTTAACACAAAATTTCCAACACCAAGTATCCAAAAGACCCACATTTTCACAACTTCAAACCTCCAATTTCTAGTGTCATAAAAGTCAAATCCAACATTAAGAAGGCCAAAACAAAAGCTACAAAAGAATAGTCCAAAATCGGACCAATATCAATAAATCTCCCGCCAAGAATTACTACTAATAAATCCATTGTAAACACAACAAAGAAATTTAAAGCTTGAGAGTACCATAAATCAATTTCCTGCATTAAATGATCTTTTCCCTATTTTCTAACCAACATCAATCCCATCAATTTAAGTTTAACACCCCCTACTACACCTCCACACCTATCTCCTAACCTATGCTACGAGTATTATCTTTACAAAAGTCGAGATCAAACCTCGTTTACATCATTGCTTTATAGCTCCGTTTACGCCCCAAAAACCAACTTTAGAGAGTAGTAGATAGATGGAGAGAGAATCCCCAAAAGCAATCTTAAACAAAAAGTCCCTTACTTAAGTTATATTATCTCTCTCCATCTTTCTAACACTCCCTTAATATTTTTCTCTTTCGTCAATTTCACCCATTTAATGCACTCGACAGTTGACACACCCTCCCATTAAATTTCCTACTACATTTACACCACCTTCATCCCCACCACATTTACACCCCTCAAACCCCATCATCACCGTTCATTCATTCCACCTTAATCCAACGCTACATCCACCTCCCACGTGTCATCATCTCCTACCGTCTGTTAAACCTCTCCGGTGAAATCAATGCTTCAGGATCACCCGACCTCATTCGACTCGACGAAAACATCGCCGCTCTTCCAAACAATGGCGACGCCATTGATTTGATTCTTCTAGAAGGTTCATCTGTGCTAGCGTATCGTAAGCTCGCTGAAGATTCCGACAACGGGAAAAACCCTCGTCGCCGGAACAACGCCGGAGATTTCATCGTTCGCCGGAAAGAGAATACTCTAGATTTTGCTATTGAGCTAAACGGCGTTGATGATGGTCGTTTTGTCCAGAAGAAGTTCCGCCGTTGACGGTGGTGATACGGCGTCGTTGCCGGCTCCATAACTAACCTTTCCGACGGAAAACTCCGTTCAAATCCAAACGAATACGATCGTTTGAGAAGAAAATCGAGTTCTCTTCTATTACAACGCTGATCTTCCGACTGAATTATCCTTCTTTCCGGCGAGAAAACCTCCTGAATTTCGCCGGAATTTTGCTCAACATCAACTTCCGGCAACGGCTCTAAAAACATGCTTTCGAGGAGAATTCCTTCGTCGAAGCTCGGACGGATTCTCGCCGTCATTACCGGCGATAACAACGGCGATTCCGGCGGCGGAAGGTAAACTCCGGCACGACAAAGCGGACACGTGGCGTGCGATCGAAGCCACATGTCGATACAATCAACGTGGAAAGCGTGACAACAAAGAGGCAGAGTACGAATACATTCTCCCTCCTCAAAATCAAGTAAACAAACAGCGCAATCATTGAATCCATTAACTTCGATAAACCCTAATTTCGTCGGGAACTTGTAAATTGTCAACGGAATATTCTTGATAACCGATTCATCGAGGCCGTAAGGCGAGTAAACGTAGAATCCGTCGGAGGATTCGTAGGGCGGCGGCGGAGAGCCGATATCGGACGGCGGGAAGAGAATCCTGCGGCGGCGGTGACGGCGGATGAAGCGGAGAAATGGCGGGAAGAGGTGGCGGGAAATAAGGCGGGAGTAAGTGATGAAGAGGAAGGCTGCTGCTGCGACGACCACCATGGCGATCAACGGTGGGCTGAAGTCGATTGGGAGTTTGGACGGTGGAGATTGGTGGACGACTATGGCGGAGGAGAAGGAGGTTGGAGGAAGCGTGGGGCCTGGTTGAGGTGGGTGTTCTGGTTCTGGTGGTCTGGCAGCCATTTTTAGAGAGAGAAATTAGGTAGGCAGGAGAGAGAGTGTGTGTGAGTGAGGTAGAAGAAAAAGAAATGGGGGATTAAAATTTTTGATTTATTAAAATGATTTTGGAAATTTAGGATTGCAAATCTTCATGACACCTCAGCTGAGGAGGGGTGTTTAGGAAATTTTAATATACACACGGGTATATCGTGAACTGGGTGCACTTAAGAATATGTAGTGAGTAATCTTATCATTTTAGTGTTACCCGGGACTTGGGAATACTGTAATTTTTGTTTATTTTGAAATCAAACGAGTAAAAAAGAAAAATACTTTGTATTACTTGAGTACATTGTACGGGTTTGTGACATGTACACGCGAGTGTATGTAAAAATGTATTGGGGTGATTAGAGGAATACTAAAAAGTAAAGGAGGGGAGTTTCTATCTAATGTGGGGGAACCCACTTAGCACTAATGCGGCATATGGATTGGTGAAAAAGATTGTTGACTAGGTTTGAGGGGAGATTGACCTAAAAACAGTTGAATGCTAAGGTGTGAAAATGACTTGAATTTTAGGTGACTTGAATCTTAGGGGGGGTTTTGTTTGTCAGTTGAGTTTGTTTTCCCATTGTTAGATATGGAAAGGTGAGCTTGTGGGGGACGCTACCTTAAGCTTTTGTTATAAAAAAAGAGGGTAGTAATTGGGTAGTGATTACTGTTGGAACAACAAGTGTGTAGTGTGTGAATTTTGTGAAAAAACTCAAAGTCCCACATTGGTGGGAAATGAGAGTTTTACTCTCTTTATAATATAGAGAGTGGGCTAAAGGGGTGTGGCCCTTGGGCTACCCACATTTTGTGGAGAGGGAGGACCTATATGGTAAACCATCTATCACACACACGCGCGCCGAACCGAGCCGGGCCGGGTCGGGTTTATTAAATAAACTTATTTTTTTGGACAAGGCTAATTGCGTGATTAGTTCCTTGATTTTTGCTAAACGTTTTTGACTGATTACATTTGACCGTTTTTTCAAAACTGATTAATGGAGCGTTAATCATGCAAACGTTTTCACTGATTTTTTGCTAAACGTTCAACTTATGACTGTTTTAATTGCGTGATTAGTGCCTAATTAAACAGCAGCAGTTACGTTGCAATTTTTCCTATAAAAGGCGTGTTGATTTCCTGTTTTTGATACACAAAAAATACAGAAAGCAATCTTCTTCTCCTCTCTATTTTCCCTCACAAAAACAAAACCCTCGAGCAGTTTTTTTTCTTTTTTTGGTGTTTAGTTGCCCGGTGGTTTTGTGCAGTTCCACCGGTATAATTACAATACAGAAAGACTGTTTTATCCTGGGGAACATCCGGTTTATTACGAACTGCTTGCACCTTTTCAGGGCAGTGCCGTGAATGTTCTAAAGAAAGCGACATAGTCCGCGACTCAGTCTATTTTTCGGTAACTTTGTTCTTACTGTTTTTGTTCCCGCAGTTCCGTTTATAACAATTACCACTGTACATTATACCCAATTTTAGCTTGATCTAGTGTAAAATGAGTATGGACATTATAATCATTATGCCGTGATCATGCATGTTATATTTGATAATTACTTTGCTATTAACTCATTGATATAACTGATTATATTAATTAGTTGATAAGTTATCTAGTTACTCTATATTATGTACATTAGATGTTTAAATTAGCTATTTAAATAATTTATTTTTAGCAACGATCAAAATAGTTTATGATGGATTATAAAAATTTCTCAAACAACTCTTACAAAAGATTAGGTTAAGCAACTTTTTCGAATCAATCTCATTATGTGCCTTACACCTAGCCAAATTAAAGTTGTTAATGATGATTTCTTTACGTATGTAGTAAACACATGTTTTGTCATAGAGAATTACAATGTGTATTGCTACTATCATACAAAGTAGTTACTAAAACTGGATCATAATGTTGCTTAATTTTACAATCATAATTCAACTAAACAATTCGGATCAAAGGGAAAATCGCAATCCTAGTAGAATCATAGCATAATCACTTAGGATTATAGCATAATCATATTGTACAAAATCATATAGAATAAAATAGGATCGAGAAGAGAATTAGGGATAGATCAGGATATCAAAAAGACCTTCAAAATCATTTTTGAAACTCTCGCCTCGCCTATCCCTTCTCTCCTCCTCTCTTTTAGGGTTTCTCCAAATTCTTGATTGTTTAGGCCGGAAATAGTGTAGACATTCGTCTATCTCCCTATGGTGGAGTTATCAATTTTTGTTAGTTTTGTTGTTTGTCTTTTTGTGTGTGTGTGTGTGTGTGTGTGTTAGAGTTTATTAAAAAGGTAATCATCTTTTGCCCTATTATCACTTCGTTGGTAGAGAGTTGTCCGGGATAGCAACGGTTGTCAAATCTTCAAAGACATTCGAGTGAATCATATGAAAATCATCCTTACAACTACAACCAATCGTTAGACCGTCTCTATGAAAAGGCGGTATATTCCAGCGATGTGTGCGAGAGATGCACTACAATGCAAGATATATTCAACGATCATAGCTTTGACGAAGGAAACCCTTATTTAATTCAATTTTATGTATATGTTGATTTAGATTCTATTTATAGATACATGATATCTTAAAATTGATTCTCTATCATCTACCCTTTGCGATTCTCTAAACAAAATAAATAAATAAATAAATTGTGAAGAATATTAGAATAGCACAATTCTACATTTTTTCAAAAAAAAAAAAAAAAAAAAAAAACTCAAAAGCCATCAAACCACTTTCTTTGGTACCAAAGCCCAAACCCAATTCCAGGATTATCTTATAGCCCAAGAAAGAAAACCGAATAACCTGATCAAGTAATCAGCTTTATATTCAACCAAAGGCTCATAATTTAGGGTTTATCAAAGGTTTTGGGGAAATTCAACAGATCTTGCAATCTAGAGAGAGAAAGAGAGAACAAAGCAAAGATGTTCGGAGGAATGTTCCAGAAGAAACCAAGCAAGGAAGAAGCTCTGAAGCAGCTTCGATCCCATGGGTTGATGTTCGGAGCATGGGTTGTTGCTATTCGGGTCACTCCTTATGTTCTTCAGTATTTCCAGAAAGAGGAGATCACTTTGGATCTTTGATTCAACCCCACCAAATTTAAGGTATTGTTCTTATAATTTTTTATGGAAGTGATGTTATTTAGCTCTTAATTTCACTTGTTTTACTTTATTTGGGGTTTTAATTGTGTTTTCGATTTCGGCAAAAACTTTAATTTTTAATTTCTATTTGCTCAAAGTTGATTATTGTCTTATATAGCTAAGAAGGATTATAATTGTGACCTGAAAATTACAAATTTGCTATTTTTATTATTTTTAAAAAGGGTTTGTTATGAAATAGAACGATTGTCTATGTTTAATTATTATTAGCAATAGGAAGGGGAAGTTTTTATCCATTGAAATGCGGATTCACGGTAATAAGATTTAATTGACGAACTTCACAATTTGAGAACAATGAATTGGGAGGAATTAAAGGGGTTCTTCATTGAATTCGCGGTATTAAGTGTTTCTTTCTCCTTGCGGTATTGATATCATCAATTTGCATTGATTTTAACAATTCTCCCCAATATATGATTTGGGAGGTATTAGAAGGGATCTTTTCTTTAAATTCGTGGGCTCTTGGCAATACAACTTTCACTATCTAGGAAAAATAAAATTTCCATTATAAGAGCTTAGGATTTGTCAAAGGATGATGTGTTGTTGGGGTTGGCTTTTTAGTGTGGTTGAACCCCGGAATTGAATATTAGTGTCTCGGATGCTATATGGCATACATATATTGGTGTTATTGACTAATGAGAGTGGTGCTTGGCATAGTTTGAGATAGGGTTTGAAAACTTGAGTAGAGTATGCTTGAAAAAAATTACAATTTACAGTGGAGAATGACTTTCCAGGGTGATTCTTGTGCACATTTGCTTGCTTGATTGATGCAGTTTCTATGATGGTCAAAGGATTCTTGTACAAATGAATATATGATTGGTGCATAACATTAAATCTACTGGACAAGTTATGAACTTATTGTAGTTTAGGAATATCTTGAAATTATGTAAAGACAATAAAGTTGAGGTCTTGTGGTACAGGTGAGGCCCATATATGCATTTTTCCTTGTGTATGATGTGCATGGGTGTACATTCTATGTGCTTGTGACTGTGTGTGGCATTCTACATCATTCTATATCGTAAGGGTTGGAGGAGGAAGAATTTTGTGGATGACTATACGGAATAATCACTTTTGGTTCATGTAGCTGACCCCACTTATGGGATTAAGGCTTTTATTGATTGATTGATATCATACTTTTGCTCAATTAGTCAATATCATATGACGTTACTTTATTTTCCTGTTAGAAGATATTTCAAGTCTAATTTCCTGGAGGTGCTCATTTTCAATGTCGTTTTTGAACTGATTTATTGCTTTTGTAACGTATGTGACACATGGTTTCATGCTAAAGGTTATTCTTTTGCATGGGTTTACGGCCTCTTTCTCTACGAGAGGGTTGTAATCTACTTTCCATCCCTCTCAGATTGCAACTGTTACACAAAATCTGTGAATTGAAGGTTGTTCTGGACAATATTTGTTGTTTAGCTTTCATCAATTAAGCATGTAATATGAACATAAAACTGAGTTTTCTTGACCTTGCTTACTTGAAGGAATTCTCATACTATGTGTAGTGCATGCCTGAGGTAGACCTAGGTGATTTGCTTATCAACCCTGGTAAACTGAAGGTGCCACTACACAAGTGCATTAGAAAGCTTAGCTAGATTTCTTGGTTCTTGCAGCTTTCCTATGATCGGTGAAACTTTAGTGTATTATAAAGAGGCTTCTTTCTACTCATGTAGCTAATAGTTTCATTGGGTTTAGGACTTTTATTATATCCTCATTGTCTCATGGCACTCTTTTGCTATAATATTCTGGGATAGAATCATATGTACATGAGTCTTTGAGGAACTAAACTACCAAGCCAACCAGATATCTGTGATAAATGGCTGTTTCATTCTCTGCAATTGCTTTCTGTCAAACTGGGGAGGAACTCTTGAGATATCTTTCTCATAACACACAAGTCTAAGAGGAACTAAACTACTGAAGGCTGCCGACCAATTCAGGCTTTGTGATGGATGGTTCCTTTTGCATTATCTTTCTGTCACAATGAGGAGGAACTAGGATCTAGGATCTAGGCAAATATACTTCACATACAAGAGCCTTTAATTACGACATTTGTAACTTTGTGAACTTCCTGAGTCATTAATATAGTTTTCATGTTCTGAGAATTGTGAATAAAAAATTCAAGTCAAGGACTTGGGGGACACAAAATGTCTAATACCTGCTATCTCTATAAACCCTTTTTTTTTTTTTTTTTTTTTTTTTAAAAAAATCAAGTTATCAGTTGCTTAATATTTGTTCGTTGTTTGCATTGCAGGGACACAGGCGAGATATAGAGAATGAAGGGACCAAGATATCACTTAATTAGTTTACTCAAGTTATCAACAAAACCTTAAGTATTTTGTAAGTGTCAACATGTAGTTGGACAGTATGTGGTCGTGAATTATATCACTGGTTATTCGTCATAATAATTATTGTACGCTAACTCCTCATCAATTATCCCATACAGCCGTAGGCTTGACAAAGGTTTTTCTTTATTTTTAGTTGTGCTATAATGGGAGCTACTTGGGAAGAACACTGTATTTTTAACACTACCTTGCCGTGTTAATTCAGAATTTGAATTTGCATTAATCATGTTCGTTGGGGAGGTAATACAGGTGAAAGCTATATGAAAAGCTAAAATAGCAAAGTTGCCATGCCTATTCCTGTCTAAGGCAAGTACTTGTTTTTCTTCTTAACCAAAAAAAAAAAAACGTACTTGTTTTCTTGACTTTCTCCATTACTGGTATTCTCTACTACTCTACAACAAAATGTACAAGTACTCCATGTTCTAGGTCTTATACTAGAGCTACTATTTGGTTGCCTTTTTTGACCGGCTTTCCATATCAAGTGGTTCTGCCTTCTATCAATTCTTGGACATTAACCATTGGTGCCAGAAATATTAATATCATCTAATATAATGATACAGATATAGGAGATTGAAAATACGTATAAAAGGAAGCCCAATTCTTAATTACTCCTTCCGTTTTTAAATACTTGCTCCATTTCTCTTGGGTACGTATGCCGAATTAATCTTACTAAGTATAAAGTCTAACAATTGAAAATTAATAATCTATTCATTGAGACGAACGGAGGGAGTAGTACTTTCATAGCTAGGAAGCATAGGACTGTCCATAATTATCAAGAGATTGGACATCAGATCGTAAGAATACCCATAGTTGAGAGCCTTTTTTTACTAGTTTTGCCTAATTTGCTATATAAAATAGGGGTGAGCATGGGTCGGGTACCCATACCGTTAACACTACCGGTTCGGGTATCCGATAACCAATAACACTGAATATGATATCCATTAACCAAACCGATAAATTCCCAAGAAAAGATCCCAATATCTCTTGAAATCGCGAGGGAAGCTCTAATCACTTGAGCTATCCCTCACTCTATAAAACCCTACTCTGTATTTGGCTAAAAAACTTAACAAAGGGTGATATGTGATAATCACCTACGAAGTATCTTTTTATTAATTAAACCATTGAATTCCTTTGTGATCTCAACCATTCAATTTAACCTAAACGCCCCCTTAGGGAGTCAAAGATGGCCCCTAAGTGAAAGAGGGAAGATGAATTTGGTGAAGAACACCAAAGTATTGGAGAAATCTTCCAAGCGATATCTTATTCGAAATTTACAAACACCTCGATAATGATAAGACCGGTGACGAGTTCGAGCTTCGAAGGATACGTTCTGTTTGTACTTCATGGCGCTCTTCTCTCTTACCCTTAAAGAAACCTCTTCAGTTTCCTCTTAAACTCCCACCGCCGCCTTTGTTGTTAAACACAACATATGACTCCAATGAACCTTTCACCACTGCATACCTTTTGCGAAACAATATTTTACTATTTCCCCCTCCTCCTGGTCCAGGACACCAAGAAAGTGGATGGATAGTAAAGGTTGAACAACGGGTTGAATCGAGTAAATTGCGCCTACAAAACCCTTTGCTTACGCTGTCTGCATCATTCGAGCACCCTACGTTGTGTAGAGGATCATTCGATATGTTCGACTGCAATGCCAAGGAAATCACTAGGTCTTATTCACTTCAATATGGTATATCCAATGAACAAAACCCGAGAAAAGCTAAAGCAGTTGTATGTTGGAATAATAGTAATTCTAAAGACAATATGATGATGATTTCACCGTATTGGTGTTGTTAGGAGCAGGAAGTTGGGTTTGTGGAGGCCCGGAGAAGCCGAATGGAATATTGTACCAGATCCTTTTATAGAGATTATAGATTATGAAGTATTTCTCCGATATTATCAGTTTCGAGGGTAAATTTTATGCTATAAATAGGGAAGCAAGGTTAATAATGATTGATCCCCGACTTATGAGGTAAGGAATTTGATCACAGTAGAGTTAGATTTGGGCTATTCGGACGTGTTAACATATATAGTTGAATCGAATGGACGGCTTTATCTAGTTTATATAGAATATTACTATTCAGAAGAACCCGAGCCACCCAGAGTTGTTGGAGTTTATAAGTTGGAAGCTTATGGTAGGATAAATCATAATCAGACATGCACTTGGAAGGAGGTCTCGAACCTAGAAGATCGTGTTTTCTACGTTAGTGAGTATGTGACCTTTTCCATCGCGGTGGAAGGTTTAGGGTGGTCTAAAGGTAACTATGTTGTTATGCCATTTGGTCACTCCTACTTTCTAAGCACAATTATGTTCTTTAGCGTAGATGAAGATTTAATAGATGACAAGGTAGGACTGCAAGAGTGGCCCTTTGAACAATAATTTGGAGATTGCTTGGCATTTTACACTTCACAAGATTCAAAGATATGCTCCGATAGGAAAGAGGTAGCTCCATTCGCCAAGATTTTCTTGCCCCCTCCTCATCGGCTTTTTAGTAAATTGATGTAGTAAACTGGTAATAAAATTGATGTAGGTTCGTGCGAGCTTATTATTATATCAATGGTGGCCATGTATGGTGGTGTTTAGTGGCATAAATTAGGTGATCATACATTGAGCATAGAATCGGCTAGCAGAAGGTTTATGCAGATCCTATTCAAGTCAAATGATTCACAAAAGGAAATTTTTTACTCTTTAAGTTTCTAGGCCATTAAATGAGGATGGATTCAGTACTTCAGTAGTAGTAGTACGGCTTGTGTGTTATGTCTTTAGATTGCAATAAGATTTATTAATGTGTGTTGATTACCCTGCATTGCCTCGGTATTAATATAAAGTCTCTGGACGGGTTTTAATTGGTTTTAATAATCCCAACTTAAATTGACACTTTTTGTAAAAAAAAACTTAAAAAATTGTAAAAAATCCTTGCCCACCCACGCCTCCCTCTACCAAACTCCTCGGCGGCCCCACCTCCTCACTCCTTCGCCCTCCGGTAGTGGTGATTTCACCGTATTGGTATTGTTTAGAGTAGGAAGGTTGGGTTTGTATAGGCCAGGAGAAGTCATATGGACTATTATAACAGATCCTTTTATCTAGTAGAGATTTTAGACAATAAAGATGAACAATTCGTAATCAACAATAGTGATTTCTCCAATATTATCAGTTTTGAGGGTAAATTTTATGCTATAACCAAGGAAGCACGGTTAATAATGATTGATCCCACAATTTACGAAGTAAGAAATTTGATCACAGCAGAGTTACATTAGTTAGATTTACTAAATCTAGAACAAATCATTCAGAAATAAGGTACAAGTAATTTTATTATTTTTTTTTTGGACCTAGGAGTTATGTTAACAAAAACTGTCCATTCAAGCCTCTTCTTCTCCATACCCTTATTTCTATTCTTGATATGCTCCTGCAATTTAACAGCTTCAGTTGCTGATGGTGGGTTTGAAAGCTTTACACTTCATATTACAACTCTTACATCATTCTTGATCGACGATAAGGCCAGAACAGAGCTACTAACATGATTGAAGCATATTGTACTGCTTGGCCAGCATCTAAGCATGTCGAATGTTGCTTCACGGTTTCTTTTAACAAGTCCCATAAGCAGCAGCGTTCCAAATAAGCTTAACCTGCCACCCTTCAACAGACCAGGTAATCAAATATTGCTCCGACCAGCGACCTCACAGAAGTAGCTACCTGCTAATATCTGTAAGGCAGTCCACAGAAAAGTTTCACGTTACTAACCTAGCTACGACAAAGGACTAGTATACTATGTAGGGTATCTGGGTATGTCACCCAGTACAAAACTACAACGATAAAGAAAACTTCCATCACACTTATGCACACAGATTACAAGTTAATTTGTAAATTATGAACCATTAATTGGAAAATGAAGCAATTTCTTTTTTTATTACACTTGATTTCTCATCAAGATCAAATCTGCAGCAGGTATGAGCTACACTTGATGTGCGACACAAATTACAATTTTGGGCTCTTAAGGCTAAGAACACAATCCTGCAATCAAAAGTATTACAACAAAGCGCCATGATATGTGATGGGGCAGAGTATAAAACTTATGTACTTTGTAGGACGGATACTCTCATTATTTTAACAACCAGGAACTATAAGAAAATGACAGATACTATACCTTGAAAAGAAGACTATGAGTGTGAGCATCAACAACACTAATGGATCATCAAACAGATATATCAGCATCCTGGTACCATGCACAGGCAATTCAAATCCTTTGCTTCTAATCGCCACTCCAACTGATAACCCCCTCACCAACAATAATCTTGTTATTAAAAGATAAGATTTTGAGATCCTTCTTCACAAAACTGTAAAACTGTCATGATCCATTTCTTTGCCAAACAATATTTCATCAACTATCCACACAGCAAAAGCCTTGGATCCAATCAGTCTTACGAGTATAGAAGAGAGTACGGTTGACTCGCCAAAGCTGAATACACCCTAAGATTAATGTCCTCGATTTTGCTTGGGACAGACGGATCCAAATTAAAGTTTCATTATACATCTCAGCAGCACCTTGGAAATATATTGTCGTTGAGGCTAAGAAATGAGGCAATTCTATCAAGGGAAAGCTTTGTCTGAATCATCGCAGAGATTGTCAGGATGATTGAGCATCCCAGAAGACAAATGAAGTAATACTTGTAGTACAAAGAAAATTTGTCAGCCATTTATTCTCGATATTTCTAAATAATCTTAGACAAGAGCTAAATCTTCCATTCTTGAAGCTTTAAAATTCCCATGGTTATCAATATTTCAGATGTAGCCTTCATTCTCTAATCCTTTGATTCCATTATTTTTTACTGATACTTTTTAGCACAAATTGACAAAGGGAAATTGACCAGCATGACAATGGTCGAAATAAGTGTAGCAAATCTAGAAATTGTTGCAAGTCCTAGACTTTTGTACTACTACATGAATACCAATGCTAATGTAACTTGCACAATTATTGGCCATGAATCAAGCATGTAACAACTTAAGCGACCAATCTCTTTGCATCAAAAGACAAAAAGGTAAGTCTTTTCTTCACTTAACTACCCTTGTTTCGATCGAACAAGGCCTTATTAAAATGCTCCCCGTAAGAACAGCTCTTGCCTAACCCAGGCTACATGACGCCTAACCAATTCCTTTGTGCAAAGCATTCCACAAGCTTTGCAATGAAAAATGCACAAACAAGAAACACGACTTCGTTTTTGAACTCCCTTCCCCATTTAGATATTCAAAAATGGTATCATTGAGGTAGAGATATAAGAAGCTAATGTATATAAGAGGCAAAGGAAAGCTGTCAAATGAATACCTTCCAATGTTGTGAAGATCAAGGATTTCATAAGCTACAGAGTTGACACCTTCTTATTCCTACCTTTTAGCAGATTCCAAAAGCTTCTTAAATTTCATATAAGCATTACAAACATCATCCTTAAGGTCCGAGGTTTTGTTATAACCTTTAGTGACGGGCAGTTTTCATTCTTACAGGGTGTTTAATTCCTGACTCTTAACACGGTAAGCTTTACATATCCATCATCTCTTTCCTCAGACTTTCTGCTTCATCAGCTTTTCCTATCTTCAAGTAGCCATCAATGAAAGCACCATATACATGTGACTTGGGTCTAAACCCCTTCCCTGCCATTTGTGCCTGAAGTTTCAAGGCTTCCTCTGTCTTTCCCTCATCACACAAACCCTTTATCAGTAACTCATAGCTTGACTCCCTTGCAACAAAATCAGCATTCTTCATGGCAATCTTGAAGAATTCAAAAGCTTCCAAAACTGACCTCTTACAACAAAGTACTCTAACCAATGAATCAACAGTTGAATTATCAGTAATAAACCCCTTCCTACGCATGTCATTATACAACAGCATTGCAGAATCAGCATCTCCAGCCAAACAATACCCACCTATAAGATGTTCATAAGTAACACAAGTTCCCTCCACGCCGCGCAATCCCATCTCTCTATAAAGCTCCTCACCCTTCCCAACCTCACCCATTCTACAATACCCACCAATCAATGTATTATAACCAACAACATCAGGATTCAACCCCTTCACTCTCAACTCTTCCCACACCTTTTCAGCCTTCTCCAAATCACCTTTCTCACAATAACCCTCCATCAAAATGCTATAACTATAAGCATTCGGATCGCAATTCGACTTAACCATCTCAATCCAAACCTCCTCCACCATATCAAGCAATCCATTTCGATGAAACGAAAGCATAAGCTCATTAAAAACATGCACATTTGGAACTAATTTACCTTTCTCACACCCAAATAACTCCTTATACAAATCATATCCAAAGAAACAATCCCTAGTTTTCAAGGCGCTCGAAATCAACTCATTACAAGTACCAACATTAACATAAACTCCACGATTATGCAACATTCTAACAATATCAATACATGGGTCTAATTTATTCATTTCTAAAAGGGAAACAATCAGTAAATCAAACACAAAGGGGGCAGAATCACATACCCTATAAGATTCAACCAAAGCCTTAAAAACCTTGCACTTTTTTCCAGAAAATTCTCGAGAATCTTCAACACCCATCAAATCAAACTCCCGAATTGCCGATTTAATAAGCGATTTGGCCCGGGTTTTTTGGCGACCGCGAGCTAAGATGTGAATAATGGTGGAGTAAGAATGGAGGGAAGAGAGAGAATGGCAGCGGCGCGTGGTGAAGAGGAAGAAGCGGAGGGCGAGGTGGGGATTGTTGCGGATTTTGAGGAGGATTTTGGAGGTTTGAGATGGGGTGAAACCGTTGGGGAAGAGAGAGAGGAGAGTGGACCACCGGGATTTGCGACGGTGGTGGGTTAGGATTGATACGGTGGTGGAGACGGCGGAAGTGTCGGGGGTTGGAGGGGAGGAAGAGATGGAGGAGAGTGAGACGGTGGTTGAAGCGGTGGCGCGTGGGGTTAACGCCCGCCGGAAGATTGCAGTTGACATTAGTGATGTTTCAGTGGGAAGTTTTAAGAGTGAATAGAGGATTTACATTCTGGTTGCGGGAGGTTTGGAAGTACGGTATTGATAATTACTGTTGGGGTTTTAGTTTTGGGGATAAATGGATAATTAGATAATTTCTGAGCCATGTTCCGGTTTTTAAATTTTTAATAGTTGAAATATAGATGATTATAGCGAAATGTAGCACAATAGTCAATTATAAAAATAATCTTACTAAAAAAAAAAAAATTATGAAGGAAAAGTAATGTGTGACTCGGGTGATGCATCGCATTTTATTTTGAATATCAATAAATATTATTTGAGCTATAAAATAAAAACTATATAATAAAAAAAAGAAAGTGAACAATAATAACTAATGAAATTAAATAAACGCTCTCAAATTGATGTTTTGTACTACAAAGTATTTAGTGTATTTTAATTGAATATGAAACATAATTAAAAGATAGCAAAGTTCGTAAGAACATTAATTTATTTTTTATTGGTCTTGTGTTTAATATATAAGTATAGATTCCCTAAAAATAACTCCAATTTAGTATGGAGTAATAGATTAAGTTGGGGTGGGTCGGGTTGGGTTGGGTCAATTGATTCAACATGATTGTCTTTTACTTTTTTCGGAGTATGTCTTTTTGAGTTTTTTTACTTTTATACATACTTGCAAATTCTCAAACTGAATCTTGACATACTTGCAACATGTACGTACTTAAGGAAAAATTAGTTACTTTATATAGATCTTGTTTGATTCATCTCAATGTTTATTTTATAAATTTTTTTTTTTACTAATGTAAAATTATAGATATAAATTGTTGAAATTATGTATTGATAAACGTGATAAACAAAAATGTTATTCCGTATAAGTTAAAAAATTGGAGAAATCGAAGTATTTTTCTGAGTAGGAGATCAGTGAAGCTGAGGTTGCATTCATATTAAACATGAGATTTACAATTATCTAGGGGTGTTCAAAAATTGGTCCGGATTGAAAAAATGGACCAGACCGGACCGGTCTCCGGGTCGAGATTTTTTTTTTTTTTTTTTTCCGGTCTTCGGTCAGGTCCAAAACCCTATAAAAACCGGTGTTGGACCGAACCGGTTTTTTGCTAAAAAATTTACATAAAACCTTTAATAATAATTAAGATTATCCTTAACAAGCTTGGAAAACTTTAGTCTTATGAGCTTTTTTATGCTAAACATATTAAAAAAAGTTAAAATATTGTTTTTCCTTTATTTTTTTCGAGTTTTCCATAAATTATTTAAAATTTAGAAATTTTTTTTATAAAAATTCTAACATCGGTCCAAATCGGCCCGGTCCGGGTTTTGGACCGATTTTTTCGTTTTGGTCTGCGTTCGGTCCTATCTTAATTAGTCCGCTGTTCGGTTCTTGAAATTCAATTTTTAGGTCTTCGGTCCGGTCCGGGTTGGTTCAGTCCGGACTTGGACCGATGAACAGTCCTACAAATGTCAGATGGAAATTATAAAGTCAAAGGAAAATTCACAAGAATAATCCCACCTTTTGCACATCTTCTCATAATAGTCCCACCTTTTAAAAATCTGGGAATAATCCCACCTTTTTTATTGATCCGGGTTGTGTTGTGGCTAAAGCTGGGCACGGGTCAGGGTGGCCCGCGTGCCGCCCAGCACGGCACGAGCCCGCCCCTTGGCCCGCCGTGCCAGCCCGCCCAAGCACGCCCTAAATATATATATATTAATATATATATAAATATAAATATAAATATATATATATTTATGTATATATATTTATTTATATAGTGTAAACATTAAAAAAAAAAAAAGAAGAAGAAGAAAAGCACGGCGGCCCGCAGGCCAACATGAAGGCCGGCACGGCACGGCACGAAAACCTGGGCACGCCGGCACTGCACGTCGGCCCGGCACGATGCCCAGGTTTAGTTGTGGCATCTTTTATCTTTAGTGGTCCGTTCTTAGGAGTTAATTTTTTTTCTTTTTTGACCACCTTCACTTAGCTTCTCTGGTGTTTCTTTGTTTCATGTACTTGCTCATGTAAAGCTCTCTCCAAAACAGAAGCATCTATTGGCAACACTTCAGGTCAGAAACACCATGCACCACATATAACTCTAAGTTTCTGTTTTTCATAGCAATAGCAGTCATTTTTCTCACCTCATCATCATCATAAACTCTCCTTAAACCCTTACCTAAAGTTAACCCTGTCATCATTAGGTAATACACCTCCTCTATTTTACAGTAATTCTCCCCTTTCTTGGCTAATTCCTCAGTATACCACCAACAAAGCTCGTCTGGGTCAATTTCACATGTTATACCCTCCCCTCCTACATACGTTAATCCCTTTTCTTCCTTAATAAATACACCACCATGCCAGAACTTCAATGTCACAGTAGTATCCATTACAAACAATCAAGACTCAATTTTGTAGAAATTTAGAGCAGTAATCGAAACAACCAACAACCAACATTCAACAAACAAGTAACCACAATCACCTATTCAACCGAAAAAATCACAAAACAAAGAAAAATCGATCTAATTAAATTCGGAAATTTGAAAATTGATCTATACATACTCGATTTCATATTCAACCCACAAAACTCGAAATTTTTTAGCATTAAATCAGAAAAATCCCTTCAATTTTGCTGCTTAAAATCCACCATTGAACTTCATGCGTAATCGGAAATTGAACTTCATGCGTAATATGCCATTGCTCTTTTTTATTTTTATTTTTTTTAAAATTAATGGTCTTTAATTATTTGCAGGGGAAAGGGGGTGAATACTGTAGGTTCTAAATTGGATAGTTGGGTAATTAATTTAATTCATTAAGGAGGGAAGACTAATTAAAAGTCCACCTAAATAAAAAAACCAGTTCTCCAAGTTTCCAGTTTAATGGTCCATTTTGAGAAGATTACTAGAAAAGGTGGGATTATTCCCAAATTTTTAAAAAGTGGGACTATTATGAGAAGGTGTGCAAAAGGTGGGATTATTCTTGTGAATTTTTGCAAAGTCAAACTGAAGTTTTAGGTTTAGTAGCAACTAGCAATTGGTTATTTATTTATTTAATCTGTACACAAATGTGCTTTATTATGCTTCTAATTAATGTTCTTTCTATTAATTTAATACGGAGTACAAGTATATTATTTTATCTTGATGCTTTCTTTTATTTTGAAAAATTATACTTCGTACTTCATAATATATGAAGTATATTTTTTTATAAGGATGAAATGTTTTCCTTTTTATAAACTGTATAATCTTAAACATGCATGATCTGCATTATAATCTCAAATATAATATAAAATCTAAGTTGTGAGAAACAATAAAATATATATTATAGTTAAATTCCCATTCGATAAATTTAGACCACTAATTTAAGGAGTAGAATATATGAAAGTTTATGTAAATGTTTCATGGCATCAAACAGAGCCATTAGAATTTTCTTACCCTAGCCTTGAATTATTGAGATCTTGATAATCTATTATTGATCCTCTAGAGATGAATATATGTGGCATAAATTTGAGCCATTATACGAAAATATGCTTCTAAAAAGTGAGCATAACTGCATAAGTATATGATTATTACCTTCTACCTTAAGTATGGAGTGATTATTTAGAATCTTAAATAAAGTTGGCATCGATTCTTTTTTGTAATATACTCTGACCTACATTTCCTCCTCAATTATTTGGATAATTATTCAACTTTACTGCGAGATGCTGTGTCCTCCATTCTAAGCAAACCATGTAACATTATTAAAACTTTTTAAGAGAACTTATAATATACTAAACAATAATACTTTATTCTTCATATTTTGTGATTCTTGTCTATCACTCCATATATTGCAATACATTTTCCAAAACATAATTAAGGATCACTCCTAGTTTGTACTCGTATTAGCTCTTACGAGTCATGATCCACAACATGTGTAATTTAGCGAGTACAATAACATCTTGAAAAATGACTATCTTAAAACTTTCGACAAAGTTTGTTTGGATTAGGTTGGTTGCATGCTAAATTTTGCTCATTTGCATGTCTTTTTTGACGATCAGTTGTTGACTGTTTTCCTAGCTTATTTGGTCTTATTTGACCAACTAATAACGTCAATACATATACTAGTTGTGAAAAATGTATGAAAAAATATAGTTTCTTAATAGTTAATACACAATAAGAATATTAGATAAAATGAAGTAATTAAAATAATTATTTATAATTATATGGATAGTGAATAATTGACATTTGGTACGTGCGATGGTATTATAAGTAATTTTAAAAATTTGTACAAGTGATAATAGCTTTATAATTGAAGTAAGACCATTTCTTGCACTCTACTCCAACACCATGCTATCGGAATCTAGAGATCAATGTCAAAAAGAAAAAAAAAATGTAGATCACATCATAAAGCAAAAAAATTCATATTCCTGTGGACTTTGAAATAAAATCTTATTCTCTATGTCTCCTCTCTAATTCATTCTCTATCCATAGGAATTTTCATGTACATTCTGTTGTGCGACAGCGGAAGCAAAGGTCGAAAACAAACAAGAAAACAATAAAGAAATTCAATGCAAACAATAAGAACAACACCAAGAATTTACGTGGTTCACTATCGATGTGATAGCTACGTCCACGGGCACCGAGATCGAATGATTTCACTATAAACTGCAAAGATTACAAAGATGATTCTTGTATTTCTCAAGAACGGCTCTCACTCTGTCTCTCTTCACCCTAATACTGATATTAGGGAGGTTTTATATTAATCCCTAATTAAAAGATACTTGGGCAAAAAGAAAATAAAATAAGATAACCTAAAACCGCAAAATCCGCGTTCCGTATTTTTCCTTCTCCGCCCGGTCAGACCGGGCAAGGTCTGCCCGATCGGGCGCGAGAAGAAAACTCCATACGAATGCTTCAACGTATCCAACCCCCACCGCCCGGTCAGACCGGGCAAGGTCTGCCCGATCGGGCGAAGGCTCGCCCGGTCGGGCGAAGGCTCGCCCGGTCGGGCGCGAGAGCAGCTTCTTCAACGAATTTGCCAGGCACCTCTTCTTCTTCCGCCCGGTCAGACCGGGCAATGTCCGCCCGATCGGGCGGACAAAGCTACGAAGTACGAGTCACCTAATATACTTATCAACAATCTCCACCTTGACGAGAACTCGTAGTCAGCAAACGACCCCATCAAGACATAGTGGAAAAACATCTCAAGCCAAACCCGATGCAGGACTCATGCATAAGCCATACATCCCGATAAGTCTTCAACCAAGACCCATCACATACTCGTCTCCAAGTATAACAACTCATAATGCTCCACCTGCATCACAAGCCCCGGGCAAGCTCCACCTTAAGGCCAACACACCTACACCAGGAGCTCCCCAACTTCGCCCCTCAGGGCCTACTACATCACGTAGTAATCAATATTTAACAAGTCTAAGCAATGTTTAAACTTGCTAAACGGAACAGGCTTAGTGAAGAAATCAGCCGGGTTGTCAGCAGTCCCAATCTTCTTCACCTTAATCCTCTTGTCAGTACGTAAGAAATGATACCTGACATCAATGTGCTTCGTCCGATCATGGTGTACTTGATCTTTAGCTAAGCAAATCGCACTTAGACTATCACAATACACTGTAGCAAAATCCTGTGCAATACCCAGTTCACCTACTAGGCCTTTGAGCCAAATAGACTCCTTAGCTGCAGAAGTTAAAGCCATATACTCAGCTTCAGTAGTTGACAACGTAACTGATGACTGCAATGTAGACTTCCAACTAACCACAGAACCACCCAAAGTGAACACATAACCAGTCACAGACCTCCTGGTATCCACATCAGCTGCATAATCAGAATCACTGTACCCAGTGACCAAGCATTCCTTATCATTCCCGTACACAAGACCAATATCAGCTGTCCCTCTCAGGTAGCGAAAAATCCTTTTCACCCCTTGCCAGTGTTCCCTCCCAGGTCGAGCCATAAACCTGCTTACAACACTAACGGCATGCGCAATATCCGGCCTAGTACAGACCATAGCATACATCAAACAACCAACCGCATTTGCATATGGAACTCTAGACATATAAGACAACTCCTCCTCTGATTGAGGTGACATAGACAAAGACAACTTACAACTAACAGTAGTTGGCGTACTTATAGGCTTCGATTTTTCCATCCCAAAACGAGACAAAATCTTTTCAATGTAGCTTTTCTGAGTCAAGAAAAGCTTACCTCTAGCCCGATCCCTGTAGATCTCCATACCCAAAATCTTCCTAGCTGCACCCAAGTCTTTCATGTCAAACTCCGAGTTAAGCATCTCCTTTAATCTAGCAATATCAGATTTATTCTTTGTGGCAACCAACATGTCATCAACATATAACAAAAGATAAATCATGGAACCATTATCCAGCTTACTATGATACACACAGCAATCATATGAATTCCTGTCAAAACCTTGTGAAACCATAAAAGAATCAAACCTTTTGTACCACTGTCGGGGGGATTGCTTAAGTCCATACAATGACTTTAGCAATCTGCAGGCATAGTGTTCCTTTCCAGGAACTTCGAATCCTTCGGGCTGCTTCATCAGAATCTCCTCCTCCAAATCGCCATGAAGGAAAGCCGTTTTAACATCCAACTGCTCCAGCTCAAGATCAAAATGTGCTACAATTGACAATAACACACGGATAGAAGTATGTCGAACCACAGGTGAGAATATCTCAACAAAATCAACCCCTTCTACCTGACTGAACCCCTTAGCAACTAGCCTAGCCTTAAAACGTATTTGCTCAGTTTCCGACAACCCTTCTTTCTTCTTGTAAATCCATTTACAACCCACAAGCTTCCTCCCTTCCGGTACCTTTACCAGTTCCCACACTCTGTTCTTGTAAAGAGACTGCATCTCTTCACCCATTGCGGCAAGCCATTGCGCAGACTCACTACAACTAATTGCTTGTTTATATGTGGCAGGTTCAAATGACTCTACATCATCAGCTACACTCAATGCATAACCTGTCATCGCATCAACACAGCAATTTCTTCCCTCCATCTCTTCAATCAATCTAACAGGCTTCTTGATAACTCGTTTAGGCATCTCAAGAATGGTGTCAGGTTGACTAGATGACCCCTGATTAGATTGCTCCACCTCATCCCCAGAGTTAGAATGAGTAGGAGTAATCTCAGGTTCAGGAGTACCCGGCACTGGAACATCAGCATCATCATCAATATATTGTACCCGAGGTAAATCAGCAATGGTAGACTGATGTACCTCAAGTACCCCATCTGTCTGTAATAAATTGTCTCCTTCCCTTCTCAAATCTGAAATCTCTGCATTTTTAATTGAATACATGGTGTTTTCATCGAAAGTAACATCCCTACTAAGAATGACCCGACCCTCCGAAGGTGAAAAAATTCTAAACCCCTTCACACCATCCCCGTACCCAACAAAACACCCCTTCTTGGCTCGTGGATCCAGCTTACCCTCAATAACATGATAATAAGCAACACAACCAAAAATCTTCAAATTCGAAAAATTAGGCAACTTACCACTCCAGATCTCAAACGGAATTTTGGAATCAATTCCAGAATGAGGACCCCTATTAATGACATAACAAGCTGTTAACACAGCTTCACTCCAGTACCTCCTCCCAAGCCCTGCATTAGAGAGCATGCATCGGACTCTCTCTAGCAGTGTCTGATTAACCCGTTCTGCTACACCGTTCTGCTGTGGTGTCTTCCTGACAGTATGATGCCGACCTATACCCTCATCTGCACAGAACTGATTAAACTCGTCTTTGCAAAACTCTAGCCCATTGTCCGTTCGTAGCTTCTTGATCTTCCTTCCTTGTCGATTTTCCACCAAAGCTTTCCATTGCTTGAAAACTTTGAAGGCCTCATCCTTTGACTTAAGCAACCTAAGCCATGTGTATCGGGACTTGTCATCAACAAATGACACAAAATAGTGGTAACCTCCCATACCTTCAACTCTAGATGGACCCCAGCAATCTGAATGGATGTAATCGAGCACTGCATCAGTAATGTGAGCACCCTTGCTGAACTTTGACCTGTGTTTCTTACCAAACACACAATGCTCACAAAATTCAAGGTTGACAACCTTGACCCCGGATAGAAGACCCCTCTTGGACAATAGCTGCATCCCCTTCTCCCCCATATGACCAAGCCTCATGTGCCAAATCTTAGTCATCTCCTGGTGAGATACAGATGCGCAAACCGCAGAACTAGGCAGTGTAACACCCTCAAAAACATAGAGGGTGTTCCTTTTGATACCCTTAAGTACCAACTCAGAACCTCTGAAAATACACAACTCCCCATCTGAAAACACACCATTGTACCCCAATTCATCCAGGGTACCCAATGAAATCAGATTCTTTCCTAAAGCAGGAACATGCCGTACATTAGTCAAAGTTAACCTCCGCCCATCAACAGTCCTCAACCTCATGGAACCAATACCTGTGACCTTACATGGAGCATTGTTACCGACTATAACCATACCCCCATTGCGAGGTTCATATGTATCAAACCAATCTCGACGTGGACACATATGGAACGAACACCCCGAATCTAGAACCCAGTTATCAGATAAATCATCAGACCTAGCAGAACTGACTAATGCTAAATCTTCCTCTGAATTATAGCTCTCATTCGGTTTCTCTTCAACTACAGCAGCCTGGGACTTGTTTTTCCTCACCGGACAATTATTCCTAAAGTGACCCGGTTCTTTACAGTAATAACATGTTTTAGTAGTAGTTTTACTAGATCCATCCTTGCCGTTTCCAGCACCCGACCCAGCATTGTTCCCCTTGTTAAACCCCTTATTCTTTTTAGACTTTCCGGACTTAACAAATAACCCACTACCATTATCCCCATTATCACTCGTAGCTTTCATTCTGAGTTCCCTAGTATGAAGTGCTGCCTTCACTTCTTCTAAGGTTATAGAATCCTTACCAACAACAAAAGACTCTACAAAATTCTCAAAGCTAGACGGTAGAGATACAAGTAAAATCAACGCAGCATCCTCATCATCAATTTTAACATCTAAATTACGTAAATCAAGCAAAATAGAGTTAAGTTTTTCTAGATGTTCCCGTAAGGAAGTACCTGACTGCATCCGGAGGCTAAACAACCGCTGTTTCAGTAATAATTTGTTGGTCAACGACTTAGTCATATACAATGACTCCAGCTTCAGCCACAATCCAGCCGCCGTTTCCTGATCAGCCACCTCCGTGATGATTTGATCATCAAGACTAAGTAATATGGTAGAGTGTGCCTTCTCTTCCATAACTTCTAACTGCGAGTCAGTCGGTCCGTCTCCTGACTCCGAAGTAGTACTCTTTGGAGCCAACGGACGCCATATCTGCTGTTGTTTTAACAGAGCCTTCATCTTAATTTGCCATAGCCCGAAACTATTTTTCCCGGTAAACTTCTCAATTCTTATTGTTGAATCTCCTGCCATTGTTATCTTCAAGAAACTCTCCAAGGATTGAACCTGAGCTCTTGATACCAATTGTTGTGCGACAGCGGAAGCAAAGGTCGAAAACAAACAAGAAAACAATAAAGAAATTCAATGCAAACAATAAGAACAACACCAAGAATTTACGTGGTTCACTATCGATGTGATAGCTACGTCCACGGGCACCGAGATCGAATGATTTCACTATAAACTGCAAAGATTACAAAGATGATTCTTGTATTTCTCAAGAACGGCTCTCACTCTGTCTCTCTTCACCCTAATACTGATATTAGGGAGGTTTTATATTAATCCCTAATTAAAAGATACTTGGGCAAAAAGAAAATAAAATAAGATAACCTAAAACCGCAAAATCCGCGTTCCGTATTTTTCCTTCTCCGCCCGGTCAGACCGGGCAAGGTCTGCCCGATCGGGCGCGAGAAGAAAACTCCATACGAATGCTTCAACGTATCCAACCCCCACCGCCCGGTCAGACCGGGCAAGGTCTGCCCGATCGGGCGAAGGCTCGCCCGGTCGGGCGAAGGCTCGCCCGGTCGGGCGCGAGAGCAGCTTCTTCAACGAATTTGCCAGGCACCTCTTCTTCTTCCGCCCGGTCAGACCGGGCAATGTCCGCCCGATCGGGCGGACAAAGCTACGAAGTACGAGTCACCTAATATACTTATCAACACATTCTTTAACCCACCACACAAATATTTGACATTACCATAAAATTCTTTAATTTTAGATACCTATTAGCTTCATTCTCAAGCTCAATTTTACCCAATTTTACAAGTCATCCCATTATTATTATCTCATAATAATATCTTAAATTACTTACTATATATACATATTTGCTAAGTTGTAACTTGTAAGATGTGTATATATATATGTAGAGCTAATATTATTAATTAATTATAATCTTAAGCAATGAAATACAATGAGATATCTCATTTTAGTCACCCACAACACAAGCTCAAACTTGAGTACATAGAAATACCCTTTAAGTGTGATGGGTGTAAGGAAATAGGCATAGGATCTTGCTATAAATGCAATATATGTGAATATGATCTTCATATGCATTGTGCTATTCCTACCCCGGTAATTTACCACCCCTTTTATCCTAAATGCTCCTTCATCTTCATGTCGAGGCCACCAGGGAACGTGCCTCGATATTGCAATGCTTGCGAAAGAGGTATCTCGGGTTTTTTGTATCATTGTAAGTCTTGTGGTTTTGATCTTCATCCTTGTTGTGCCAAGCTTCCTACCGCGATAGATGATGGAGAGATTAAGTTGTACCTCTATAGGAAGGTCAGTGTTATCAATGTTAACTCCTATTTCTCAATAAGTAGCATGTTTTTGTTAAAACCTTTAACTAGATGTCAAATTATCATGTTTGTACTACTAATACATTCTTTTTTCTTTTTCTATTTTTTTTTTTAAAAGTAAATGTTTTTCTTCCCAAATGTCAGAGAAAATAGAAGTTAGTAATAATGGAATGAAATTAAGAAGTAAAACATATATTTGAGATAAGAGTTGTATATATTGACACAGAGATTTATCTATAACAAAGTTACACACAAATTGATCCATTTAATTTGTACTATGGTTTAGTTTTGCCAAATGGACCGTTATTGCGTGATATAACATATACAAGTACTTCTTCCACTTTTAGTGTACTTCTTCCACTTTTAATTTGTACTATGGTTTAGTTTTTCCCTTAAATTATCTATTTGTCTTGTACTTTTGTCTAGCTTTTTTTCCACTTTTAGTGTACTTCTTCCACTTCTCCTCCCATTTTTTAAAAACCGTGAAAAAAACACAATAGGAACTATATTATGGGACGAAGGGAGTACAAAATTTAAAGGCTGTAGTTTGTAGACTTGTTTAATTTTCGAAGGGTAGTGTTACTTTATACAGAACTATTTTTTTGTGTGTGCGCGCGTACGTATGTGTGTAGGCTCCATTTTATTTGAGTCCACTGATTAAACTTGGTATGTTATGTGAATGTAGGTTAGTGCTTCATGTCAAAGGTGTGGGAAAAAAGGACGAAGTTGGAGCTACCGATCATCAGATAAAAAGTACAATCTACACGTAGCTTGTGTCAAGGACATGCTGATTGAGAGCTGGCAAGATTTGTACAATGGGCTTGGCCTAGGTAGTACGATTGTTCGCGGTGGTGGGACGGGGATACCGGATGTTCCGGGCCTGAAAAGGGCCCTGCTACAAACGCATAGTCATAGGTATACTAACACTAAGAGTAAGGGATCAAAGGTACAAAAATGTTGTGAAATGGCTGGAATGACATTGCAGTTCGTTATCTCAGCTGTTCTTGGGGATCCTACTTCCCTTATTGCTGGGGTCATAGGCTCCATGATGTCTAGGTAACAATAGTACTTGCCATACTACTCTGTCTTAGTATACTTAAATTTGTAACAAGTGTGAGATTTATGAGTAAAATAAGTGATCGTCTGGTTGACATGATGGTACAGTTTGAATTTCCAAGAAATAAGATACACCATATAATTATAGATGCTTTTTTAGTTGACGCTAACATGTGACACCAACAATAATAAGAAAGGTGGATCTCTGATTAGTGATGATACCAGACCAAAAGTACTTGTATAATAAATTTATTTCTCACTTATAATCAAACGACAAATAACTATATTGATTATCGTACAGTACCAAAATTAACTTGGACTCACAAAGTCTTGTCTATAAATTAATTGATCTATGCCTTATATAACCAATATAGAAATATAGTAGCTTTGATGATAAATAATTGGTGCATAACTACGTATATGTAGGTCATGGACAGCTATTAAACCCACTTTATAACATGATAAATTAATATGATAAAGATTCCCATGAAAATGGAGAATTATCGTAACATTTTTTAAGATGTTTATTGATAAAATAAGTATGTGTTCAATAGACAATGCTAGGGTTATATTGAAGTATTATGGTAATTTCGAGGCAAATTATTCAATCTCCATATCTTATCCTCTAGTTAGGTTGCACGGGCCACATATTGACTTCTAGAGCACAATTTCCCAAATATATGATAAAAGTAAAAAATCATTGGAGGAAAAGAATACACGATACTCTATGGAAATAGTGGATTGTAATATTGGATGACTTTGTAATGGTGGCTTCTATACATGTACACCGGTAAGGTGTACATGCCCAAAGATATTGTTGCACATTTAATAAATATTGCTCATTTTTATCACTCAGCCAAGGCATGTTAGAGGCCCATTATCTCTACTAATAAGTCTCTTCACCCAAAGAGATCCGTTATCTTTATAACAAGTCTTTTATTTAAAGTCTCTTTAAACATTTTTGTAGTAGTGTTAAAAACAAAAAATTAACGATATTGAATTTCGTTTTATGAGAATTAGCTAGGACAATATAATTGGTTTATTCAGCTAGTAGATTTTTTCATCTCCAACTAAAGGTATGTTTTGTTCACCTTATTTTCACTTATTTCTTGTCTATCATAATAAGTTCAGTTCAGGAAAAATAATTTCTGATAAGGGTTGCTCAGGTTCAAATTACAACTAAAATAAATTTTAATAAGGTTTAATAAGTTCAGGTAAATTCAGATAAGATAAGATAAATTCAAATAAGTAAAAATTAGGTGAATAGAATCCACCCTAAGTTGAGGTCACTTGAGCATTTTTTTTTTATTTATTATTTTTTTTAAGCAGATCACGTTAGCAATCTTATCCACTTGAAAAACAAATGTGTAAAAGCGGTTAAATTTACTTCCTAATTATAGCGACATCAATTAATCTATGAATTTTATTGGAGACCAAGTTTTTATTGATGAGAATACTATGGAGCACAGGAATAGTAATTACCCTATATATGTGAATCCGATATGACTTATCTTATATAGATATCGAACTCTTATGTACGAAGTATATAGAAAATGTAATATTAAGTACCTATCTATCCGTTTCCAAAAAAAAAAAAAAAAAAAAGGGTGTACCTATCTATCCTAATAATCCTATTATAATAGGAAGTAATAATTTTAATTGCTTAGCTATCTATCCTGTATTACCGACGACTTTGCACGATCTTAAATTCTTAAGTCACTAATGACACTAATCACATAAAACTTTGAATTCTCTTATACATACATATATAGCTGTGTGGCAGCTCCCTGATCACAACTTTAACTTGATATATCTAACATCTTTAATTTGGTGTATGATTAACGATGATACTTCATTTTCAGTTGCAATTACTTGAGACAATACTTTGCATATAACAAGTTGACATAGGTTGCTATCATATCAACCACTCCCATAATGTTGACGTACTAATAATTGAGTTGGAATCCAATCTCAATTTACGAATCTAATACCAGCGTTTTTTGAATAGCTACTCTTTAATTTATTGTAACAATATTCTTCTTTTTCAAGAAGTGTAAGGCTAATCACATCATTATTATAAATTTATACTTAATAAACTCTAAAACACGACGTGTGACCGTCAAACATTTTTCGTCATTACATTTAGACAACTTTATTTACAAATTATCAGTTGTCTATTGGAGTGAGTCCATCATCATACTCCGTATTATATAACCAAATTGATTTAAAAAAAAAAATATAACCAAATTAAAATTTTGAACTCATAATTAGACATTAATCAACTGAATTATTACTCACAGTCAAGTTTCATAACTTAATTTTATTGTATGCGTTACTTCGTAGGTATTACTCTGTACTTTATACGATTTCAACAATCAATTGATTTTATGGATTTCAGTTCCGTAAATTGGATGACATGAAGTAAATAATACCCCTTTTGTCAGTAGTTGTCATGACATAAAGATGAAGATTTGAAATATACGGTATATACTAAATACAGTACATGGATAAGGTTTGAAATCTTGATGAAAAGGAATTTAAGGTGAAAAAGCTGTAGGGTGATCAAACTCGACTGCAGAATTGTCGATCTATTCAATTGCCAGTTCGTATAATCAAAACCTTTAACCTTGGCTGCTAGTACATTTGCAATACACCCAAGATCCAACTATCCATTGTGTCTTACAAAGTTTCTTAGAACGCTCGACTTCTATGCATGAATTTCACCAAGCTCATTTGAATCCCTTCTCCTTGAACTTGGAAATTGTTATATACACCCGGGTGCGGCACCATATAGTCGTGCACCCAACTAATCCAAGGTTAGTTATTGCTCTTCATTTGATGATTAAATGAATAACAATCATCAAAATGAGAACAAAATACTCATAGGTGAACCGTGAACCCGAGTGTAAATAACAATTCTTTGCTTGAACGGGCCTTAGCTTCACTTTACCATTTTATTTAAAAAATTGAGCATAAAGAACATATTCTTTGACAATATCAAGACTTGAACCCGAGGCTTCACATTACAAATGAAGGTCGACTAAAAATTCAATTTTCGACTAGTATGTATTAGATTTTAATGTCATTAATAACCTATCTACCCATTTGAAAATATATTCCTGAAAAAACCATTTATTTCCACTTGATTTAGTCCGATTAAACTATTTAACAATTTTATATTTCTGTTACATACAATCGCCCATGACATAACAATCATTATATCAACCAATGACTAATTATTCTTACAAAATATGTCGCGTCAGAATAGTAGAAATTTGTTGATGGTTTGATTATTCACTCTCGAGTTTACCAAGTCCGTTGACATAGAAAATAATTCACACTAACATTGCGGTCACTGCAAGCTGGCTATCAACGACAGCGCAATGTTGTATTTTCTTGCTACATTTCTTTTGGTTGTTATACAAAAGCTATGTGAACCATATAATTTTCAACAATTTCTGATGCATGTAAGACTATTATTTTGGTATATATCAAGCTTTTACAAAGCATATACTACCCCGTTTCTGATTTTGCAACTTTGTGGTATTATTTGTGAGATATAAAATATTCTAAGGTGACAAAAAATATGAAACAGAGATAGTAGTTTATAATATACTTTCTCCATTTTTTGTTTTATTGTTGCAATAGTTTGACTTTTACACTATTTATGTGTCCACTTTGAGCTTTGACTAGCTTTGATGATTTATAGATTTGTGAAAATATAGTCATGTGTGATCTTGTTAGATTCGTATCGATTTATACTATTTTAATATAAAATATTTTTACATATTGGTAATTAAAGATATTAACAATTAAAATCATGCTTTGGCAAGCGTGAAAAGAGAAATGTAGCAACTATAAAGAAACAAAGGACCTTGTTCTTTAGAGCTGTTATGCTCTGCTGAAATCTATGCAGCTCTGCTGTAACCCTGTTGTGGTGACTCAATTTGCTCTGCTGAAATCTGCTTTGTCCAGAAGCTCAAAAAACAGGACCGAAGTGTATAACATATCTACTTTTTAGTGTCAATGCCCTTTACAGGAAAATCATTTTCATTTGTCCTTAATGGTGGGGCTAACTAGGGCCTAAATCTTCCTCTATAAATCCCAATATATTTGTTTTCCTCTTTATTCATGCATAAACATCTTAATCTCTTTTTTTTCTCTTCTTATTTTTTTTTGGCTTCCAAAGATGGGCATTTGTAGCTCTCAAATGACCAAAAGAAATGGCAACTTTCTCTCATTGAGACCTACGGTTATGATCATTCATCCAGATGGAAGCTTAGACGAGTTCAACGAGGCAATCACTCCGCGTCGTGTACTCTCTCAACACACAAGTTGTTTTCTTGCAAGTTCGGAGTCAATGTATGTTGATTCAATTGCTCCTCCAATTTCGTATGATGAAGAACTTGAGCTAGGTCAGATATACTTTCTTTTACCACTTTCTCAAGCTCATAAAGTTCTTTCCCTTGAGGACTTATGTGAGTTAGCTATTAAGGCTAGTATCGCACTTGGGTTCTCTAATATCAAAAGAAGTCACTCTAATGTTGCCAAAATTGTTGCTCAAGCTCGTAGCTCGTGTCGCGTCCTAAGTGGGCTTGATGCCATTGGTGCACTTTACCCACAGGCACGGCGAGGTAGCCGAAGAATTGGGATTTAAATTTCGTTTTGTATGTATTTTTAGTTTGATGAAATCCGAAAAAAAGAAAAATGTAAAAATTTTTACGACCATTTTTTTAGAGTGATGGTTGTAATTGTAACTTGTAGTTGTACACTTGTACGCGAAGTGACCAAAAGTAACGTTTGTATCTCTAGAGAGTTGCAATGTTGTGAATTGGTGTAAAAACGAACATGTAAAAATGGCCAATTTGGCCAACAATGAATCATTTAAAGTGTTCATATATGTGTAACACTAAGTGGGCACATTATGGGCAGCACTAATTAGTTGTTGCTATTGGTCTGATTTTATGCAAAAGGCCAAATTTGGAAAAAGAAAAAAGTACGAATTGTAACAAGTAACAACCTTCTATATCTTCCATTTCTTTGTTTGTTCAACTTTTTGTTCAATTATTAGCACTATGAGCTGGAATTTGTACATATAATTAAGTCCAAGTACAAGGATATGGTGTTAGTACATTTGTAATTATGGTATCATTCATGCTTTTAAAGATTGTGCGTAACCAATTAGATTTTGGGTCCGATGCATTAACATTGTGTTCTTGCTCTTATGATCATTAATATGGCGTGCTTTAAACTTGATCAAGTTTAAATCGGATTGTTTAATCAGACCCATTCCTTCATTATATTATTAGTTAAGAAAGGAGCCTAAAATAAGATAAGCCCGATAATTTGGTCTTATCCCAACCTATGGTTCTAAGTGGGTTACACTTTCTCTAACTCGTACAATACTTTTGTATCATAGTGACTAGTGAGCACATTAAAATTTAATGTCAAAATAAATGTATTCGAAATTTGTTTACAATAAACGTTTTTTATTCACATGTACATACACCAATAAGGCAATAATTTAAAATAATTTCGCCCCCCACCCCCTGCAAACACACGTGTGCCGGGGGGCAAGAACAGGGTGGCAAGACAATGACGGATTATAAGAAAAGGATCGGACTTCTCTAGTATAAACTATTAAAGGGTTAATGATAAGGGTATTTGTCCATCAAACTTGAATGCATGCATAAATTGAGATTCAAATAGCTGGATGTACCAAACATTTGTACTGTACAAGGGCCCTTAAAATCCAACAAACGAAGAAAAATAAAAATCTCAATAAAGTGATTTGCTTTCTTATTCTTTTTTCCTGTTTGTTATCTAATTCACTGAATCTAATGCTATTAAACAGTACAAATAATATCTGTTTATTATTTGAACAGATATTCATCTTTCATACATTTATTTGGACTAATGCTAGAAATCATCATACATTAATAACTAGTCTAATCTAACAAACTTTGTAACACATTTATTCAAGGCTATCTTACTAATTAAAAAACATAATATTAATATCCAATATTGTTGTTTACATAAGATATTTTTGTCACTAAACAACTTGTGCTGGAGGTTTCATTTGTTGTTTAATAGCAGCAACTAGCTGATTATAAGCTTCTGTCCAAGCTTCCTTCATCTCTGATGACCACATTTCAGGAACTGCTTCTTTAATGGTTTCGAGTAGCGCGAATCTAACAACCTTTATGTCAAAACAATGATCATATTGTTACAATGTTAATAATACTAGCAAATGACATATAATATGACATTACAATTTGTTTAATCTAATTAATTACCTCAAAATGCTCATCAACCACCCCATATTTGTAGTGCAACTCTCCTAAATCCTTCAAGTTGGAATCTTTCACTGTGGCCTTTCCTGCCTTCCTCAAATTAACAGCTGATTCACAAGTCTAAATTAAGAAGGAAAGAAAAAAAAGATTAATTATTTAAGTTAGTATTGATATTTTCCTCATTAAAATTACTTAACTTCATGAAAAAGTTCAGAAATTTTGATATGTATGAGGTAAAAAATGAAAGATTCTAAGCACGACAAAAAGAGGAACAACAAAAAGGAACGGAGAGAGTAATTACCATGGCGAAGACAGTTAAGGCATGGGCCTTAAGTTTTGGGTTCTTTTCCAAAGGAACATTATTAGAATCATTTAAGAATGAGAACAGTTTCTTTGCAGTGGGTGCAATCTCAAAAACCCTGAAATATAACCTTTCCCAAATTAGTAATCCTAAAATAGAGGAAGATTATAAATAAACTAATTAATCAAATTTCTGGGATTTAATTAGATAATTAATTAACCTTAAGAAGAGCTTAAGACCCAATTCAGAAGCATTCTTTTTCATGGCATTCCAAGATTTAACCACAAGAATTTCCTGCTCTTCACTAAATGATTTTACTATTAATCCACCATTATTCCTCTTGCTTACACCTAATTAATCACCAAAAAAGTGCCAATTAATACAGAGTATATTATAATGAATATTAAAAAAGAAAAGCAAATGAAGGGAAAAAGAAATTACTAGTGATGAATCTGGAATCTTTGCAAAAAAGTCCCTGAAATTGAAAATTTTCCCTTTTGATCCATGATAACTCAGTGAATCCGAAACTGGAATTTTTCTGAGGAGAAAAATTACCATGAAATTTTACTGCATTGGAAATGCAAATAGCTGCCAAAAAAAAACACACACACACAATAATTAAGAAAAAAAATTACCCTTAAACCCAAGAAAATTTAATATCTAAAAAATCAAAATGAAAGAATGTAGGAAAATGACATTACCTTTGGCGGCAGGGGGTTTGGTGCAGATAATATCCATTGGAAAATATGAAGATGGGAATTAAAACATTGGTAAGAGATGTATAAATACAGGAAATATTAGATCTTGGTTCTTAAAAACAAAAAAATAAAGTAATCTAAGTACAATGTACTAAACTACTAATGTGGGCATGCAGTAGCCTTTCAAGGAAGAGTAGAGTCAACCTACTTTACTTGCTTAGGTAATTGCATGTGTCGTGTTGCTAAGATGCTAAGAATTCTCAACTTGGTGAATTTCTATATCTATCTTGTCTTCCTACCAAATTTAATGTCATTCTTAATATCCACTCCTCTATTCTCAAATAATCGTCTTGTTAGCCTGTTAAAGTTTGAACATGTACATTGTATAAGGAATTTAGTAGGGTGAACGGAAGAATGTAAGACAAATAGAGTTGGGTGAGTTCATTAAAACTTTTTCATTTGTTTTAAAATATATGTTTAGTTTGACGGACACGTATTAATGTAGATTTTTTTACTAATAATATATCGTACTAATTGTTAAATAGATATACATGATAAATTTTTGATATTTGAAACTATTAATTGAAAAGATTCTAATAATGACACACAATTTAATCTTGTCAAAGCGCAAATATTGATTGAAGCGCATAGGCCCGGTTCTTTTGAGCTGATGTGGTTTGCTTTGCTCTGCTAAAATATGTTCTCTCCTCTGCTAAGCCCTGCTCTACTCTGCTCTGCTGAAATATGCTCTGCTTGTTCGGAAGCTCAAAAGAACTGGGTCATGTAAATCATGCCAAAGTCAATTGAGAATTAGCATTGTTAATAAAAGTGCAATAAAGGAGATCATAATGATAGATATTTTGGGAAAATGACACATGTAGTTTGGATATTGGTAGACATTAGTAACAGAGTCGTGAAAGCTAAATTCTATAGAATTAATTATATTATCCACCAACAAGAGTTGGCTCAAGAGGTAAGCAGTTTGATATCGGTTAAGGGAGGTCTCGAGTTCGAGTCTCACCGAATGCAGAAAACTCTTGTTGAGAGACTCATCCACCATAAGCCAGGTGTGCAACTCGGGTCTGAACCGGATGGGGTAAACTCAAAAAAAAAAAAATTATATTATCCTTTCAAAAAGTGTTAATGTGACTTCAATTCTTAATGAAAGTATAAATTATCATGAAGTCTCATTTACTTTAGCTTTGTTAATTACGTTCATAGTTTTTAGTTCGCAGTTGGCAAAAGACTCATCACTCCCCTTTGATGTGTGGCGACCTCCCCTTCCCTTTTATTTGACAACATCAAGGCCACAAAAGGATGCAGTGAGTGGTGACGGCGGTTGAGGCAGTTCCATGCTTAACAATGTACAATTTTAACGATTACTCCGTATCATACAAGTTTTATTAATTAGGATTAATACAGTTTTTTAATCTCAACTTTTACCAATTTATTTTCATTAATCCCAATTTTGGATTATTCCTCAATAATCCCAACTTTAAGGTGGCCTATCATTTTTCAATCCCAAAAACCGGTGACCGGTTGAATGAGTTATTTTTTTTTTTTTTTTTAAAAAAGTGACACGTGTCACAAGTTGATTGGTTAATGAAAATTTAATAAAAAAAAAACAACAAAATAAAAATTTTGAAACCCTTGAAAATTAATTTTTTTTTTCAGAAAACCCCCTTCCCTTCCCTGGCCACTGCCACACCGTCCACCGGAAGCCCAGCCCCACTGTCCACCAGAAAACTCACACCTTTCTTCTCGCCAATCAGCCGCCCCATTCCACACACGCTACAACCACAAATAACAACAACAAACACCAGCAGCTCAACCCAAACAACCGCACAACTCGCAAACACCAAACAACCACCATCACGACTAGCCTAATTCGTCAGTCGCAACACCCATCTCCATCTCAACGCCGATTCGCCACCTACAATCAGCAATTCAACACCTAATTTCATCAATTTCAGCCTCCAATAGCATCAACAACTTCAAATTATGCTCATGTGCTCACGAGGATGGCGTTCAAGGGGGAAGGGAAAACTCGATGCGGGTTTCGATCAAGCGGCGAAGGCTTAATGTTGGATCGGCGTGGTCTGGTGTTTTCGGGGTGTGGCCGTGGGTTTTTAGGTGGCGGAGGGCAAAGCAATGGATGAGGTTGGGGGTTTGGCCGGATTTCGTGGCTCTGAACTTCGTGGTGGTTTGGGGTTTTTGGGAGTTGGGGAGGGGTGTACTTCGTGGTTGTTTGAGGGAATGGAAGCAGATTTCGGGAAGGGGGGAAGTCGGCGCTGAAAAGGGGCGGCTAGCCGACAGGGAATAAGCGTCGGTCTGGGCACGGGCTGGTGGTGTTAAGGTGGGCGGTGGGGAAGGAGAGGCTGGCTGGTGTTTTGTGATTTTTGGGTTTTTTTTGTTATTTATTTATTTTTTTTAATTTTTAGACCAATCAGGACTTGACATGTGTCAAGTGACCTGGTACAACAGGTTTAGTTACCGGTTGCCCCGGTTGGATATGAAGAATGATAGACCACCTTAAAGTTAAGATTGTTGAGAAATAATCCAAAGTTGAGATTAATGAAAATAAATTGGTGAAAATTGGGATTAAAAAACTGTATTAATCCTATTAATTATTTTATCTAAACATAACTTCGTATAAGAACAATAATTAAAACAAATTCAACAAAATTCTATTTTGCCTTAATACGGTCAAGGAAATTACGTTATCGTTTTTAAAGTCCAACCGATACATTTAATCAATTTAGTAAAACCAAATCTAATATCCGGAAGGAAAGAATAACTTTATCAGATGTGACAAAATTAACATACGTACGTCTTCCCCAATTCAATTCGAGAATGTATGAAAAGCAACTGTGTTCTTAATTGATCTGGCGGCTAACAGATCAGACTATGATTTTCAGATTTTGTGAGTTAGCCGTTTGGCATATTTCATGAGCTTTATTTGGCTTGTTAGGAGATGGCTACGGTGATGTATTGGTAGTTTGGTAAGTCTATAGAAAACAAATTTGAATTTTTTTTTTTAAATAATTAAAATTAAAAATTAAAAAAATATAACACAATATTTACAAAATGATATAAAAATTACCCAATAGTAAGAATATTATTTAACATGGACATAAAATTCTTCGTCCAATAATAATCTAATATGTTGAATTCTTTACTAATTCCTTTAATATGATAATGATCGAGTAAATGAAATTTGATAAGAGTGAGGGAAATATAACATCAAGATCAAGCAAGAATAATTTATTAAATGAAATGGTAAGATGCACGCAATGGTTGTAGCAACGATCATATGTCTTCATAACATATATATATATTCTAATGTAATCTGATAAACTTTAAGGGATTTACAACAAAACAAATAATGATGTTATTGATGATTCGAATGTAACACGCACGGAGTATATAGTACAATAATAGTACATTGTTGATAATGAAACATTATTCCATGTATAAAAAAACAAACATTGTCAAAAGCAAGTTTTTTTCAAGTGAACTTAAGCTGTAGATGAAGGCTTCATTTCAGCCTTAATAGCAGCAACCAACTGATTAAAAGCTTTAGTCCAAGCATTCTTCATCTCCGGCGACCACATCTCTGGTACCGCCTCTTTTATTGTTTCCAGCAACGCGAATCTAGTCACCTACAAGTTCATCACATATCTTCTAAGCTCAAAATGATCATAAACATACCAATCAAAACATAGTTCGTTATATCTAGGAGATTTTTTTAAAAGAAAATGCATTAGAACTTGAAAAGAGTTACTAATGAATTACCTCAAAATGTTCATCTACAACTCCGTATTTTAAGTGGACTGACCCCATATGCTTCAATGTAGACTCACCAACAGTTACTTTCCCAGCTTTTCTAAGTTGAGCAGCTGATTTACACGTCTGAGAGATAGAGAAGCAGTGATAAACATGAGAAATTACAAAAATATATACGTGACATATATGTTATTTTCAGAGCAATCTGGCCACTATGTGTACTAGAAATTTGGAACGGAGGCAGTATGTAATATGTATCATAACTATATTTGGCTATAAGTCACAAGCAAAGTATGTAATATGCATCACGAGTTTTAGGGGGTGGATTTGGATATTAGATGAAGCATGTACCATTACGAAAACAGACATAGCATGGGCTTTGAGCTTCGGATTTTGCTCCAAGGGAACGTTCGAGTCCCTTACAAAAGAGAACATTTTCTTTGCTGTTGGTGCAATCTCAAATATCCTGCACGTAACCAATTTCGATTACAATGTGAATAAATGAATTAGAGCAAATTGGAAAAACCAAAAATACATAAACATGGAGCCAACTAGTAGAATAAAATATTTGTTACCTCAAGAACAACTTGAGACCAAGTTCAGCAGAGTTCTTTTTCATGACATTCCATGATTTAACCACTAGTGCTTCTTGTTCTTCAGTAAACAAAACTGTTACATTACCAACAAAAACACATTACAAAAAAAAAAAAAAAAAAAAAAAAAAAAAAGAAACATAATAAGCATACGATATATATGATGGTAAATGACATTTTACATTCTATGAAAAAATATGGTGAAAGACATATAAAAATATACCATTTGAGGCAGGACATTTAACGTTTTCGAGACTCAGGCTCATGGTTGGTTTATACAAAATCTGAATTATTTTGGTAGGATAAAAAAAGGTAATATAAATTTATGTTAAAAGAAATTCAAACTGTTTAAATAGGAGACTTGATGACCTTTCAATGCTAAGTAGAGTCAATCAAATGCAAAGTTTGAATTGTTTTACAAGAATTTAAATTCAATTTAAGATGAAAACTGTGGATTATTGTGGTTGAAAAACCAGGGGCCTTAAATGGGAAAACATACATGTTGTTGCATATGGTCAAGTTTGAGTTTTTCAACTTGACAAAATTCATTGTACTTCATATTAAAATGGTCAATTGGCTGCTGTCTTCTCCATAAATAATTATAGGAAACTCCGAGTGGTCAATCATTTTTTCTTAATCTATTTCTGGTGTTACCAAATTGATTGGTGTTTCTATAATTAGTAAGTTTAATTTGAAATTTCATTCCTTGCTTATGGATATAGGCGTGAGATTTATTATTCATACAAAATTAGTAAGTTAAGTATGATTCTAAGAGAAAACCAAAATAAGTCATCAAATTAGTGCGTAGAGTAAGAGAATCCTTATTTGCCTCGAATTAGTAGAGTAAACAATTTGGCATTATTAGCACAGTCAAAACGGTTTGACAGTTCGGTTTTGGTTCGGTTTGAAATCGGTTCGGTTTGAAATCGGGTCGGTTTGAAATCGGTTCAAATGTCTTACGGGTCGGTTTCGGTTCGGTTTAAATAATTATCGGTTCGGTTCGGTTTCGGTTTATTCTTGAACGGTTTAAATTCGGTTCGGGTTATAAACGGTTCGGTTAGTAAACGATTCGGTGCAAACGGGTTGCGATTTGTTAACGGTTCGGTGTAAACGGTTTTTAACCCGGTTTAAATTCGGTTCGGGTTGTAAACGGTCCGGGTTGTAAACGGTCCGGGTAGTAAACGGTTCGGTGCAAACGGGTTGCGGTTTGTTAACGGTTCGGTGTAAACGGTTTTTAACCCGGTTTAAATTTGGTTCGGGTTGTAAACGGTTCGGTGCAGACGGGTTGCGGTTTGTTAACGGTTTGGTGTAAATGGTTTTTAACCCGGTTTAAATTCGGTTCGGTTTGTAAACAGTGCGGGTTGTAAAAATTCCAGGTAGTAAACGGTTCGGTGCAGACGGGTTGCGGTTTGTTAACGGTTCGGTGTAAATGGTTATTATCCCGGTTCAAACAGTTTCAGGTTGGAAACGGTTCGGTTGTTTTTAGGTTTAGTTTTATTTTAGTTCGGTTATAACTGGTTCGATTCGTTCACGGGTTTGGTTCTTCTACGATTTAACATTATTTAAATCGGTTTTATTTCAGATTTACTAAATTACGGTTCGAGTCTGTTTTTGATTTCAAAAAATTTTGTACTACTTTCTAACTTTTTGCTAGTTAACAAGTTTTATATCAAGCCGAGACTTCATCACTTCATATTGAGGCATCATATTATATGCAAATTCTCATTAATTTTATAAATACATATCATGTTATGATTTAAGTTTAGCTATACTGATCTTACTAGTTTATTATGAAGTAGATTATAAAAGTTTAGTGCATTAATGTATTATTGTTTTACTATCAGATTATTATCTGCTTCTGATTTGATCATTTAGTTAATAGTGTCATAATCATGATTTGATGAGTTGTTGTGACATCGAAATTTGCAATTTGGTATTCGATACTTAATTAGTCAACAAGACTGATAATTAAGACTCGTTTATCATTATATATTTGCATAAAGTTATACATGAAGATATTACAGAGTAGTTTGATTTGTATAATGAAAGAAAACATTAATGAAGAAGAAGGTAATGTTGATTCCTTCAATCGATTATACAGATACATAACATATAACCATCTCATATTCTCATAGTTAGATATTATTAGTATAAAGGGATGAGAAACATAAGATTATTATATTTTTGTATATCCTTTACTGGTTTACCCTTAAGGCTTAAGTCACTAATTAGTAATTAGTAATTACTTAATTAGACTAACAAGTTAATCAGAAAGAGTAACTTTTAACTTGAGTCTAGTAGATCAAATACTGAAATGGTATTAGTATATTACCGAGTATGATAGTCTAGTACGCTGCTAATCTGTTATGCAGCTATGCTAAATTGACAATTGCTCATATAGTCATATTAGTCAATCACTCATGTAGACATAACTCATATCTAATTAAGTAATTTGTATTTATGTACTAATCTACTAGTCAACTATATCATTTATAAGTTTACACGATTACAAGTGTATTGCTTATAGGTACAGCAAAACTGATATAAATATAACCATATAACAAATCCGTAGTACTTCTAACTCTCTAAGATATGACATCATTATTTATTGAACAATTTTCGATTTTTTATTAATCGCAACGCCTAGAAATTACACGCTAACCGATTCACATTTTATAATTTAAAGAACTTAATATTTTAATGTGTGTGTTAAAAAAAATTATAAAAGCTGATATTATGAAGGTGAATATCGTTTTATCGGGATCCGAGAAATGTAATTAGTTTTTTTTTAAGTCATGTAATTAATTAATTGTATAAAAGTTTGTTTAATGTTATTAAAATAAAATTAAAAATTTTGATTTTTACAAAGTGGAAAATTAATTTCATTTTTTTGGTTGACAATTTCAACAAAATATGGTGGGAAATTTCCCTCCAAAAACCAAAAGGAAAAACACATTTTAGATTTAGAATTTAGATATTTTGATTCTTTAATAATTAAATAAACATGTGGTTCATATATTATGCAAAAGAGAAAAAAAAAAAAAAAAAAAAGTGAAACGTGAAATTGTGAAAGACTGAAAGGCAATTAGGTTCTTCATTCATCCTCTTCATTCATCCTCTTCATTCATCCTCTTCATTCCACAGCATTCACCGTTCTTCTTCTTCATCCTCAAATCGAAGCGTTGAATCCTCACTCACTCTCAAGTTCTCAACTCTCAAGCTCTGAACTCTTAGCCTTCAATAGCTCAAAGGTAAATTTTAGTTAATTGTTTTTGTTTTGGTTTTGTTTTTTTCGATTTTTTTTTCGATCTCTCCATTCTCGTTTTTTTTTCATTCTCCAGTTCTCCATCTTCAAATCTTCCTCTCCTTCAAGCCGTCACTGCTCAAAGGTAATTTTATGTTAATTTTTTTGTTTTCATTTCGGTTTTATGTTGCTGATTCGTTGTTTGCAGGATTTGCATGTCTTTATTTTTTGATTTTTACTTCTGATTTGTTCATATAATTTCATATAATTTCTGATTTGTTCATATAATTTCTGATTTTTTGATGTTGTTCATGTAATTTTTAATTTTATTGTTCTTGTTGTTCATTTAATTTCTGATTTTTTAATTTTATTGTTCTTGTTGTTCATTTTTTGTTATATCTATTTGTGAGGTGTTCTGGCCTTACCAGCTTTGGCTATGCTCAGTTCTGATCAGGGTTGTGGTTGTAGTACCATGAGCAACAATTGAGTTGATTTGGTTACCTTATTCATGCTCGTGGTTTCTTTTCGTGTTATTAATTGTGCTTGGTTTTTTTCAGGCTGCTGTGTTGTTGTTGGTCTGCCTTTGTGACTGTTTGCTGTTTGTTGAGCATTTAAAATGTATGGCTTTGTCTATAATGCTCTATTAGTCTTCAAATATACTGAATGCTATCCTTTGTTCTATCAGCTGCATTGTTCTCTCATTAGTGTTTCTGTTTATGTGGGTTAATGCTGAATGCTAGCAGGATTTTTTTATTTAAGTTTGGGTTTTGTTTTGTTGCAAAAGTGCAAGTGCATTCAGATAGGAGTTGTCTAATAGTGTTTAGTATATTTTAGGACTGAATTGTAGATGGACTACCTCAGCTTAGAGCATGTAGTACTAGCTAGGGTCTGTCCTGTGCTGCTGCTGTTCTAATGTCTGGCCAGATCTGCTAGATGTACAAGGCTAGATTGTAGGATCTACTGGGTGTTTTCTGCCCTGTTCAGAGCAGAGTCTTTCTGGCCATGGTTTGTGCTGTCCTAGTTGATGTCTCTGCTGCAGGCTGGGTGCTGGGGTTGGTTGCTGCTGGTTTTCTAGGGTATTGCAGCTGTGGTTTTGCTGTCGTCTTGTGTTAGCTGGGCTGTGTTGTCTGTCTGTTGCTGGGCTAGGTTGCTGGTGTGCTTTGCTTGAAGCAAGCAGGTCCGGAGCTGCTGTGTTAATTTGCCTATTTTTTTTTATTTGCCCTTAATTTGCCTTTTTTTTTCACTTGATTTATACTGTTGTGTTTTTGTTTTTTCAGCAATGGAGCAAGAGTTTATTGGTTTTGATGAGGATTCTACTGTAAAGAATCAAGATTCTACTGTTCAGAATCAAGATTCTACTCAACGTACCACTAGTGGTAGTAAGCGTGGACGAACATCAGATGTTTGGAGGTATTACACCTTTTTTGATAAGATGGTTGGTCTTGCTCCGATAAAATATGCTCGATGCAATGTTTGTGGTAATGAATATAAAACTCCAGGTAATGCTGGTACTTCAACTTGTAAAGCTCATACTAAGACATGCATGAATAAAAATCCACACCATCCTGGAAATCATGAAAGTGGTGTTGAGCTCCTGTTTAATCAAACACGTCATTTACAATTGCTTGCTAGAGCTATAATTTTGCATTCCTATCCTTTAAGTATTGTGGAGCATCATGGCCTTAGGGAAGTTTTTACGAATTTTGAACCCCAACGTGAATCATGTGTGTAGAAACACTATTTTGAAACATTGTATTGATGAGCATGATAAGTTTAAGTCTTTGTTGTTGCAATCTTTTTCGGGAATTGAAGGTAGAGTTAGCTTCACTTGTGACTTGTGGACAGCATGTACTAATCGAGGTTATCTTACTTTAACGGCACATTATGTTGATAAAAATTGGTGTCTTAGGTCTAAAATTCTGAATTTTAGATATTGTGGTCCTCCTCATACTGGTGTTGAGGTAGAAAAATTTGTGTTAAAACTTATTGGGGAGTGGAACCTTCAGGGTAAAGCTTTTGCAATGACTGTTGATAATGCTCGATCCATGGATGTTATGGTTAACCTTTTGAAGAAAGATTTAATGTTGACTTCTCCTCTTCCTTGTAATGGTAAATTTTTTCATATTCGATGTTCAGCTCATGTCTTGAACATTATTGTTCAAAGAGGTTTAAAAGAAGTTGATAGTAGTGTTCAAAAATTGCGTGAGGTTTGTAAATATATTGATTCTTCAGATTCTAGACTCACTCAATTTGAGCATGCTCTTCATGAGGTTAACTGTGTGTTTAATGGAAAGTTACGTCTTGATGTTGTGACTCGTTGGAATGCCACATATACGATGATTCGAAAAGCTTTGGAAGCAAAGGAAGCCTTGAAATTGGTTATTGATAGGTTTATAGGTTATGAATTCAAACTTTCGAATGATGAATGGGATACCCTTACTAAAATATGTAATTTCCTAAAGCCATTTCATGAAATCACTGTGTTATTTTCTGGTTCAGAATATCCTACTGCAAATTTGTATTTTGCTAGTGTTTTAAAAATTGAGCACACAATAAGTAAAGCCCATATAGATCCTAAACTTGCACCCATGGCAAAAGTTATGCTTGAAAAGTTTGAGGGCTATTGGGATGAATATAGTTTGATCCTATCAATTGCTATTGTTCTTGATCCTCGTTATAAGCTTGTTCGAGTGATGAAGATGTTAAAAGTGCTTTATGTTGATGAGGCATGTGTTGAAAAGGCGAAGGTGATTAAAGATGCTCTTTTGGAGTTGTATAACTTTTATTCTTCTTTGTCTTCCGGTTTTACATCAAGTACAAATGCTCCACCCTCCATCCCAGCTGTTATCGAAAATTCAAATAGTCACTTGGATGATGATATATTCAAGGTAATCAATTTCTGATTATTGTGGTTTACAAAATTAATAATTTTATGTTTTAATTTTATTATTTAATAAAAGCATTTTGTTTGAACTTTTCTAGTATGTTGATAATGATGATGATGATGAGGATGACACATCAAATCGGCCATCGATGGAGATTGATTCTTATTTGTGTACTCCTCGACAACCAATTTATGAAGGGCAGAAGTACGATGTTCTTAAGTATTGGGAATCTCAAAGTAGTGTGTACCCCATATTAGCTGTTATGGTTAGGGATGTTTTGGCCATTCCTATTACATCGGTAGCCTCAGAGTCTTCTTTTAGCATGGGTGGTCGTATTTTAAACAAGTATAGGAGTGCGCTTTTGCCTAAGAATGTTGAGGCGTTGGTGACCACACAAAATTGGTTACGTGGTTATGATTGTGATATTGAAGAAGACGTCCTTGAAATTGGTAAAGAAGTGATAGATGAAAGTTTTGCATCTAATTAAGAAGACATGGATGTTGTATTGTAGTGAACTAGTGATGCTTAATATATGTTGTGTTGCTTCATTGCTAAAATGTTTTAATCTCATAGAACAAGTATTAATAGTTTTAGTCACATTACATATTGATATGTTGTTCCTTTTTTTATCTCGAGTTATTGGTTATTATTTATGTCCCGCTAAATATTCATCTTGACCTGCAACCGACTCACTTCGTAAATGATCTGCATCGACCCACACTGACCCACCCAATAACCACTCCTAGTAGTAAGTAGTTTGTAAACGGTTCGATTTATAAGGATTCGGTTCATAAACAGTTCGGTTTATAAATGGTTCGGTTTATAAACGGTCCGGTTTGTAAACGGTTCGGTTTGTAAACGGTTCGGTTTGTAAACGGTTCGGTTTATAACGGTTCGGTTTATAACGGTTTTTATGCCAGTTTAAACGGTTTCGGGTTAGAAACGGCTCGGTTTCCTTTCCAGTTCGGTTTAGATTTGGTTCGGTTCTAAAACGGTTTAACATTACTCGGATCGGTTCGGTTTCAGGTTTACTAAAATGGGGTTCGGGTCGGTTTTCGGTTTCAAAAAATCGGTTTTTAATCGGTTCGGTTCTCATTCGGATCGGTTTGAATCGGTTCGGTTCGGTTTTTGACAGTGCTAGGCATTATAGATCCCACAATAAGAGAGACAAATTCATATAAAATGGCATTATAGCTATAGGATTTACTTTGATAGGTTGTCCAATTTCTAAGAGTATTGCTATTAATTTTTTATTTTATTTATTTATTTATTTTTAACGACAGTATTGCTATTAATTTACTTTCAATAAAATCTACGAGTAATTCTTTGGATACTCAAGTGTGAGGGAAAGTGTTAAAACACTATATTATACACAAGTGGAGAAAATTCAAGTTAATATCCCACATTGTACTCCATTAAGTTTGAATTGTTGTTCCAAATAATCACTGGTTAATTTGGAATGAAGTTTCCTTTAAACTTAACATAAAAAAAAATAAAAAAAAATAAATAAAATAAAAAGTTTCCTTTAAACTTGTAGCTATAAATTTATAATACCAATGCTCACATAAAGTTTATGTTTACTACAAATCAAAATCCACATTAACTCCACTACCTTTACCTTCTTTACATTAGGTCGATTTCTAACTACAATCATAACATAATATTGATGTAATCGCAAAACATCTAATACTACTTTTATCAACTAACCAACTTAAACCATAGTCATAAAGCTCAAATTAATACGAGCGGAATCCACAAAATCATAGTCAAATTGATCATATGAATAGGTACTTAATATTGTAAGTCATTTTATTTAGTAGTATGGATATTGATATACTCGTTAGGCACTGTTCTTTTGAGCTGTTCTACTCTGCTGAGCCCTGCTCTGCTTACTCAATCTGCTCCCATTCTGCTTTGCTAAAATCTGCTCTAGTATGCCGAAATCTGCTCTGTGCTGCTGAAATCTGCTCAGCTCTGTTGAATCAATTTGCTCTATGTTGAAATCGCCCTATTCTTTTGAGCTTCTGGGCAAGTAGAGCAGAGTAGATTGAGACAAAGCAGAGCAGACCATAACAGTTCAAAAGAACATGACCTATATATTTGGTTTACTATATTTTTTTTTTTTTTGAATACATTAAGAATTTCCCTAGCAAGGAGGGCTTCCTAATGATTATTTTCTTACCTTAAAAAAGAAAATAAATACTCCGTAAAAATACCCGTTAAAAAACAAAGAAAAAGAAAGGAGTAGATAGTTTATGAAGAAAGGATTAAAAATACCCGTAAAAAAAAAAATAAAAAAAGAAAGGATTAAAAAAGAAAAGTAAAAATTTAAGTCTCATTGGCTAAGGCAGTAAAGCCTAAAACCCAGAACCCAACTGGGCTAAACTCTAAACCCAACGCCATCTCCTCTTCTTCTCGCCATTTTTGCTCAGAAGATTTGCTCTAATTCTTGGGTGCTGTCTATTCTCGATGGAGTGCTGACATTGTTTGGTAAGTTATTTGTAACTTCTCACACTGTTGAATATCTTTTAGATTCAAAATCATTATTTTGTAAGATTCTTGTAACTCAATTGGATTGATATTCCTTTTATGTTTTAGTTAAATTTGATATTCAGAACTAATTTGCGGAATGTGAAATTCAAGATTTGATTTTTCCGGAGAAATGGGTTTAAAACCCAATTTACAGGAATTAATTTCTCAGAAATAAAAGTCTAGTTATTCAGATCAATGTTAGTGAGTTTACCATCAATTTAATTGGGAAAATTTGAGTGATTAACCTAAGTTAGAAAAAACCCAGTTTATCAATAGTTTACTGATTTAGTTACTCTAAATTTCTTTTGACAAGGTGAACCCTTTAATTTTGCTGCTTTACTGGACATATTTGGGGAGAAGTTTGATAGGATTTAAGGAAAGGTGTGAAAATGAGAGGAAGAATTGGGTTGTTTATGAACCCTAGTGGATTAGGAAGTACAACAATTGGGCGGACAAGTAAACTTGTTTCTTGTTCTGCCTTTTCCTCCTCTGCTGGGGATGGCTCGGGAGGAGGTAGAGGCCGAGGCCGGGGTGTCTCCGGTTCGCCTCTATATAACTTTGTGGCTGGTATAGCTGACTCGAATGAGGGATTGGAGGATTCCGATAAATCATTACCTCCTGCAGGACGTGGGCATGGAAGTGGAATGCCCCTACCTTCCTCCCCATTTCTTCCTTCATATAATTCCTTTGTCGCGTCCAACCCACCACCACCACGGCAACCAGGATTAAGTCAGGGTAGAGGCGGTCCAGTTCAACAGTCCTTTGAGGGAGGAAATGAACTGGGATCACAACATAAAGCACCTGTATTTCTTAAGAAAGATGAATTTACGGGCACTAGTGCTGAAGCTGAATCAGTTGAGTCTGTACCTCGTCAGCCTATTGGAGAAAATAATCTTCCTGAAAATATTTTGAATGTGTTGTCAGGAACAGGGAGGGGAATCCCTGATAGAAAACCAGTATTTGAAAATAGAGTTAAGGAAGAGAATAGGCATATTAGGCCAAAGCAAGTTGGTGCTCCTGCCACTGGAGCTGCAAGAGGTGGAGATAGAGCTGAGAAAGGTGAGAAGGGCTCTGCAGGTGCAAAGACTAAGATAAGCAAAGAGGAGGCTGTAAAGAAGGCAGTTGGCATCTTGTCTAGGGGTGATGATAGAAGGGAAGCTGGAGGTGCTGAGAGAGGAGGTGGTCATAGGCGAAGGGGTGGAAGATTGAAAGCCGACTCTGATGATGAGGCGGAGGATGAAGAAGATGAAGACAAACTTGTCATGGGTGATGATGCAGATGGTGAGAAATTAGCCAAGGAGCTTGGGCCCAGCATGATGGCTGAATTGACTGAGGCGTTTGAAGAAATGGCTATTGATGTGTTGCCTGATCCAGAGGAGGATGAGTATCTTGAGGCATATGATACAAATCTTAAGGTAGTATTTGTCCTTCAATCTTTGCCCTTGTACTTGTTGGATGAGCTATTTCATGTGGTAACTTCACCTTTGGGTTGTAGATCGAATTGGAGCCTGAATACTTGATGGGAGATTTTGAGACAAATCCTGATATTTACGAGAATCCACCTATTCCTCTTCTTGAAGCTCTTGAGAAGATGAAGCCATTCTTGATGGCTTATGAGGGAATAGAGAAACAAGAGGAGTGGGAGGTAAGCATTGCCCTGCTATGTTGCATGATCTGCTAATTAATTTGTTTTTCTACTCTGCTTCAATATGAAATTATCTATACTGTTGTTTGTTAAAAATAGTTTTGCAATTTGTATCTTGTATCTTTGAATTCTGATTCATTCTCTTTTATGGAAATTGGTGTTGATTCCACTTCCCTTCCAACGTTTTTTGACCTTTCACATCATTCCACCTTAATCAAGAAGACCGTGATTATGTTAAAGAGCTATTAAGTTTAGGATCACTATACATACATGTGTGCATGCACACATATAGTGTGTGTACATGTGTTTGCGCATTGGTAGTTATGTGTTTCTGTCTTGAGAAAATGGTAGCTAGTTTGTCATTTTAAGGGTGAAAACTGAAAAGTTGTTTACTAAAATGGCTTGAATGGAACTTTAGTGTCAACACATGCAAATATGCAATGACAGACAACAGATGTGTAGCTGTGCACAAAGAAGTAACTTTGGTTTCTCAGTTATTACCTTACTGCAGACATTTGTCAGTAAGCTATAGAGATGCATAACACTTTTGGGATGCTTGTTCACATGGCTAATTGTTTACATGATTTATCATTCTTCAACATTCAATCTGATTTAAAAATAAAATTATGTGGCCTTTGCTAGGAAATTCTGAATGAGACAATGGAGAAGGTTCCACTTTTGAAAGAGATTGTGGATCACTATTGTGGGCCTGATAGAGCAACTGCAAAGCAGCAACATGAAGAATTGAAAAGAGTTGCCAAAACTATTCCTGCTAATGTACCTAATTCTGTGAAGAACTTCACTGACCGTGCTGTTCTATCACTCCAGGTTGGTCTTTCCTACCTTGCAATTTTTTTTTTTTCAGGGTATATTTTATTACGGTGTAATACCATAATATCTGAGATTTCTACTCAGAGCAATGGTGCATAAAGTATCTAAGCTAAGCATTCAAGATTCAATTCATTGCCATCGCTCTTATAAGCGAAGCTTTTAATTTGCATTTAGCTCTTTGTTCATTAATAGACTAAATTTGTTAAGATGTTGGACCTGATTGTCCTAATGTAAGAGCAGGTAGAGATTTTGATACCTCTTATTATTTTTTATTTTTGTTCCCGCACGTGTGGATGAGCGGTAGTTAATGAAGTAATGTATAATTAGAGAGTCAAGAATGTAGGATGATTAGTTATTCTATGGAAGATAATCTACATCTACTACCGGTATATGGATGGATTTTGGTAACTTAGTGCTCATTTATATCCAAGTATTGGAAGCTACTCGTATTTTGTAAGCAATTATGCCTCTAGATAGAGAAATATTACTAGTTATATTCTATTGTCTCTATAAATAATCTTTGTGTTATTTAAAATGGAAAAAAGTTCACCCTATCATGTGCATTGGACTGCCCTGGTGAATTTTCTTTCTAATCTTATCATCCTTTCCTAACATTTTCTCTTACTACTTTCAACATTTTATTCAAACTTAATATGCAAATGCCTCCGGGCCCTCCGCTACTGTATATCTTTATCTCCATGCTGAAGCCTAGTAGGAGTAATTTAGGATGGAGAGAGTGCCAAATTTGGTTCTCAATATGAAGGCAACACATTCTATTTAACTACATAAAGGAGTAGTATGGACTTCTGTGATCTAGTTGCTTTATGTTATGTATATATGTATGGGCTTTTGTGATTGGTTGGTTAGTGTCTTTCGGCTTTGAACAAAATTGGGAAAACCATTGCTCTCGTAACTTCTAAGGTTTCTCTTATGAAGGGCCATCCCACCCTTTTTTAGTTCTCTAGGATCAGTATTTTTCCCTTAGTAGCCTTAAACTTTAGCTGCTTGTGTATGTTGACATAAACTCACTCTTACTCATGCTTAGCAAAGGATCTGACGGTATTTTGATAAGTTTCATGATATTGTCTGATAATTCTGATCAGGCAATCTACTGGCTGAATTTCCTTATTAAAAATGCGATTACAAACTAAAATAGCAATATTGCTTTAACTTGTGATGCAGAGCAATCCAGGCTGGGGATTTCATCGAAAATGGCAGTTTATGGATAAGCTGGCACTCGAGGTTTCCAAGTCCTGCAAGTGAGCAGATTATTGAGGCTTAGTTTACAGTTTGCATTCAAAGACCATGTTCTGGGTATACGAATTTTTTTCCAAAAAGGAAGATTAGTTTTTCAATAAACCTCTCTCCATTGACAAGCATAACAGCCAGCTAGAGGATTTTTTTTGTACACTGGTTGTAATTTTTTCCCTTAAATTGTTACAAGTATATTGAATTTTTGCATGCTTAAATCGATCTTTCGAGCTGTTAGTAGTTGTGTTGCTAGCTCTAATTGGCAAAATTGTAACCGATATGTAGTTTAGTCGAATATATAGAACTATAGAATTGGAAGACACTGTAATTTGTATAGATTTTGAAATTTGAACTAGTCACTAGTAAACAATATCTTAATTTATTCTTCTGTTAAAAAATTTATGATCCTGCTAATTTGAGCGGATTGCATTTTTTATTTTTTTTAAGAGAATAGAAAATCTATATGTAATAATTCGTCAAATGCCATCTACAACGATAATTAATATAGGTAGGTTTTTTTTTTAATTTATTTTTTTCCCCTCTAAAAGACACCCATATTTAACAAAGAATAACATATAAACCTCTCCCAAAAAAGGATATAACATTAAGACAGTTTGGTGTGCTTTAGTTTGTAAAAAAAAAAACTTGAGAAAATCAATACATTGGCAAAATATCTTAATGGAACATTGAAACTTTGTAATTACAAGTATTAATAATTCTTTAAAATAATATATGCGTTAGACGATTTGTTAGTTTGTTACTATAACTTTTGGTTTGGTTTAGTTTAAAATCTTGTAAGTTCCAAATTTAAGATTTTCTCAAACTAAACCATTACAGTAAAATTGAAAACCATAACAAATAATTGAAAACAATTTTATTTGCGATTTGGTACGATCTAAAAGGAGGCAAGGAGTATATGACCAACCCTATCTCGCTCCATGTGTTAACCATACCCCATTAGGCCATTACCATTAACAAGTTTATCACATCCCACTATCCTAGCACATTATAAAAATCAAATAAACTATTGGAGTAGATAAACCATTATTTAATTTTACAGAGTAAATAAAATCTAAAAAGTAGGAGTAGATGTAATTGCTGGAACATGTAGTAGTGTAGAGCCGAATTATAGTTGAATGGCACGTACTAAGGTACGTGTCACATAAGACACGCGTCCTTTGTTGCTGGAAGCATGCAAATTTTATAAATACTTGATATTGGATAAACACAAATCCAATTAAAGTCATCTATCATTATTACTTCATTTTAGTTTGTCTTAAAAAGAGTGTTTTTAAGCTTCTGTTATTCAAAAGAGTGAAACATGGCATCTCAAGTTCAAAGCTACAATGTTGAGGTAATTTGCTACACTTATACTTATTTTTTTTTCGTATAATCTCTCTATTACTATACGATTTTTGGATTATTTAATTGTGTAAAAAATAAGATATTAATGGCTTAAATTTATTAGGATTCAATATCTTATAATGTTTATTTGCTTAGAAAAAGGAAGAAATTAAGTTTGTGTTTCATCATCTAAGCTTTTCTGATCTAATAATAAACTAAAATGGGATGTAATCAAATTTAATGGTGTAACATAACTTTGAATGATTATCAATACGAAGTATAAAGGATATACTATTAGAAATGTGATACATATTATTCTACAACTAGCTAATTTGAACCAAATAATTTGGACCGGAGGGAGTTTTGGTATGACTTTATTGACTTGTACGTATTTTTATGCTAAAGCAACCTTAGCCGATCTTTTGAAACAAAACACTGTTAGTTGATAAAAATTTCAATTTATGTGGATCTGAGTTCTCGAGGGCATTACAAATTACAAATAAAAACGAGGATACGAACTAATGATTTACCATAATGGACCCTCCCATCTTTGTATTGTCACTAAACCTATGTATACCCTTTCCTTTGATTGACTGCTGTAATATAATCCACTATTATGTTGTGCAGGAGAAAACTAATCAACTAAAAAAAAGAACAGGGCACACCCAGGACAAGAAAAAGGAGAAGACCCAAGTCATCAAGGATGACGCATCTGAGGCAGCCCAAGCAACCATGGATGACGCGTATTATGCGGCCCAAGCAACCAAGGATGCTGCATCTGAGGTAGCCCAAACAGCCGAAGATGACGCATTTGATGCAGCCCAAGCAACCAAGATTGTAGTCCAAGCAGCCAAGGATGCGGCAGCTGAGGTAGCTCAAAAAGGCAAGGATGATGCGGTTGTTGCAGCCCAAGCAACCAAAGTCGCTGTCCAAGCAGCCAATGATGCGGCATTTGATGTAGCGCAGAAAGGGAAGGATGATGCGTTTGATGCAGCCCAAGCAACTAAGGATGACGCGTTTTGTGCAGCCCTAGCTACTGATGATGACGCGTTTTATGCAGCCCAAGCAACTGAGGATGACGCGTTCAATGCAGCCCAAGCAACTGAGGATGACGCGTTCAATGCAGCCCAAGCAACTGAGGATGACGCGTTCAACGCAGCGCAAGCAGCCCAAGCAACCAAGGACAAGGCATCTGAGGCAGCCCAAACAACTAAGGACAATGCATGTAATGCAGCCAAAGGCACCAAGAAGAAGGCAGGCTCGGAGATGGCAGAAATGGGTCGAGTCAAAGTAAGAAAAGTTCTGTAGATGAGATTATCATCAGTCGACTTTTGTAAACGTAGCCTAAAACAACCTTTTTGCTAGTTTTAGGTCTTGTTAAACCTTAGCCTAAAACAATATTTTGCAAGTTTTTGGGTCTTGCTGAAGTTCCCAAAAACTGTTTTACTAGTTTGTATGATCAAAACAATGTTTTAGGGGCAGCTGTTTGTTAACCACTATGTTTTGGTGATATATTATCAAAGAAAACTTAATTATTACTTTGTTACTTCCCAAATGGTCATATTTCAATTGGAAAGTAATAAAAAATGAGAAGATTTGTACAAGAAAAAAAAATTTGCAAAGATTTTTAGAATGTCCAAGTCATTAGTAAAAGATCTCTGAGTTTATAATTTTGGGGTCATCAATGAGCCATAGAAAACAACCAATCAAGCTTTGCCCAACCTAACAACGATGGGCCATTTACAAGCTGATGGCAGCCAACTAGCCATGACGGCGGAAAAAAAATCTACAAATCTTACCCAAAATATCTTGCTTCTGATGGCTCTCAGGTCATGGGCAAAGTACTGACTCTGGCTAGACCCGAAAATATCTTGCTTCTGATGGTTCTCAGATTAGGTCATTGGCAACATTTCCTACTTGCTCTACCAAGGTCCAAATGCAACTTGAAACAAAACCCGAACTTAAACGAATTGAGAAACATATTAGGGAGGAAAATAGAGATGGAGACAAACATATCTCTAAACTCTAGCTTTGTAAGTGCATATTAAGCTGTCCATGCCCTAGATTGCCCAGAAAAGGTCCTAGAAAAAACAGGTCACTGAGCTATGTATAGATATTATTGAAAATGAGCCTTCCTATATCTGATTTTGGCTTCACTTTTCTCCAAAATATGGAGATCAGCCAGTAAGAAAGCCAACTAAATAATTACGGAGAAATAAACAATTTCATTTCAAAATTAGAAGGAAAAGAAATCAACTTGTCATGATGGCAGGATATACAAAAAAGTTGACAACACAGGCCGTTTTTAACCGCAACCATAATGCACATCAGGATTATCAGCAACATGATCAAATGGAATTTCAACTCTCTCCTTCACAATGCAACGGATTTCGCCATCCTCCATCACTGCTGTTTTACCAGGGGGACAGCGTGCACCAAGTGCCCTGCCTTGATCATTGGGTTGCTGAAACAATGACAGGACATTTAACTTGGTACCTTTTTTCTGAAGCTTAGGCTCAAAACCAGCCAAGCTAAGAAGAGAGATGACGCCAACAAGGGTAAGCATGGTCTTTGCAGTTGAATGAACAAGAAATCTAAATCCTCCCCATAGCTTGTTGGGTTTACTTTGAGTGTGGCTTTCCTTTGACTCACTGCCCCCATTAAGACCATTTTGTGCAAGCTTACGTGAATATGGAACACGTGAGAGATAGTTCTTGTCTAGCACCAAAGAATTTGGAGAATGGGTTTGATATGGTGGGAGTAGCAATTCATTGTCGTGCTCCACCTTCATACTTGCAAAAGCTTCTGCCTCTTGTATCACATCAGAGTGTTCCCCTTTATATTCACTGAGCTTCTTAAGCAACATTTTACGGCTGTACTCAATTTCTCCAATCACAGCTTCCCTTTCATATTGCTGCTGTTGTCGTAAAGACTGATCCAAAACATTTAACAGTTAATACACATCACAGAAAGCCAACATCTGATAGACATGTCCTAAATTGCACACCTCTTAGCTACACACTACAACCTTTACGCAAAATCAGTAATTGGACAAGCATTATATCATGTTATTTACTTCCCCTGACTACTCTGCCTTACATATCTTCATTCTACAAGCCAAGTAAACTAGATTTTTTCAAGAACCAAAGACGATGCAGTGGTATTCCCACTGCCTTCCACAACCCTGCCACAGGGTGATGTTTACACCATTTGACAGGGTGATGCATACTCCATTACACCATATGAAAGAATTGTAAACTAGATTCAAAGACATTTTTTTCCTAATGGACTGATAAAGACACCAGCTTCCCGGACTATCTTACATGTTACAGTTCAATGACTAAATAACAGAAGTGCAGAACCCTCCAATTTCTCCCTAGTCAATGATTGAGGCTGCACAGCGGCGAAACACAATTCTTTGTTCTTTCTTAGTTTTAGGTTGGGTAATCTAGCATACCAGCTATACATGAACAAGACCAATCCATCCACAATTGGGCAGTTCAACTCATGCAGAAAATAAGCTTACTTTCAAGATGAAAAATTAAATCAAGGCACCAATTTCCAACCACTTCACATCACTGAAAGGATAGTTCTTAACTTCTTATTCATATAGATATAGAAGTAGGATTAAGGGACCAGCTAACTGCAATTCGAAAATGAAGCAACTTTGCCCCCCAATCATAAAGTAATTAAAATAAGCACCCTAACAAAACACGCTATATTGGTAAGACAGAGTCCACAAATAAATAAATAATGGGCACAAATTAGACCTGAATACTTAAAAAAAAAAAAAAAAAAAAAGGGTTAAAAACAACAATTCTTCCCCTAATAAAATTTAAAACAAAATAGAAGTATCTAGCAAAATTGGCAAAATAACATACCACCAATTCCTTAAAAATCCCAAATGATTGTTAAAAACAGCAAATAATCCTAAATTCTGCAACTAATATTCGAATAATACACCAAATTCAACCAAAATTAACGAATTCTTCAAAATTAACAACAACCCAGAAACAGAATCACAAAACCCTAGAAACCCAAATGAAAAAAATCAAAGATAAAACCAGAAATAAAGAAAAGGGGTGTATGGAATTACTTGCAAAGAACCAAGCTGAGTCTCAAGGGCATCAAAAGAGTAGCAAATGTTCAAAAGGGCATCAGTTCCTTCATCAGCTTCATCACCATTTTGTGCAGAAGAAGATGAATCGCCATTGTTTTGAGAACCTTCAAGCTGAGATTGAAGTGGGTTTGTTGATTTATGAATGCAATTTGCGATTTTGGAGCGTAATTCAGATGCTCGAACTAACACCATTCCTATCCTTTCTTCTTCCATTTCCATCTTCTTTTGTTCTTGTTCTCGCTCTCTCTCTCTATTTCAGTGAAAACAAGAAAACCGCCAAAAATGCTCTACTGCGGGGGTAGAGTTTTGGAATTTAGGGTTTTTTTTTTTTATTTTATAATTTTTTTTTGAAAAGATATTTAGCACCGCGATTAAAAGAAATAAAGAATGATTTAGACTAGATTTAAATTTCAATTTTAGATATAATCCAAAAGAAAATCAACACATAAATATGCCATTGTGCTGGTACTAAAGCCATTCAAAGAAGTGTCTTAATTTTTTTTTCTTTTTTTTTAAAAGAAGAAGTGTCTTAATGTGAGTAGTGTTTAGAATAAAAATTTACTACAGAGTAATATAAAGCTACGTACCGTGTCACAAGTTGCACGTTTATAGTGCATTTAAATACTAATCTTTTCTAATCTAAACTTACTTCCGTCCAAAAAAAAAATTAAAAAATTCTTGAACTTATTTTAACTTTTTTTTTTTCAAATGTATTAAAATTTTTGAACTTGATAGCTATAATTAACCCTTATTAGAAAAGAATGAAGTTTCTTTTTTTGCTTCCATATGCATTGTCTAGGTTTTTAGCTTCTTTATAGAGTAGAAGTGTACTCCGCATAGTTCATTAATCACTATGGTATTTGATCTCAGAGACTAAAATAATTTCACAAACTAAATTAATTACAAAATCTCTATTTAGTTATTTGATATCCCTGAACTAGAAAACGCAAATTTGTGTACTATTAATAGCAAAATGCTCATGTTGGCATGTATCACCTGTAAAATATGCTCTTTTGGCATCATAATTTTATTTCAATATTTCATTGTCAAAAATGTAGAAAGCCAACAATTCTCCAAGCAATTGACAAAACTAATCTTTCTTGAGTAATACTTAACCACTACATAGGAGACCGACCAAACACACATATGCCAAAAATGCAACCAAGCAAAAGCCAAATTCAATTCCCTTAGCTTATCTTCTCATATTTAGGGGTTCAACTTGAACCACAAACAAAGCAATTTCATCAAGATAATAGTGATCAAATAAGCTCAAGTCCAATTACATTGAAACATTATCAACTTTGTTGTCTTGTTCATGCATAATTGAGTGACATCCTCGCGACACCAATAGACATAACAAGACCCTGAGCCGGTTTGATCAGCACCTCTTTCACGCTATGTTTGTGTATCAACATCTACTCAGTTTTTTCAGCTCATAAGTGGGTGTATGATCACTGCAAGAGATCCTTGGGGAACTGATAGCGGAAAGAAAAGTCGTGGGGAATCCATTCAATGCCTTTCCATCCTTTCCTATGTCGAAAGTTGTAACTAGAAGTAGTCCTGTTTCTCTGAAGATCTGCAGGGAGAATCTGCTCCAGAATCTTCATGAGTTCAGGTGGGTGTAAGCCGGAATCTTTGGCATAACTCTCTACAATCTTTGGCAGTAGTATCTTGTTCTGTTCTTTATGAACTCGATAATTGCTCAAGATGTACTGGTCTCTTGCAGCCATCAGGTCTTGGAACACTCTCTGAGGCGTGTATACGTGAACCTTATGTACATACATTAAGCACAAGATAGTTACATATTATGTATAAAACTTTTAGTAAGACCTTCAAATAAACCGTGATGCTATGTTGTAAGATTATTACTTGTGGATCGGAATGGCTTCCACAGCAAAGGGAAAAGTAACATAGAGGTTCAGAGTGATCAATCGCGAACATTCTTCTTCTGTCTCCAGTCCTGAATTTTTTCTTAATATGGAGTAATTTATGAAACCACTGCAAGAAGATGGATACATACACATTCAGATTGATTTCATGACATAAAAGATTTAAAATTAATTGTAATTACTTAAAAGTTAAAGATAATACTTGTCCCGGGTGAGGCAATTGGTTCCCAAGAATGTAGTCCTGTATCATGCTCACACTGATAGTATGACTCCCAATACTATATGCAGCCTGTGTAACACGAGCAGCTTATAAACAACGATTTCAAAACATATACTCCATACTCCCTCCGTCCCAAAACTAAGTTTTAATGTATTCAATTTGGGATGAGTCTCCCTGCATTTTTTGTTAAACGTGTGACTTGCAGGTTCAATATCCACCCATCCACCTTTTATTCTCCACCTCTTCTCTTATAATCTCTGCTTTATAATGCAGTATCAACTTAGATCTGGGACAAAGCGAGTATATTTTTTTTTGGAGATGGATAAAACAATAAGTAAATTCTGAACCTTTAATATCAAGGACAGTCGTTTAAGCTTGTTTTGTGGCACTCCATACTCCAGAAATGCCTGTTGTCGCGACACCAATAAGAAGAGTTCAGTATTATACGATAAAGGTTGTAGGAGAAGTTGACATAAAATTTGTTATTGGTTATAGCATTCTTACATGCATCACAAGAGCATTGTGCACATTAATCCAAAATGCTAACTTCTCTTTGTGGTTCAATTTGCTCGGTTTTACTCCATCCAATTTGTTAACAAGTAACCTGCAGACAAAAAATGAACCTCATTGCAAGATCAAAAACTGAAACACATTTAATACGATGAATCAATGATAGAATTACCTATATTTTTGAAGCATGGGCTCAATATCTCTGAATTTTGTACTGTCCCTATGAATCTGGAGGACCTCAACCATTTGACTGTAAAGTCCACTAAACTCGAAATGTCCTCCCGCTTGGTAAGGTGCATCTGAATGTAAGTCCTGAAAAGATTTTATCCTAAGAGGACTCCACAAATTAGATTCATGAGTTTGTGGTGATCCACTTATCGACGATGGAATTGATACAGCAGGTGATGAGAAATTGTTGCTGATCACAGAATTTCCTGCTAGTTTACAGTAAATGGCTGAAATGCACCTGACCATCTCCGCTGAAAGCCAATTTGCTGTCTCTTTAACTTCACTGAAGTTATAGGTAGCCACATTGTTTGGAACTTCACAAGCTTCTGGCTGATGTGATAAAATAATAATGTATTCCGTTAAGAAGCAAGAGTTGAATCTTTAAGCAAAAATCTTTCTTCCTTCAAAAAGTTATAAAGAAAAAGAAAAAAAAAAAAAGCACCCTTCTTTATCTTCTTCAATAATTTCAGATACGAGCAAAATTCAATGTACAGATATAAAATAAGTTCAGTTAGGCCGATATTTCAGATAAGGAAAAGTAAGTTCAGATACGGGTTTTCATTCAGGTAAGTTCAGATAAGGAAAAGTAAGTTCAGCTACGGGTTTTCATTCAGGTGAAACGATCAGCCATATTCTTTACTATCAGCTGTTACAAAATACAAGATTCAGATTACTTTATTGCAGAGTTCATTTAGGTATATTGCAGAGTTCATTTAGCCAGTGTATAACTTTGTCACATCGCTTCACATGAGCCACAATGATTGAGAGTAGTACTAGGACGAGTGACCTTCTGGGAAGTCCTCATGTTGGTTCATGTAGCCGACCCCACTTATGGGATTAAGGCGTTCAAGCAGAAGAAGTAGATGATTTAGATATATTGCTGTACTAAATAGAAACTTGAGGATTCATGCATTCATGTAGCAAATTATATTATAATGTTAATGTTCTTACTAGAAGTTTACATGAAAAAACATATATTTACCTCCAGCATAGTCAAAGGCAAGGAATGGTAAGAATTCACAGCTTCAGCAACCTTCCCTGCTAAAGGAGATAATCGACTTGCATAAGCTATCGATTGATGAGATAACGAAGAGTGACACCGGTGAATGCTACTACCAAGCACATCTTCTTGTTCCTTAGCTTCATTATTGCTGTCTTCTAAGCAAATGTTGTTATTGATAGGTTGATCTGCAGGCATCTGAAAACGATTAGAACAGACCATTTCTTCTGATAAAACGTCGTTGCTGTCTTTTGACAGCGAGGCTAGTCGGCGATCAAGAGCTTTTTGATACCGGGAAACAAGATACTTCTCCAACTGCAGTACTTCCAGCTCTAACATCGCGATTTCCTTAAGAAGTTCTGTGACAGACTGAAGCAAGAGGAAACATTACTGCATCGCCTATATCAGCAAGAACTTTCAATTAGCATCAATGCATTGGTATAAAAATTGTTACCTTTGGCTTTGAAGATATCTGAATTGATTGAGAAACAGGTTTCTCCATGTTTCGGGTTTAGATGTCGAACGGCTTCACAAGTGTTGGACAATAAGCAGCCTTTTCGAAGTGTCGGTCTGAAAGAATGAGCTTTAATACAGTTTGGTGGTAAGATAGTTGAAGGCAGAAGTTGCTAAGTGAGCTTCCTCCATAGAAATTGGATGTGCATAAAGTGAAACTAATTGATGTTTCTATTGTTATTTGAAGACTTGGGTTTTTCTAAGGACTCGAATACTTCTGAGCTGAAACAGTTACACTAGTTACTAAAGTAGTAGGATACAAAATAATATTGATGGGTTCAAATATAAACCTCAATCGTATATGTCTTCCTTTTTTTACCTCTATCGTTGTCACATTATCCTAATATACGGATTAAAGAATACATATATGATATTAATCCTGGTGAAAGGAGTAAATTTTATTTATAATATAATTAAAAGAGCCCTCTCTTTAATTAACAAGTGGTACCCTCTTACTAACTTCCTCTACCTCTTAAATAATGGTTTCTCGATTTTTTTAATGTTTGTTTACTATTAAAATATTACTCCATTTTCTTTTTAATTAGTTCACATGTTTCCCACAATCTGTTTATACTTTGTTTTCTATCACACCTAATATGACAAAACTAACTACTCACTCAATACAACTCTTTATACCACATAAGTAAATAAAATGTGTTTCATGCCCTCTATTGTCACAGAGTATAAACCAGTGATTCTAACATTCACAAGCAAGTTCAAACTTTAGAATATTGCAAGTACTATTCAGATTGACCTCTCGTTTTAGACTTTAGAGAATGGTCCTAAAATTGACAAAACACTATATTGGTAATAGTTCTTTATACTTATATAATCCATAAACGAAAGAATATAACACACAAAAGGAAATTGATGAAAATGGTCATATTATACTCTTTCAATATCATTTTATTTGCCATACTCTCACAAAAATCGGTCAAATGAGACAAATAAAATAAGACGGGGAGTATATTTATAACCATAAACATACATATTCAACATTCTAAACATTGTCATTGTGACATGCGTGCATTGTCAAGCCTAATAAAAAAGTTGTATTCAAGAATTCAACAAAATTTCAACGCAAGAGGCTCTTATAATCATTCCCATAATCTAACTTTTTGTCTAATAATCACTCACAGTACCCTCAATCAATGCCTTTATTTTTTTGGGAAAGGAGAAAGGCATGATCTGAAGTTATTCAACTATTAACTAAAGTTAGAATAACTAAATCACCCTTTAATCAATATGTTACTATTGCTATGAACGCAAAATAGTTATTTTGTAACATGTCAATTGGCTACAATACATTACACTTGTTACATGTATATAAGTAACCGCTATATGACAGTCTTTGCGCCCTTTGTTAGTTGCCTAATTATTAGACAATTAATTTGACTCTATGTAAATAGACTCGTGAACAAAAGATCAACGTCATAAAACTATGAAAGCGCAGTTGTATTCAACCAACTACACTCACAAAGAAGGCTCACAGAAGAAACCAACATAACAACTGCAACCCAAGTAAAATCCAACAGATTTTGACAGTAAAGCACAGAAGTGTAAGCTGAAGATAAATACAAGTTTCACATTTATTGCAAACTGAACAAATTTCTGAGATATGGAGTGAGACTACTCACACGAATGTCAATCAAATGTCCTTTGGAAAAGCTTAAAAACACTAAATATTAAGAAAAAAAAGGGGGGAAATTTTTCATTATTCTTGATGTAAATTTACACACTTTTTTGTGTACAAAATTGAATTAAAAAGGTGGGTATAATTTGCTGTCTAGTCCCTTGTCAAATGTAAAGCAAAACCACTTAATTGTCTGTAGTAGTAACTTTAATTGGACGTGGTGGTCTAATTTGCATGAAAAGAAGGGGTGGTGGCTTTTTGGTTGTATAGCTACAAAGTTTATTTGAAATGGGAAGTTTACTTTTAGCACTTTGGTTGTAACTATTAAACACTTTGGTCATTGCATAAAAATTAACAAGTTTTCCAAAATTTTAGATCTTTGTAATGGGTGTATGGTTCATCTATGTTGTTCAAACATTAGTATGATTGTCGAGTAGATTTACAAGCATCATCAGATTCAAACACGAGTGTAATTGTCGAGTAGTACAAGTAACCTTACAAGTGTACATGCGCATGTAACCTTACAAGTGTCAGACACGTCACTTAAGGCTTAAAAATATAAACATTGGGCCCATGAGTACTGAGACTCTTTCACTCAAGCCAGTTTTTCTGTCATAAAACTAACTTTATCAAAAGTCTAAACTAATCATTAGAGTCTCTAGACCGACTTTATATATGGTTGTAATCACGAGATTAGTTTTATATTCTATCAATTTCCATTTAAACTCTACAATGACTAGTTTACTTTCCAATTAAACATTAATTGATTAGTTCATTGTTATATTTATATTGCTAAAATAATGAGTCTATATTATATAGGATCCTTTTATCATTCAAGTCAATCATGCATCCAAACACATCAAAGAATCTCTTAGGTGACCCCTTAACTTTTGATAAATAAAATAGCCAGCTTTACATGCAGAAAAAGAAACTTAAATGCATGTAAGATGAAGTAAAGATTGATGCCTTTGCTTAATGCCCCATGTGATGCAACCAAAAGGATGGATATTGATAAAAAGGCAATATACCCTTAAAAGGGCTGAAAGTGTAAAAATATCCAAAATTTCCATTAAACAAAAAGTGTAAGATAATTAAATTGATGATGTGAAATTACTAGGTTTTGGTGGGCTTTCAATGTCTAATTGCTCATGTCTTTGGTCAAAGGCCCAAAAAAGTTTGTCTTTTACAGCATGCATGCATTATAAGCATTAAGCAATATGCTTGATTCATCAAATTACATGCTTTCTCCATTTAGAAATAATTGGACCATGCATTTTGATTCTCATGCTTGTCAAAGCATAAATATTATCATTAATATTTTCAATCATCTAACAGGTAAATAATTGCACCATTTTTATTTTTATGTCTATTAACGCACACATTTGACCATTTATATATTTTACTAGTTAAGAGTAAAATATCGTTTCAAAAAAAAAGTTAAGAGTAAAAAATGATATTTTAAAACTGACATTGAGATCAACCCTAAGTAGAAATATAAGTCAAAGTTGATGTATAATTAGTGCACAAAATTGAAAAAAAAGGGTGCAAAAGTCAAATGAACCGAGTTTCAGAAACAGAAGAAGTATAGTTTTATTATTATGTCACGTTAAGTTTTAGTGCTTTTCATCCCACTAAAATTGAATGAGCATTATGCAATTCAGTTAGAAATACATTATTCTCATATAAAAATATCTTATACTTCTACTACTGTCTATTTCTTGTTTATTTACAAGAAATACCATAGTAAATAGTAATTGACAAAATTGAACTGACAGGTTTGACAAAAATCACCCACAGTAACGTTACATTCTACTCCGTATCTTGTATTCTTGTTCCATAAAGCTTATACTCTCTCCATTTTTAAATATGTTTCATTTTTTATTTTTGTATTATTTATTTGTCTACTTTGACTAATATCTATGATTTATATATAAGAAAAAAAATATATAGTCTTATGGATACTTGTTGGAATCGTCTTAATGAATAGATTGTTAACTTTTAATTATTAGAATTTATACTTATTGATAATTAAAGATGTTATTGATCAAAATTAAAATTTAAATGGAAAATGATGGAGTAATCACCATAAATGCATATTATAAGACTAATTTTGCAAAGTATCCTAACAGGTGGGGCCCTTGGGGGTCATAGGGTAAAGTGGATATACACTATTTACAGTTACTTATCTCATAATCCAATTTGCAAAGAAAGATAATTCTGATAAGTCGAGAAAAGTTAAAGTTATGGAAATATTATTTTCTTTAAAAAAAAATTATTTTTACTTTTTCTTAAAATAAATTGAAGTACAGAGTTACTCTGCTAATTACAAACTTGGATTGTTGTCATTAAAAGCAACCCCTGTATTTTTATGAGATTAGACTCAGATCATCTAAATTAAATGATTGAGATTTATTTTAGACCAGGGAGGAAGTATGTGTACATACTACATATATAGTGTAGTGCAAGGAGACTGACAAGCTGTATCATAAAATCCAAATGAGCTAGGTCATTTTGACATTGACTGATAAATAATTTATGGATTGGTAGGACCCAATTTTAAAGACAACAGAATAATTATGTGATAATTGAAGTGAAGAAATGGAGTATACTTGCATTAGAGATTTAGAGGAATTAAAAGAGCTGGCCTTTGGGTGACCATGCTTATGAATGTTATGATTCATGGATCCTCACTTCATCTAGACTTCCCAAATGGGCCCTATAAATCGACTGCCCACCGGCACGATACGATTATGGGCCTTTGCCAATGTCACATAAAGCCCATATAAGCTTACCTTGGATGCTATACTATTGCTAAATGCTAATTTCTCTACTGCATATCTTAAGTTCAGGCTTGATCATTCTGTATAAAAGTGCAGAGGATGCTGATGCAGACCTTATGCAGACTCAAGTGTAGACCTAGACACATAAAGTGTACACGCAGCTGTTCAGGGCGATTTGAGAACAGATGTTTCTAGTCATCGATGAATGTGTGTGCTAGGAGCTGACACTTTTGGTTCATGTAAGGGATGGAGGAGGAAGATTTTTGTCGATAATTACATGGAATAATCACTTTTGGTTCATATAGCCGACCCCACTTATGGGATTAAGACTTCGATTGATTGATTGATGAATGTGTGTGCTAGAAGTTGCACTTATAAGCATAGCTTAGTCTTGACTCGCTCCCCTATCACCTCTAGTTAGTACTTACTACTATATTTGTGTTATTATTTTAAGCTTCTCACCAATGTTGTTTAATACTTCTATGTCATTGTAATTTTAAGTTAGATGTTATAATCTATAGAATAAAATAGTTTTTTTAAAAAAAATCGAACCTATTCACGAGCTTCCTGAGCCGAACTTTGTCGTGTTCAGCTGAAGAACTAGGAGCGTTCATGAGCTTCTTGAGCCAAGCTTTGTTGTCTTCAGCTCACGAACTAGCTAAACTCATTAACACCCCTAATTATGGATATCAGATACAGCATGAACAGAAAAATCAGATGCTCGAACAAGTCCCTTTGATTCATAAGGAGCAATAATGTGAGTATTCTGTTGAAGGGAACCCAACAAATCATTCCCAATGCAATCATACCTGCAAATTAGTGAAGTTGAAACAGGTATCAGCTT